TGTGAGCCACTGAAATCTGTCCTTTCAACAACAGATTAATCTTCTGTGTGGTAAATCACCAAAACTATCAAGTTTTCTGTAGAGCACCAAAAAGTCAAATACCGGGATTACTGACAGGGACCAAAGGGCTGTCTAGCCTTCACTTATATATTGTTCTTGTTTGTTTCTTTATGCTATTTTTAGTAAGGATTTAGGAGATTGTTATGAACTGTGGTCTTTGAAGTGTTTCTAACAACATGAACAACTGAACTCAAAAAGAAGTAATGCTTATGATAAATTTGCTTTAAAAAGAAATTCAAATTACATATATTATAATTCAAACTCAAGAAAAAAGCAAGATAGTACTCGTCTGTAATTATTTCAGTCATTTTCAATATAATTTTTGATAATGAAAACCGATATCTATTTTTAATGCATAGAGATGTAGACATGAAAAAGAACACATACAAAATGTACCTGTAACGTTGCAGGGAACTGTTTGCGTAGTCTGACAATTGTAAACGTAATTTGTACTTTATTATCGCGCACTATTTTCTCCTAATTACGTAATATTTGTATTCGACACTAGATAAGGAAATTAGATAGTGAGTATAACAAATGAACATTGATCATTCAGCTTGTTTCTGTTTAAAATTGCAACAGACATATGTGGGTGTTTATAGATATAGCAGGAGAGCATTATATTATATATGTAAGAGAGTTGTTCGAAAAGTTCGTGGAGGATCGATGTCAATCTTCGTTATATTATTACTCATTAGAAATTTAAAATAAGTATAATATAACATGTAAAAACATTTGTTTTGTTGACGTGTGATGTTTCATTCCATTCGTCTATTCGACTTACCAGAAATCAATTTACTTCATTTTAAAATCAACATGTTTTGTACCCGCGGAGCACCCTTAACGGCAATGTAACGTCAAAATATAGTGTCAAGAATTTCTAAAATATACTACTCCTATACATTTCACAAAGTACATGTATAATCCAATGCCCAGTCACCAAATCCTTGTTCTAATACTTGAAAATTATTTTTTAAGAATTGCTCCCGTTGTATTATTTCCTTTGTTAGCATTTTAATTTCTTTTATTACTTAACTCTGCTTTCACTCAGCAACTCTAAAGCGCCTATGTCTTTCCTTGATGTTCAAACTTTTAAAAGTTTTTGTTAAGATTTTTACAGATAAACGTTTCTTCACAGATTGTCCTCATCTCTGTCACTCAAATACTGTCTATAGTATTTGTACACACATGCACAACTCGCTTGTGACATATTTTTTATTCCTTCAACATTTTTTGAGTTTATTCAGGATTTTTCCTGAGTAAAAGACAAAATTGCATCGTTATCGGCTGCTCCGTGACGTTCTGAAACGTCATCATTTTTGTCGTTTTCAACGAGGACTACCGTTCTTCTCAAGCTGATTTCTTTTCAACGAAGCAAAATATAAAGCCATAATTTGGAATACTAATCGATGTAAAAATTTGGATTTCTCGATTGTTATTCATTTTTGCTTCATTTTACAGGGAATATGACTACAAACATTATTTAGTGTATTGTTCGTAACTTTCTAAATTTTGACCTGCTCCGCGATCCGATTTTTGCATATTTAAAAACTGGATAAATTTTGAAAAAATCGTGGTTTTTAAAACAAATAATATAAATCCTTTGAATTTATTGTTAAAACATTACTACCGAATTTGGATAACATATGACGTCAAATAAAAAAATATGACAGTAGTCCACGAACTTTTCGAACAACCCTCGTATATGTGAGATGTTCTACTGTATAAGAAAGGTTTACCTTGTTATGTTTATAATAGGACTCTAAAAAAGCAAGTTAAATTCTTATTGTCAGAGTAAGCTTTCTGTTAATTCTTCTTTAGAGAACGGCAATTAAATTGAAATTTAAACCTCTTTGTACTGAATATCTTTCCCTCTATCAGGCTGTTTGTCCCGTTTGATTTTTTTTTGGACTTTTTCTTGACATTTATATGTGTTGAATTTAACTTTATGAATTACAGATTGCAAATTTGCATATCATTCCGCTAGGTTGATTTTGACGGAATTAAGGTTCAGATCGGTAGGGTTGTGCTTTGCTTACCCAATACTCTCAAAGATGCCTGCAAGTCCTCTAAAATGAGTACAAAATATGGAATAAGATGCCCGCTGCTGATTATTTAAATTAAAAAAATCAGAATGCTTTTGCGTAGTAAATGATTTTGTGTCCAGGAAACTATAAGGCTGTATGGTCACTCGAAATAAAATTATTCAAAACCTTTAATATTATTTTTTTTATTACAATTTAATTTTTCATAGTGTATTTGAACTTAACAAGAAAAATTGTACAACATTCAATTTCAAATCCTCCTATAAATTGCCTAGAAACAAGATTTATGATAGACTACTTCTTGTGGTGGAAGGATGCTACGAAGGATTTCATCAAATCCTGATGAATTTTGAATTTTTGGCCCTATACGTATCTATTTTTTAAAAAAAAAACAAAATATTGGCAAGCTTAGCATGGTTTTCAACTAATTTTGCAAAAAATTGCATATATATTGAAAAGTCAAGATAAATTAAAATATACTTTTTAAATCATAAAATGTGCATCAATGGCCCTACCTTATTATTTCCTATAATTAAATTATACGATACTTCTAACCTATCAACACAAAATGCATAGAAAACTTTAAACAAGAAAATGTGATATTGAGTGTTCAGATTTTTTTAGTGCAATTAGTACACAGAATATTTAATACGTAATCAATGGTGGAAGATGAGGAAAAACGTGTATGTATATCATTTTATTCTGTAGATCTGTACACAATCTGAAAATGCAAGGATTAATAAGCAGCATTAAGGATTTCATCAAGAACAGACATGTATTTCATTGATGATTAAATGCAATGACTTGCATTTAGTGAAATATAAGTTATGACATGTGATCGATATGAAATCATAGTTCAAGTATAGAAAGGTGAAGATTATTTTTTTTTTTGGCATTGTTGCCCAGTAGTATACACTAGTTCTAGTTTTCTTTTTGTTTTAAATTACTGTAAAATCACATATTTTTGTGGGGTCAAACTTTCGAGGTTTGAGGAATAAAGATTGGTTTGTGGAGGTTTGATTTCATGGTTAGAGAATGTTTAGTAAATAATGCATATGAAAATTTGCATTACGTGGTGGTCATAAATTCATGGGTGTCTCAATACCTCAAAAACAACGAAAATAAAAACCCCACGAAAAATTAGTGATTTCACAGTATGCTATTTATACTATAATACATGATAAAGCCAACGTCATGAGTGACAAACTATATACCTCGATTTGAGAGGACATTTGATTTTTTTCTCCTCATTTACGTGTACAAATTTTCATTCATAAAATGGTACACCTTCACTATACTTCAATCATAGCAGTCGGGAAAAATTATGTTTTCAGTATATTATTTACAATAACAATTTCTGTCTACTCAGAATTTGTTGCCTTCTTTGGGCTCTATGGACTTTTCTTTGATTAATTTCTGTTCTTGGAATTAAAAATGTCACAGATTTTCAAGACTGGTAAAATGTTTATACCTAAGACTTTTCTTATACTAATTTGTTATCGATTATAATTTTTGATTATATTTTCTGGATAATAGCATTAGAAATGCTATTTGTAAATTTTGATTAAATTTTAAACAATTGAAGGTTTTTAGTAAAATTCGATTTAATATTCCTAAACTTATTTTACTACAAGCGATGAAATCAATGCTTGTGTTTTTCTTGCTGATACTCGAGAATATTGATGAGCAACGAGTTTCTGCGGCGAAAAATTATTTACATAATTTGATCCCATTGTTAGTTTAACCTCTAAGCCACTTTACTTGTCAAATAGTAAAAAAATTAAAATTCTAGTCTCCAATTTCTAACATACAGATATCTGTACTACTTACAAAATGATAAAACCTGTATCAGTGCAGTACAAGTGTCGCCCAAAGCTGGTCTCATCCATCATGCAGTTTAACGTTTTTGGACTGTCCGCGTATAATTCTAGAAACAAGCGATATTGAACTCTACTATTTTACAAAAAATGAAATAACGGTTGAGACTTGCAGTAATATGTAAATGCATGGTGAATTAATTATTACATTTTAGATTCATTATTTTAAAATGACTCGCACTTAGCAAGGAAATGACTTTACATGGAATTCCTTTTGATCTTCATGATTAAAGGATGAAAGACTGTACTTTTTGGTTACTTTTGTAGATATCTTAAAAATCAAAAGTAATATTTCTGTAAGTCTTGAATTGCTTTGTGGAACTATATCACTGTATCAATTGAGAACTATATGGGTTTTTAAAAAAAAGTTTTGACAATTATATCCTATGCGTAATTTTCAAGAATTTCCCATGATGATAAACGGACAAATTATTTTTATTAAATTGAAGGTTGGTCTGCATTTGGTTGATTATTATAAATACATTGTACAGTGTATTTTCCTCTATTGAACCTTTTTATGACTCCAGATAGAAAATATTCTACAGACCGATAAGAGAACACCTAGGATATCATAAACAATTCATTTATGTTCTTACGAGAAAATAACAAGAAAAAACTTTTTGAAAAAAAAAGAATATATCCAATACGACTGTCAAGTCTGGTCTTCAAGATATCATTCTATGTCAAGCATACCAAGTTTTGGTGCTTCAGTTCATGGTTTTGAATCCTGTATCGTGTTTCATTGTTGAATTCTTTTGTCAATAAAAACTAAAAGCACCTCTATAACTGCATTGGATGGCAAAATGCTGTTAATGGCTTTTGAAATTAAAAAAAAAATCCGTCACGCAGACTTCATGAAATCAGTAAAGCAAATCCTTGCGGAGGTGCTCATCTTTTTTCATTATTAATATCGTTTGGAGGATTTTTGTGAAATACGTATTCATTCCTCAATATCCGTTATTTCAGGATCGGAAAGCATAAGGACGTGACTTAATTATGATAATTTCGTTTGTTCCATTGGATTCGTCGGATATTTCCCACATCATCGACTTTGATAGCAAAGCTGATACGAAGCAGACCAGGTATTTCGTAAAGCCACCAAGCAGCAAGGAGGGACATACTCTTCTCTTATGACGTAAAGTTCCTTCCGGGTTAAAGGTCGTGTGAAGTTCTGTAAAGAAACTTGGGTTCTTGCAGAAAAAAAATTGCCACACCCCCGAAGAAGTGGGAGCATATATAATATGTAAACTACGGTTTGTAGCGAATTGAAGACAATTAATAACATTGATCAGTCGGACTTGATACCTAACTAAAGATGCCATTAGCAAAAACGGTTTGAAACTTTACAGGGAGAACCGCGTCGTGACTGGAAGAGAGTACCAACTTTATTTTTTATAGTTTGTGTTGTTCGTAGGACTGTGCAGTCGGTTGGATATGTCTGTGAACTATTCTTATATCATATCTTTATTAACAATATTTCTATGTACGATAATCAGTTTAACAATAGCTTTCCCTTTGGATGAGTTAGAAGTGATAAAGACACCTGACGATTGGTAAGTCTAACAAACAAATACAAAATTTGTTCATTCTGAAAGATGTGATGTTTCAAATATTCAATCTTATGATTACTTGCTGATTTTAAAAGATTTTTTATTATGCATATGGTTATCAATTTATGACGAAAGACTACATGTGTTCTGTTCAAATTAGTCTCGAGGCTTTTTTACACTTGTATCACGCAAAGGAATTTTATTTCAAGTGGGAAGAGGAATTCTAGTACAAAAGCCTTTATTTACTTAAACGTTATTTAATTTTGTGCGTATCTTTGTGTCAAGAAGTCCCTTAACAAACTTACAAAAGGACCTGCAACCGCCATATATTAGTAGTTAGAGTCGATGCGTAAAACATCCAAGAAGCATCTGTGTCCATCTTAATTAAGTAAATCGGAGAAACCCACGTATGGCGTGATAGGTTGAGCTGTCCTGGTTTGCTTTTTTGTCGAGTAATGAGCATGATATATCGCTAATTAGTCGAAACTCATGGTGATGTTGCTCCTATATGGTGATTTTTCGTTTTATAGTTATTTACAACGTGTAGGGAAATAAACTTTGAAAAGTATAATTAAATACAAATAAACAGCTAAATAAATTCATCGTAAAAATATATTCTGCGACAAGTGAGTGTTCTACTTATGTTTAGCAAACATTACAGCTCGGCAAAATTTGAAAATAATGCTGTTCGTATAAAGGTGTACTGTATATACATTTTTCTTTAATTTAATTCAGTCATAATCAGGAATATTATTTTCCTTTCACAAAAATAAAAAAAAAAACTTACTTTCATAGTGATGGAATTGCTTATTAGAATGAAATGGACAACTCTATTTAAGCTTAATTTCGTACCATGAAAAGCCTTAAAACAAGAGTCTCTCGTGAGCTATAAAACTGAGTGATAGTAACACTGCTTAAAATAAACCTTCAAATTATTTATCTTCAAAACTTTTTTCTTATTTATGTGTCTTGTATTTGAATTGAAAATCAATTCATAAAAGGGTCCCCTTCAGACCTGCAAAGTCATTTAGGGCAATGGTTAGGGAAAGCTTTTATTTTTCGACGTTGTTGATTGATTGTTTTTAAACGTCCTTTAGGGGATTTTTCACTTATATTGAGATGTCATCGCTTGCTTGTAGTGAGCTGCAAAATGACCTTTAGTAATGAGGGATCTTTTCCCTCACAGTACCCTCTGCAAATAGAACTTTGGTTTGTATGGTCTCATCCGAAGGACTGATCTCCACGTTCCACAATGGGAGTCAAACCCGCAATGCAAGGATCAATTTATTAAGTTCAAGTTCATTTATTCACTCAAGACCATTTAAAATATATGGTACATGAGAACAATGAAAAAATATTTACAGCGTAAAAGGCAAACGCTTCAATAACCACTGTGCCAGGCGGGCGGTTCGACATCGTTGGATATTCTGGTATCAGAATTGTTAATTGGCACTGACAAAACATTATAGTTTATATGGACTTAAAACGACACAATCGAATTTATTCTTTTTCCGTAAAACTGCGAAGTAATGAATAATGTGTTTAAGAGTTTCGAACTGCAAAAAGTGCATCATAGCAGATATCTCCGGCGAAAAGGAAATAATTGGACAGTAAAGATCACTTTCTCCGGAATAATTTCGTCCGCTGTGGTGGATTCAGATTGTTTGGATGATACGGCCTCAGAATAGTTTCATCTGATATCTAAAGGTTGCATGAAATCCCTCAAAAGAAACGGATATTTTCTGATTTCGATTATGAAATTTACACCCAAAAAGTAATATATTTCGTATTCTCCTGAGAAGAGGGGGAGGGAGGAGGGGTACGCAACCTTATAGTTCTGGCTTATCAGTCCATTTCATTGATCTCTAAGGAGTTTATGTAATAGATATACATCATAAAACATTTTCAGTTCAGGGACTCGGTGAATACAGTTTTCTACGAGGGGTTAATACCAGCATTTTACACACTTTTCCATTCTTGATTGATTTGATTAAATGAATTGGAATCATATTTTATAAATTTTGACATCCAATGAAATTGGTTGTTTAGTCCCTCAAGGCTTGAACGATTTAATATTACGGGCAGTTTTGTACTTTTGAACGTAATGATATTTAGATACAACCGACAACTTTAAAGCTTGTAAAAGAAAAAAATGAATTTGCCAATTATCAGTTAGTGCTATATGTCATTTATGTACGGGGATATATATAAAAGGGAACTTTCGTGTTTGATCGCTCCCGTACAGTGCAAATTTGCTCTTATGGCCAATGTAATAAATACAAACTTAAAATAAAAAGCTGACATTGTTTGTTACAAAATTACTTTACATTAATGTCCATATTAAAAAATCGCATTAATTATCGTCTTGTGACTTTTGCATGCGTAAGGTACCAAAGTCGGGACATGGATACCATATGACGTAAAATTAGAACCATGTTTGGCTTTAATCTACATGAAATCATTAATAGTTGATGAAGAATAGCAATTGCCCACACAAGACCTCGGGTTTTCCTTATTAAACAATATTCTCCTCACGATAAGCTGCATTGGTCCACGTCCCTGATTCTCGTAATTCGATATAGAAGTCTATACTTTAATTCAATATAAAGTCACTCAGTGCCATATATTTTAAAGATGCAAGAAACTGACACATACCACACTCTGATGATGAAAATTAATAAGTTAAATGTTTCTCTCGGCATTGTTCCTGAAAATAAGGCTAAAGATGGATAAATTTATTACCCTTGAGACGACAAACTCTGCAGAAGGCTTTGTACCTAATACTATAATAGCATGGCACCTCAAATTACACAACACCACTCCATACTTAGACCTTTGGGACCCGTTTAATGACCTTTTATAGGGGCGGAACGGACTTCCAGAACACAAACGATTAGCTTCAGTTTTGCTAGCCCCTAAATTATCTTTGGAATGCTTAGGTTTAAAAAGTCGATGTTTTTTGTTTGACCTAGAGAATTCAACGTAACCTTTTAGATGTCATTTGACCTACTGCTAGGAGGTTGCATTTATTCACATTTTCCACTGTAATAATAAATTCTTTTTGAGAGGATTTTTATGCTCCCCCTTTCAATCAACAAGGGTTGGAGGCGGATGGACTTTATTCAAAAGCCAATCTATAAAATTATACAGTATATAAAATTGATAACATTGACCTCCTAGAAGTTCGGTCCGGCACACCATGAAGTTACACATGCTTTAGTATTACGATGTGGAATAGCAAACCCATCATGCCTTTGCATTACAATAACTGCCTCTATTAACCGGAAGTTAATTAATCTCAATAATATTCGAGTCGATGGGGATATTTATCGGTTTTGCATGTATCTACAATGTTTATGTCACATAAAACCCGACTTCAGCGAGCAGTGAAAAGCTGGGTAGACTCATTAATGCAAATTAAGCACGGCTATGTTTCTTAGAGAGGTAATTATGTACGCTCTCCTTGACTGTCATGTCAATACCACAAACATGGATGGGCAGTCGCGACACTCCTTGGGCGAATGGAGCTCGGAACTGGTAAAAGGTGCCACTTCCCGATCCTTCCTTCATTAACATTTCAAATTATCTTATTACTTAATGTACCTTAATTTTTCAGTTATATTGCCCATAGATGTTTTATTTTAGTATTTTTTTCTATAGTTCATTTCCTTCAAAAACGTTTTGCCGAGAAAGTAGGTTAATACATTACAAAATGTCCTCATAAGCAATAAGATGTTTGACTTTAAAAAGAAATGATGAAAGGTCGAAACCATTTTAACAGCAATTCCAATAAAAGATTAAGCTGAAGTCGTTGGTACAAATTTTACTTCACGTGAAAGTCTTTAGTGTGACTACTTTTAGCATAATATTAAATGTATTTATTATAATTCAAACCAACTTTAGAGAAGTCTTTTTTTTCTGGATGCGGTTGAAAACAAACAGGTAGTCACCATGATATTTGCTCTAAATGCCAATTCAGACCACGTTTCTTTATCATTATAAATTAAAGTCATCTTTTATTGTGAATTGATAATCGCGATCAGTGTTGTAGACTCTCTCTGATACTCTCTCATGCTGATACCGATATTCACGCTCTCGTTCAAACTATCCAACTCTCGCTTCGAACGGTAATTTGCGGAAACTAAGTGGAATCTACGTCGGAAACACTAGTAATCCGGACAAAACACATTTATTGAATGATAATAATCTCGAAAGATTAACATAATATACTTCAAATAGGGAGAAATCCTTAATTGAATTACAATGCCATCGGTATTACAGATGCAAAGCACGGATTTTGCTTGGATACAATTGGCGGAAATGCCACGGATTGGTTCTGAATTATACAAATCTCGGCTCCCACAGAAAATAAACATAGGAAAAGCCCCAACTTCCTGAAAAAAATTCGCGAAAGAAATCGATCCTGTCACCTTTGTAATCTAATAATTTGTTTTATGAATGGAAAGGACTTTGGAGGGGGATAGGTTATTTATCAATGTTAGGGTGTTGCAAATCTTGAAAAGGCATATGTCTTGGGTGAAAAATTACCTAGAAATTCTATGCACATGCATAAATAGGGTTAAAATGTTATTCATTAAGCTTTTTAACGTCTTTAACGAATTGAAGTGTTATTCCACATTAGGCATCACAAAATTTGATATTGGTTTTAAGGCGCTCACACTCTTAATATATGTGTTGCAATGTGTTTCAGTTTCTTATGTTAATTTCCATTTCTCTTGCACCAGGAAACATTTCAAATTGTGGGAAAAAAATGTCATATTTATCACTGACCAGGGAATATTTTCTGTTGAAATGTATATGAAGATCACATTTTTTTTTTAGTTTTTTTTTTCTTTCGTATTTCCTCTAGCCCTGTCAACATAGAAAGCAATTTAGCCTAGAGTGATTCTGTAGTTCTTGACAGCTCATGAAGTGAACTCAAATTTAAAATGAATCCATGAATCATTTTATATTGTAAATTTTGAATGTACTAGGTAAAGGTATATGCAATACATTATCATTTTTAAAACTTGTATTTTTAAAAACTGTTCATGCAATTTGTCGTAAAGAATCAAGCACACTGAAAAAGGCTGTCAAAATCCTTTCGATAAAAAATCTCCTACCAAATCGTTATTAGAAGTCAGAGCACCGGCTCAAAATTAATTCTTGTAAAGCAAATATTTGCAGATCTCTGTTGAGGCTTTTGACGATACATCAAATCTCTCAGTTCTGCGAGATAATGAAGCCTCTAAGCAGGACCATCAATATGTACAGTAACTAAATTGCTGTTTTGCTACCCTTGCTTAATGCTTAACATTGCCAAGGACAATTGCAAGTTTACACGAACGCAATGACGAACAGAGAGAAACGCATTAATCAAGATAGCTAGTTACATGTTTCATTTATAGATGTAGTTCAGACGTTTAAATCTTCATTTTTGTTAATTCCTTGCCTTGAACTGTTTGACTGCTTTAATGCATAAGCAATAAAGCTACTAGTATTTGTAAATTATCCTAAAAATTGTTATAAAATTTTCTTTGAACGACCGGTACAACAGGGGAAATTTTTCTTCCTTGGCATTTCAAATCCATTAATACTTACCCATAAGGTCTGACTTTCAAGCACTTACTTATTTCATTTAATTTTCATAAATAAAAACTCTCCCAATTATTTACAAGTATACGACATTTTTTAAAGCATAAAGTGATTTTTGCCGAAAGAGTTCTCATCGAAAATAAAGTTTTGTTTGTTATAATTTTTAACCTTTCATTAATCGGGACCTAACTCTAAAAATTAAATTCACAAACTGTACTGAATTTGACTTATCAACATTTGAAGTTATGAGCATTTTGAACTCCATATTCGCCCATTCCTTTGTCAATCGAGTTACATTTCGAGTACATGTATTCGAATACCACCACGGTCGTTGACCTGTTGTTGGACCTAGTGCGGAACAACGCTGCGTTCATAAATGGCAACACAATTTGTTTCTTGTCATAATATCATGGCTACTTTTTAAGAAATCATCAATATCTACCCATAACCCTGGGCTGAAATGTTGTCAAATTCGTAATAAAACTGTCCCAATTCTGTGTTTTGTGAATTAATACCTTTATCAATTATAGTGATTTTTAGTTGTATTACGAGTACAGCTTCTCTAGGGTCTCAATAGTAAGCCTACTGTAGGTGTTGTGTTATAAAAGGATTCGTGTACATCCCGTGCCTCATTAGAAAAAGGTTTATCACCCCTTTTCACACATTCCTGACGTAGTTCTAGCTTAGTTTTGTTCCTTCCTTATGGTCTCAATCTCCTAATTATCAGTATCGTATTGAGTTGCAGTAATTTCTATTTAACTTATTGAAAAGTTGTCTATTGGCATAGCGGTATTTGGTATGATAAATGAACTAAAATTGAACTTAAGACTTTTTGTGAATAAATTACGGAAAAATTCAGCGCTTTCTCTATCTATGTACATAAGTAAGCACTGATTGGTTGGTAGTCATAATATTTTTAGTACCAATGTTCTAAGACATCTTTAGTTCGAAAAAGTGATAATTCTATGATTATTTTTATAAAGGTCTACGATATTTCGATATAGCTGAAACCATGATTCCACCGACAATAATGACTTGTTTTATTGTTCTTTTTTACGCACATATTCCCGTTTTTTTTCTATCCAGGAGGGTTCACCTTGGGGTAATTGTCCTCAAGGAACTTACGTCAGAACGACAATGCATTTTTATGTTGACATTGTTATTATGTTCCCCAAACGAAGTTGGGGAACATATTGTTTTTACTCTGTTTCTTATTATTATTATTCTTATTATTTTTCTTCCTGGGAAAATTTTGTCCGCGAGTGATCTTGTAAACTACACATCCGACTAAGGTAAAATGTTTTTAGGGTCAGTAGACATGTTATGTAGATTTGCCGAACAAAGGTCATTTTGCGCGCACGTGCTTGCAAGAGCGCGCACGTGCAACACGTGAAATGACCGATTTCATTGATATAGGCGTAACTTTTTTAATTTTTGATGAAATGCTTTGAAACTCATAATGTAAGGATATATTAGTAATATAGACAAGATGACATGGTCAAAATAGCAAGATCTCACGCGCATGCACGTGCGCTATGCTCTGATTGGCTGAAACGAAAGTCTCAATATCTTTCTTGTTTTTTGACGAAATCCTTTGAAATTTTGAACATAGCCATGCATTAGGATATCCTACAGCATGATATATAGAAATTATCATGAAAACACGTGCATGCACGTGCGCTGCAATCTGATTGTTCTAAACTTTAAATAGCTATAACTCCTTTGATTTTCAACCAAACATGATGGGATTTGGAACATAAATATATATCATGGACTTCTACAAGAAAGTATGGTCACCATGCACATGCATACACGTGCGTGTATGTGAGCTGCAATTTGATTGGCTGAAACTTTAAACAATAACTCCCTTGGTTTTCAACCAAACAGGATGGGATTTGGAACATAGATAGATGTAATGGACCACTTCACGAAGGTATGGTCACCATGCACATGCCTGCACATGCGTGTATGTGCGCTGCAATCTGATTGGCTGAAACTTTAAACAGCTATAACTCCTTTGGTTTTCAACCAAACGGGATGGGATTTAGAACATAGATAGAAGAATGGACCTCTTCAAGAAGGTATGGTCACCATGCTCATGAATGCACGTGCGTGCACGTGAAATGAGCAAAATCAAGAATACACTTGAATGAGCGAATTTTTTAAATACTTTTGGATTAAATACTTTAATATTTAGTATATTAAAATATATAGATTGTGTAGACAACATGATATGGTCATTATGTACATGATTCACATACGCACACATGCAATGCTAAAATTTGAATGAGCATGCTACATTTCTGGGTAAACGTTGTTTAAGTCTCAAATGCATAGAGTTTGTGTTATTTAATGAAGCTTACAGGGAATATGGCACCAAAAGGGAGTTGGGGAGCGTTTGGGGAACATCTGTAACGGTCCCCGTTACAATTAGCACTAGTTATAAATTATCACTATATTATCTTTCCAACACCTTGACAAGAGACTAAAACGTACACCTACCCAGCGCGAGTTTTCATTCATTGTTGACCTCATTTCTCAGTTATAAGGATTCTAATTACGTAATTGGCTCGTTGTGTATTGCAAATAGTTTCCATTTTTGTTAATCATTATATCTATGATAGTTGTATCCAAAATTATTTTTTCCCTGATCTACCTAGATGAAGGATGATCAACAAGATCTTGAAATTGCAAGGTCAACCAATCGCCATGTTTCATTGTCTGTTGAAATGAATTGCTAATCAACGTATCGCGATTTTTGAAAGGTCAGGATCTGATAAAGGTTAGGTCAAAATCGATAACTATCATCTACATCATTTTTGGATGTAATGTCAATATTTGTACTCACATCCGAGGTTCATCAGAAAAAAGCTGTTCAACTTTGTAAAGAGAGAAAAAATAACGAGCTATTCTTTGCATTTTAACGATACAATCTTGAAAAGAGGGAAATCTTGCATCTCTTTGTTGATTTTTTTAGTTGTTAATGGTAATTCCATTATTTGTTGGAAACAATCCTCTGTTATGTAATGAGTAGGTTGAATCAAGGTTGGAAAAAATCATAATCTAAATATACTCACACGGAAGTCGGTATGCTACCATTTCTATTAATGCGTGTAGATTCATCTTTATTGCATTTTATACAAACATTAAAACCAAAAATGTAAAGCATTGTTTACTGATGGTGTTTGATCAGAAATGACAATGAGTAAAGTGATTTAAATTAATTAACACTTGACAGGAAAGGCAAGGGTTGCAAAATGTTTAATTAAGATGCTTTTTGGATAAGGATATTGAGTTTTATGTGGCCATTACTTCTGTCTTCCATATTCAATGTAAATTTTACAAACACCACCAACAATTTTTCATAGTTCTTGAATTACTTCATCATTTCGAAATGATTCCTTTAACTGTGTGTTGTTTGAAAAATAAACAAGGAACATTTTCTTTAAACCTGTCCAAATAAAACTATGAAACAAAATCCATATATGCATTCATATTTAAAGATAATTATCTTGTTCCTTGGTTTTGGTCAGAAATACTGTGTAACAATTATTATTCTCGCCATTCGTAACTTTAAAATTCTACCCTGACTCTTTAATATTTCTACAATTATGGAGGAAAAATTAATTGTATAAATTACATACAAGACAGAATAAAGAGTTCTTGGCAAAAAAATATTTCCGAGTAAAATGAGGTCACGAAACACTTGGACATTTCTCACGAAAAAAGATGATTCAAATTTTGCGAAAACTTATACGAAAACAAAAACATGGAAAAACTTAATTTATAACAAGTTTATAAAATGCCGAATAAATATTTCACTTTCATTTATTGTCTTTGTATGATTGTCTATTTTGATTTTTTTTTTCTATTTCCAAGAAATTAATTAATATGTCTTGATGATGTCATCCTGCTCATTGTGATATCTAATGATTGATAAAAAATATATATATTGCAGGTCAATTTACGAAAACCAGGATAATTTAATCAAAAGAGATTGTGCAGGATTCCCTTGCATGTACACACATATGGCAGAAAAAGCAGGGCGGGCGTCTTTATTCCGTGCTCTCGCCAGGATCATTGACGACTGTGCGGCGGATCCAAGATGTAATCCAGGTGCGGATCTATAAAAGATTTGATCAATTTTGATAATTTTACAGTCATCATGGTCTTAACGTTTTCAATTTTAGTAATCATTTCATTCATAGTTTTATAACAAGGTGTCATTATTATAGTATGGGGGGTATTCTATTTATGAAAATTGAAAAGAAAGTGAACAGCGTCAAGGTATTGTACAGCGAGTGCAGGCATATACTATCGCCTGCGACAGTATGTCCTTGGAGACTACAGGAATAGTCATGTACCTTCCTATTTAACTCCTATAGGACGTGAAATCCTGTCATTATCCAAAATATATTTCGTCGATGCAATGCCATATTTTCTAATTAGCTTGAATGTCCTGTCTCAGTCAAAAAATCTTCTTGGATGATAATCGATCTCACACTTTGTTACAGATTTATCTTAATCATTTCAGTCATGTGCCTTTCGTCGAAATTTACTAAATCCCCATTTAGGTCATGTATATCCACTGGGAGTTACTATTTCAAGAAGACAAAGTTTGACCCGAACTTGACAAATGTCTGCAATAAGACGAACGCTATTGACAGTTCTCCGATCGGCGGTACTAATTGTGTTTGATTAATTAACTGTGTTCGTACTTCCAATTCTTGATATTGAAAGACCAATCGTAGCGTATGTAGCGAGCAACTTGTTGTCCAAATGAACCACTATTGATATTGGGTATACTATGTTAGCCCACACAAGTACTATAGTCTAATTTATTACATTTCCGAAGTTATTTACATTTTTAGCTCACCTGAGCTGAAAGCTCAAGTGAGCTTTTCTGATCACATTTTGTCCGGCGTCCGTCTGTCTGTCCGTCTGTCTGTCTGTCCGTGTGTCTGTAAACTTTTCACATTTTCGACTTCTTCTCAAGAACCGCTGGGCCAATTTCAACCAAACTTGCCACAAAGTATCCTTGGGTGAAGGGGATTCAGGTTTGTTCTGAAGGGCCACGCCCTCATTCAAGGGGAGATAATTGGGAATTAATGAAAATTTGGTGGCATATTTAAAAAATCTTCTTCTCAAGAACCACTGTGCCAGGAAAGATGAAACGTATGGGGAAATATCCTCAGGTAGTGTAGATTTGACCCCAGGGGGTAGGGCGGGGCTAAAATCAAAGTTTTACATAGAAATATATAGGAAAATTCTTTAAAAATCTTCTTCTCAAGAATGACAAAGCCATAATTCATCATATTTATATGGAAGCATGCTCAGGTAGTGTAGATTCAAGTTTGTTCAAATCGTGACCCCCAGGGGTAGGGCGGGGCCAAAATGGCCGACCAAAGCTTAACATAGAAATATATAGGAAAATTCTTTAAAAATCTTCTTCTCAAGAATGACAATGCCATAACTCATCATATTTATATGGAAGCATCCTCAGGTAGTGTAGATTCAAGTTTGTTCAAATCATGACCCCCGGGGGTAGGGCGGGGCTAAAATGGCCGACCAAAGTTTTACATAGAAATATATAGGAAAATTCTTTAAAAATCTTCTTCTCAAGAATGACAAAGCCATAATTCATCATATTTATATGGAAGCATGCTCAGGTAGTGTAGATTCAGGTTTGTTCAAAACATGACCCCCGGGGCTAGGGCGGGGCCAAAATGGCCGACCAAAGTTTTACATAGAAATATATAGGAAAATTCTTTAAAAATCAAGAATAGATGGAAGACCTACAAGTTTGATGACCCCGGGGGTAGGGCGGGGCCAAAATGGCCGACCAAAGTTTTACATAGAAATATATAAAATAAAAATTTTTCAAGAATTACAAAGCCATAATTCATCATATTTATAAGGAAGCATGCTCAAGTAGTGTAGATTCAAATTTTTTCAAATCATGACCCCCAGGGGTAGGGCGGGGCCAAAATGACCGACCAAAGTTTTTAAAGATATATATAGGAAAATTCTTTAAAAATCATTTTCTAAAAAATAGCAAATCCACGATTGGTCATGGGACTACTTTTGGATTTAAACTTTACATTAAAAAGCCATTTTCTACTTTTTCCTACCCTTAGTGCTCAGGTGAGCGATGTGGCCCATGGGCCTCTTGTTAATATCAAAGAGTGTTGTTTTCTCTCCTTCCCTTCTACTGGAACGCAGTTCGTAGTTCAGTATTCGCAATGCAAAAGTGAACTACATTCTAGAGCGCAGTTTGCAATTCAACTCATATACCATCAATCTAAATTCTACTGATTTATCTATATAGATAGACTTACTGATTTAAACAAAATATATTCAAGATTTTTGATTGATTTATACGCATTTTTCCTTGAATATGTTGTTGCTTTTTTATTTTTTAAATAATGCCATCTTCAGATTAAGCATCAAACAAAATAATTTATCATTCCATATTTTTTTCTTTACAGGACGAAGAAAGAGGTCCGTATTAAGGATGCTACGAAATAAATCTAAATAGACCTGTTTAAACGGACCAAAAAGAAAAATTGTCTCAAAGTTCAATTGACCAATCAGAGAGGCGAACGTCATTACGAGCGAGTTTATGGACCAATCATATTTATAACAGTTAACCTTTAGTGGAAGTGAGAGATTGTGTGTTCTAGTGCATAAATGAAGTGCTGTCTGCAAAAAACTTCTCCAACTTCCATTATTTTGTATCTTAGTGTTAAAAGCTTTAAATTTATTTATGTTATAATATCTCTACACAATAAAGTATTTTCTTTAGCTAGACTTTCAATCTGAAGAGAAACATCAATGAGAAAGGAAATGGAAATAAGTGTGATATATCGTTTATGTTTGATGTCAGTTAATTGGCGAGAGAGACGTAGAAAATTAGGAAAAGGTCAATTATATGAAATAATGAAAATAAATATATATTTTACAAGGTATTCAATACTTGTGGTGGTCCTTAGTGTATTAAAGCCGTGCACCTGAAAGAACATGATCAGTGAAGGAGTTAAGAGGGATAGATTCAAAACTTATGGCGAGATGAATTATTCGCGAAAGGAAATAACTGTTTTGTTACATTTTTGTGAAAGAAATTACACGAATCATAATTTGAATTTTGTATGTTTATTCCTAGAATAAATAAAGTGTTAATGTAAATACTGGTACATTTATATACCAGTATAAGATATATTCTCTACGTTCTACGATTCAAAGCATTTTCTTTGTAAATGACATGAATTCCATCGCAATACTTGAAACAATGCATAAGAAGTGCAATGTCCTTTTTTGTCATTTTACTGTAATCACTGCAATGATATTGATCCGAATTTTCTCAATCTCACTATGTATCACCCTGGGCTTGTATCAGGTCATTAGGCATTAACACTTTCTACAGTTAACATTACATTTCCGGGGACATTTGCATTTTTTATATCAAAGAGTGCTGTTCTCTCGCTTTCCTTTCAATGAAAAGTTAAGATCAATCAATTGTAAAAGAGCCGTGTAAAGACTATTTGATTTTTCGCGCCTGATAAAACAAGCATGCCGTACGCGATCTCATGAGTCATTTCCCCCGTCACACCGATGTTACGAAAGTAATTTATGATTTTAGGCTTTAATTTTGTCCATAAATGAGTTAAGATAAGAGAAAATGTTGTTTTTTTAACAAAAACTCTCCTTTTAAAACTAGCGGAAAAGACACACCTTAAATTCATTCAAAAAATCCCAAATTTCTGCTTCAATCAAAGTGTACGGAATTTTTAGGTGTGTCTTTTCCGCTATTTTCCTCACCTTATTCTTTTATTTTTAGTTTGTTAAAGTCTGGCTTGATCACAAAAAGCAAGGTTTTAAAAAAAATTCTACACTAGTACAGAAGGGGTTTAAGTTATTTCAGTTTGACAGTTTCACGCTGTATTTTTCAATGATCAATACAGAACTTTCGTGTAGGATTATTGTGAGGCCATCTTTAAAAAAAAATTGTTTGGTTGCCCTCTCCCGACCGACTAGCTAAACATGGCCCGGCTCAAACTTTTTTTAACCTCAATGAAGCAATTTTTTAAGTACTCTGGAAAATACTAGTAGAATTTGAAAAATTGGCATTGAAATTGAAATTTTCAGAGAAACAATATTCTCATCTACCTACCGATCCAATATTCAAAAGGTGGCCTAATAGTTTTTTTTTTTTTTTTTTGCTAATCCTCATAGATTTGATTCTTGTATATAGTAGTGTAGATGTGGTTCCCGTTTGATATTGACTCTATTTCCTCGTATGAAGCTACATGCAATGTTGACATGGTCACTACTGCATTGGCTCACTTTCCTCTTATGTAGCTACAAGTATAATTGACGTCTTCACTTTTAAAATTAGCTTCATTTTCTCCTATTGACTCTTTCTCCTTGTATGTAGCCAATGTTCACGAGGTCCCCGTTTCATTGACTCTTTCTCCTTGAATGTAGCCAGTGTTTACCAGGTCCCCACTTCATTGACTCTTTCTCCTTGTATGTAGCCAGTGTTGACGAGATCCTAACTTCATTGACTCTTTCTCCTTGTATGTAGCCAGTGTTGACGAGGTCTCCACTTCATTGACTCTTCCTCCTTGCATGTAGCCAGTGTTGACGAGATCCTAACTTCATTGACTCTTTCTCCTTGTATGTAGCCAGTGTTGACGAGGTCTCCACTTCATTGACTCTTTCTCCTTGTATGTAGCCAGTGTTGATGAGATCCCCACTTTATTGTCTCTTTCTCCTTGTATGTAGCCAGTGTTGACGAGGTCCCCACTTCATTGACTCTTTCTCCTTGTATGTAGCCAGTGTTGACGAGGTCCCCACTTCATTGACTCTTTCTCCTTGTATGTAGCCAGTGTTCACGAGGTCCCCACTTTATTGTCTCTTTCTCCTTGTATGTAGCCATTGTTGACGAGGTCCCCACTTCAATGACCTTTTCTCCACGTTTTTAGCTTGACGATATCCTCACTTCGTAACTGGTATTGACGAGGTCTCCGCTTCATTATTTCTTCCTACTTAAGTTTAGATTTTAACTCAATGCCTCTAGTAGAAAATAGACTGAAATGTTTGAAACCCTGCCTACTTTAAAATACTGCAGTTTAATGGTCATTAGCATGGTAATACTAGTATACATCAATTTATGTACATAGTGTATATATGTCCCCCGCCTTTGATAAGACCTGTCTAAATACACTATTTTTGACCCCCGTGACCTTGAAGTTTGACCTAGTTTTCAAAATGTTTAAACTTGGTCATAACATTTGAATGAGAAGAGATATGGCTTTCAAGTGTATATTACCTGTGACAAAACCTTTCTAAACACCGGTACGCTGTGATTTTTGACCCCTTGTTCTTGGACTTTGACGTTTGACATACGTACTTATCTACTTCTCAAAAGAGTTACTTTTTTCTTATAACTTTAGATTGAGAAGAGATTAGGGCTTTCAGATTTGACATGTGCATTACCCGGGTGTGACAAAATATTTCTGAGCATGTTATGATGTTGACCCTTTGACTTTCATGTTTTACCTAATTTTCAAAAAATCAACATTGGTGATAACTTTTTAATGACATATGATAGGGTGTTCATATTTGACACAATATGCCATAAATAATGACATCTCACCCATAAAGATGTCGAAAGCGGGGGACCACAATTCTTTGAATTTGCTTGTTTTATCTGTCATTTTTCATGGGCAAAAAGGACAATCAAAATGCTCATGGTGCGACAAATATGAGCGTGATAATTATGCAATATCAATTATGCTACAATTTTCTTTAAAATTTCATTCAATATTAACGTTTATTTTATTATGGAAAGTCCCCATAATTAAAGATTGAAATTTTATTTTGTCAATGAAAAAAGTTTACACGCTAAAGGTGAAAAAAAATCTCTCCTTTAAGCTTTAACACAGTATTTTTCATTCAAACAATAAAATATTTTCTTTGGTTGCTAGTACTGGGGTGATGAAACCCGCGTTAGCGGGTTATGTATTTTTTTTTTCTGCAAAAGCTGCGACATTCATCCCAGTACTAACAACCAAAGAGAGACATTTTATTGTTTATATTTATATCTATTTTTAAAAATAATCATTTAAAGTAGTTCAAAAAGATTGACTATTGTATATTTACATCCACTGAATATTTTCTCCTTTATTTCTTAAGAAAACCCATTGCGTTAATCACTGCATGAACTACATTAGGCATGTCGCCTGTACAGCAGGCATGTTTACGAAAATTTCCTAAGATTGTTCATAAGAAATTTCCTAAGACATATCTTAGGAAAATTTTAAGATCATCGTAAGATTATCGTAAGTTTTTTTTCAAAGCTATCTTATGATTATCCTAAACTAAGACGTCTTAAATCATTATGACATAGAAATACGCAAAGTTTTAAACCATTGTCAGGAATCAGAGAGTTGTCATTTTTGCTATAGAATAATACACGTTATGTCATAGTAATGAAAATATTTAAAAGAGTGTAAAAAAAATAGAATTTTTTTTTTAAATCTATAAAATTAATATAAACAATAATATATTTTTAAAATAATCATCTTATTTCGACAATATACTGAAATATAAAATTCAAATAGAGTCACAATTTGATCATTCAGAATTACTGAAGATGAAAAGCGCGCCAATTTGCTCGTGGAACCATTATTCATTCACAATTTCTGGTTCGACGAGAAAACAACCAGCAGATGAGTCGAGAGAGAAGCCCTAAATTTTCTCAGATTAAAATCAAAATACTGTTTGATGAGGTGGAGAAACACAGAGCCATTTTATTTTCAAAATTTTCCAACGTATCAGCATTGTGGGCAATATATGAGAAAATTAACAAATTACATCGACCACTGTAGGACGGTAGAAGAAGTGAAGAAGAAATGAGTGAAACAAAATAGAAGGCAGCGCAAAATCGGAGGGAAGCATGCAAGACTGGAGGACTGGCGGTATCTACATGCACGTCAGAGCTAAGTCACCGAAAAAACATTATACATGCTATAGTAACATGTAAACTCTTTCTCCCTCTCGCAGGTTAAGTGAGATTCAGTTGTTTTATTCTGTTACTGTAACATGTGACAGATTACATCTTACTATGTATGTCGTGCATCTGCATGAGGCACTGAATGTCATAAGAATTCTAACCATGGGTATTCTTGGAAAGTCTGATACGACGATTTCGTCGAGCCAGCAACACCATAGGCACTTAGTTTAAGAATGGTGTATTTTGAATTATTATGTGTTTTTCTAGGTGTGTCTGAATACTCTCGTTAAAATAGAAATTAAAAAATCCCTAAAAGCACGTTTTAAAAATGTCGTATGACTGTAATGCGACCATTTTTGCTTAAGATAGACTGAAGATATGTCAAAAGCTGTCTTAACTTTAAGATCATTCTTAAATAATTAATCTTTTTAATCCTACTTTAAATGATTATTCAAACAGATATAAATATAAACAATAAAATGTCTTTCTTTGTTTGTAATTACTGGAATTAATGGTCGCAGCTATTGCAGAAAAAAATTTACATGTATTTTTTCTTCAACAGCTGCTTCCGTTAATTCCAGTGATAACAAACAAAGAAAGCATTTTATTGTTTAAATATTATTGATGTGTACGTCTTCGTACGTTTCATTGATGGAACAGCCACTGAACAAGAAATCTGTACAGGTGATATGCCTATAGTGCTGTTCATGCACGGATTAACGGCAATGCGTTTTCTTAAGAAATAAAGGAGAAAATATACAGTGGATGTCAACAAATACAAATGTACGAGCTTTTTTTAACTTTATCTTCAAAGTATACGTTAAAATATACGGTTTTCGGGTAATGAAGAATGGAACAAAGACCCACTTTACCTTTAAATGACACTTTTTTGCTTCAATAATTGTTCCTTTCGGGGAAATGGTTGAAGTCAATTTTATCATGGATCATACTCGTATCACTGACATGATTCAACTGCCGCAACTCGTCATTTGTGAATGTTCTTGTCATAGTCCTTTTTTTTTATTTTTGCTTCATAGAAAAATACAGATACTCGGAATTTTCATTGCTTGGTTTGAACTCCGAGATCACATAGAAAACACATACAATTTGCTTAGAGAATTTTTCACAGAAAAAAACTTGTGGTCATATTTCGTTCGTTTCAATTATAATACCATTACTCTGAATACTAAATTTGCAAAATGAATTCTTTTTAAACTGTTGAAGCTAAAGGCATTTTGCACGCCTTGTTCGCCCATCTCTTATTTTGAGAGGATAATTAGACTTCCTGATGTGTTCTTAATGTAAAGAAGACTGTAGAATTATATTCCCATTCTGTAGCCCTAGATTGTGAAATTGACACAGCAAAAAGTGTTCGACGTAAAATTTCTTGACAATTTGAAAATGAAAAAAATACTGCCCAAAAATGATTTTTCTTAAAACCATTTGATATGAGAAAAAATCATCAACGTTTTCCCTCCGGTATTTTTATCCAAATAAAAGCATGGAACAAAATAAACTGCAAGTCTATTTTACAAAAAAACACTTTAAAATTGTGACTAAGGAAAAGTTTTCAAATTGCTTCGCATAATCAATTATTTGACCTTTCTGCACTCACAAATTGTGAATTTTCTGACAATTGAAAATTCGATAAGCAGGAAAATTAATTTAAAGTCAACTAGCTTTTTGTGTGCAACTAGCATGGAAAAATAGAAATCTGAAATTAACAGTACTGTACGAGGGGTTATCAAAAAGTTCGTGGACTAGCGTCATAAAATTAAAACCGCTTTAAGCACATCAATGAATTTTAAAACATGTAGTAAGCAACATCTTTTCTATCTAAAGAATAAACCATAAATCATAAATTTTATTTTTTAATAAATTAGTGATGTTTTTGTAAGCAATGGTATGTCCATGCGGCGCAACCTCGAACACGACGTTTTTGCGACCTATGTGTAACTGAGAAAAACTCTTTTGATATGGTCATTTGACATCAAAAAATCCCGTTAAATCAGGTATGTGTCTGGACACAATTGTTCCATAAAATACGAAATTTTCACTTTATTCTGGAAGTTCTATGAAATTTTACCACAAATTTCACACGGAATGTCCAACAAATGAGGCCTTGAAAATGACGTCAAAAGGGGGAGGGGTTTTCCGTTTCCAACATTCTGTAAAGTTTTGCCCCTGAAAAAAACTGGTATAGACCTAAAATATGTTGAAACTGGCTACAGAAATAAAATGCATCCAGAGTACTTGTCTTGTAATGTCAAAATAGATTCAAAGAGAAGAGGGATACACAGTTAATGTCGATGTGCAGTCAAGGTGTGAAAAATCAATCACGTCAAAAAATGACGTTGATCATGCGTTATAGGTATTGAACTCCCAAAAGCAAAATATGCCGGCACAATCAAGCGCGAATCTCTCCAAATGTATTAATCCATTTGGAATATTATATTCATTGAAAGCCACTGTTCATGACATTGTAAAGTCATATACATGTAACGGGAGAGGAGAAAACAAGGCGGGTTTAAGTCAGGTGCTCTACCAACTGAGCTATCTGGCCACCAGGGTTCCTCCCTCCTTAAAGGTCTTTGGCCCTCCAAAGAGGCTCATCCCTGGCAGGTCTTTCACCTGTCAATTCCAGGGCATGGCACGGCACCAAATGTAGAAAAAGAAGCGGACAATGAAACTCCGGTCAAAAACATCTGGTCGAACCCGGCTGACCGCCACATACACAAGGCGGGTTTAAGTCCTTACTCAGCACCAGGGTTTCTCATCAAGAAAGTGTATGTGGTAGAAGAAGCGGACAATTAAAAAACAATGACGTTATCGGACGTCATGAAAATAAACGACGACAGCGCCGGGTGATCATATATTGTTTTCATTTTAAAATAATTTGGAAAATAAAGAACGTATCAGGCTAAAATTTTCAACATTTCTTAATTTTTTGTTGTTTTATGTTCCATATAAATTTGGAAAGCACAGACTACATAGTTCAAATTTTATAGCCTCAGTCCACAAACTTTTTGATAACCCCTCGTATATAGTTCAAAAGGGAAAAATGATGCAGAATTTTAGAAATAAAGGTCCAAAATCGACTCAAAAGCACAAGATCGAACGTCCCTAAACAGTAAACTAACCTCACTTATCATGCCATATCAATTATTCTTGAGAATTTCTTGGCTTTGTTGGGTGTATTTCTTCATTATTTTTTTTTACTGGCCTAAACACTGAGGCCTGTTCAACAGAGAGAGCGCTTACGAACATTTCTATAGGTGGTATAAGGACTTTTGACAAGCACTGGTCAATGTCCATTCCTTAGTCTTTTCGAGTTTATTTCACAAGAAGCTGGTACATGTATGTAAAGATGGTATTGATGATGGTGGTCATGATGGTTTTACTAAATACATTTGATTTAAAAACTTAAGCTAATTTGTTTTGAAAATCTCTCTCTCTATCTCTCTCTCTCTCTTTTCTTTCAAACTTTTGATTAATTACATTTTTTGTAGCCATTAACATAAAAGACACAATACTCTTCCATAACTTTAATTTTTCTAAGACTTAATAATAATTACTATAAAACAGAGTGAAATGTAATTGCAAAGATTCCCATTAGTTACGAGTATGCCAGAAAAATTTGGCAGGATAAACAACATAATAAATCTTAATTGATACATGTCATTCCTCCTTTTACAGTAGGTGGATTTCGCTTGAATACTTCACTTTCAACCATCAGTATGAGTACTGAAAAAAATCTTACATTAAAAATAAGATTTTGATATACCCGGGTACTGTAAAATCAAATTTTTGTGGGGGTTAATTTAAGTTGTTTTCGTGGTATGACTTCATCCATAAATCCATGTCTCCCACAAAAGGTATTAATTCAAATAAATAACACAAGAAAATAACTAAAAGTTGTTCAAGTTTTCTCTGCTCAACAGAAAGTATTTATAGACACATTTGTCTACCTGAGTATTTTTATATAAGCACATGATTTGATATATAAACAGTATGTCTTTGTTTACTTATGTACAAAAATAATCTATACATAAAAGCATAAAAAAATTGAATGTTTCATAGTCTTTTTATATACACATGTATACATACTGTTTGTAGCACTCAAAATTACACATTTTTGCACAAATGCTTTTCATGTTTACATATCTAAACTCTTAAATCATCCAATGACATACACATTGATCATTAAAGTCTGAAATATTTCAACATCAAATGCTGTTACAAAATGAAAGTACATCAAAACAAAAAACAACAAACAAGAGGCCCATGGGCCACATCGCTCACCTGAGTTACTTTTGTGATGCAGTTCTTTACCAGATTTCCCCTCTTCTTATATCAATTGTGGCCCCTTACCCCCCCCCCCCCCGGTCTTGATTTTAATAACTTAGATTCTACACTGCCCCAGGATGCTTCCACCTAAGTTTCAGCTTTCCTGGCCCACTGGTTCTTGAGAAGAAGATTTTTAAAGTTTTTTCCAATATATTTCTATGTAAAAATTGGATTTCATATTGTGGCCCCGCCCTAACCCGGGGGTCAGGATTTTAACAATTAAGATTCTACACTACCCCAAGATGCTTTCACATAAGTTTCAGCTTTTCTGGCACAGTGGTTCTTGAGAAGAAGATTTTTAAAGATTTTTCCTATAAATTTCTATGTAAAACTTGGATTTCCTATTGTGGCCCCGCCCTACCCCCGGGGGTCATGATTTTAACAATTTAGAATCTACACAACCCCAGGATGCTTCCACATATGTTTCAGCTTTTCTGGCCCAGTGGTTCTTGAAAAGAAGATTTTTAAAGATTTATCCTATATATTTCTATGTAAAACTTGGATTTCCTATTGTGGCCCCGCCCTACCCCCGGGTTGCATGATTTTAACAATTTAGAATCTACACTATCCCAGGATGCTTCCACATAAGTTTCAGCTTTCCTGGCCCAGTGGTTCTTGAGAAGAAGATTTTTTAATGATCCCACCCTATTTTTGTCTTTTCTTGATTATCTCCCCTTGGAAGGGGATCTGGCCCTTTATTTTATCAATTTTAACTCCCCATCCCCCAAGGATGTTTTGTACCAAGTTTGGTTAAAATTGGCCTAGTGGTTCTTGAGAAGTTGAAAATGTGAAAAGTTTACAGACAGACAGACAGACGGACGGACTATGGACAAAATGTGATCAGAAAAGCTCACTTGAGCCTTCGGCTCAGGTGAGCTAAAAATATTCATGCCAACATGTCTGCTGAATCAACAGGTACTAAAATCTGCCACATTTGGAATGTATTACAAGGCGCAGGAAATCAACAAAAAAAAACAGCAACAAGTTTACACGAAACAATGGCTGACCTCAAGCACTTGTTAACAATGAGGGTTTTCCAATATGGCCCCCACATTTCCTCTGTCGACATGCAGACTGGTCACAGTTTATTATGAAACGCTTACATGTCAAGAACTTCACAAGGCAAATCAAAATTTGTCATTGTTCCAAATCATTAAATTCATATTGAGGGCAATTAGTGGAAAATTGATGATGCACTGAATGAAAATTGTTATGGAATGATTGTATTGGTTGATAAATGACAAATGTTTGTAATAATGCACAATAACAAAAACTACCTTTAAGTTGTTCTTGTTCAAATATTGAAATAAAAAAACAATAAACCTTTCCCATTTAAACAAAGTGACATATTATAACCATGTTATCAAAAAGGAACATGATGTAAGATTTGTTACAATGCTATGGATGTTTGTAGTGAAATCTCATTCATGAATGAATTCAAGTGAATCAAACCTAGAATATGGAGTTATCTACATAATTAACAATACATACATGTTAACTGACTAATATTTGCAGTCAATTTCATGAGTACACAATAGTCAATACCTTTTCCTGACCTAAAAAATCTCTACACTCACACTCAAAGGAAAAATAATAGCATCAGCAGATATTTTTATCCACGAGATTTAAATGCTATGAAATATCTTCACCATTAAAATAAACAAAGTTTTTGCATTGTGTCATAATGTGTGTACATAATACATAGCAGAAGAGACATATTAATCTAGCAAAGTAATAAATATACAATTATGTATACAAATAAAAACATGACAAAAATAGAAATATGTCCATAGGACATGAATGCCCTGCCGAGAGAATATTAGTAATACGACATAAAAATTTGTATTAGTGTATGAAATTTGATCAGAATATCTTGAAAATATAGTGATGCAGTTGAATTGCTTACATCAGTATGCATCACAATATTATGTTTGAGTCTAATTTCACAAAAGTGAGGTCTAAGTCAAAGGAAAAAAATATAAATGGTTTCTTTAAAATGGAACACGATTTGATAAAAGTGAGGTCAAAGTCAAATGAAAGGTCAAGGTAAAAAATGTTGATGCAGTTGAATTGTTTACATTAGTATGTATCACCATATATAGTTCGACACTAATTTAGGAAACGTCAGGTCAAGTCAAAGGAAAGGCCAAAGTCAAAAAATGTTGATGCAGTTGAAAATAAAAATTATGAATGGTTTCTTTAAAAACTGACATAAACATAATTTGATAAGAGTGAGGTCAAAGTAAATGTCAAGGTAAAAAATGCTGATGCAGTTTAAAAGCTCTCATCATATCTATCAGCATATGAAGTTTGATAAAAATATCTTGGATGGTTTCTTTAAAACTGAGCTAAACACTAATTTGAGACGTGTGGTCAAGATCAAAGGAAAGGTCAAGGTCAAAAATGGTCAGGCAGTTGAATAGCTCTCGTCAGTATACATCAACATATGAAGTTTGATAATACCATGATCTTGAATGGTATATTTAAAACTGAGCTAAAATCTAATTTAAGAAAAGTCAGGTCAAGGTCAAAGGAGAGATCAAGGTAACAAAAAATTGATGCAGTTGCATAGCTCTCATCAATATCCATCAGCATATGAAGTTTGATGAAAATATTTCAGATACTTTCTTTGAAACTGAGCTTTGAACTGAGCTAAATGTAAAGTGTGACGAAAGGACAGACAGAAGGACGGAAGACGGACATGACAAACACTATATGCCCCGGCCATATCCATGGCGGGGTATAAAAAATAATACACAGTTTCATATACAATAATAAAATATCACTAAATGTCTCGCTCTGGTTGATTACTTTCAGTTTTAAAGGCGCTCTACATCACTAAGTTCCCCTATCATGCTTGCTTAACTCTCCCCCCTTTCTGGACAAACCTTACACATTCAGACACAGATAAGAAGCATTACATATTGCATACAATCTTTAAGGAGATTTTCTTCTGTCCACATAAATCCATAATGATATGTTTCTGTGTGAGATCAACAAGCAGTAAGAGAAGGAACATCCTCTCAACCAAACATCCTATTCTCTGCCACAAACAGACAGACCAGCAAAAACATGGTCACAAACAGGAGCACCATTAAAACATCTGGCGTAATCAGCCAGAGCAGCCACCGTCAAACGGTGATCAGGGTCCCGGGGGAGCTTGATACGGAACTGTCGGAGGGAGTTCGGACTCGCCGCCTGCAATATTTCCTATAACAGGCCTCAATCTGTATAAATTAAGGATTTTAAAAATTTATTACTCAGTGACAAAATATGAAATCAAATTTTATATTACAAAAATAAAACTTGAAGTTCAGAAGATTGGGGCATGTATGAATGAAAGGATTTATCAAATAATACTACATAGTCATTCACTGCTACAAACAGGAAATTTTAAGAGAATGTCATATGAAATAGTAAAAGTTTAAAATTATTAATCAAAAAGTTTTCTTACCTGCTCATAAAAATAAGAAGAGATCATAAAAAGAATGAGTAATACTAGGGATAGGTGCGTTAGCAGCCTCATCCAATCACGGTACACCTTCCACTCCCGCAGTTCATCCACATGCATAAAGCGGTTTCTGTATTCCCGCGGCAGCTCAAACTGACACCGCAGCGGGAACAGGGCCTCGTAAAAATCCTGGAGTATTGCCTTCACCTGTAAAACAAAACAATGAAAATTAGTATGAGCTCAGACTTCTTTTGTATTGAAGTCATACAAAGTTAATAAATATTGGAGTACTTACTGTTTTTGCATCGTCACTATCATGGTCAATGTTGTCATTCAAGCAAATAAACTTTCTGCAAGTAAAAAACACCCATCATTTAATATCTAATCCTATTACTCTCTACAAATTACTCTCTAGAATTCCCAGTTGAACTAAATATAAAATGAATTTTGCAATACCGTTGGTACCTAGATCCGACTTACTTTGGATTTTTGCGTATATCATCGAGTTGCCCCACTGTGGTGGAACTGTTAGTTTTGATCATTTTAAATGCTATTTCACTATCTTCATCTGTTGTGTACCTTAAAAATAAAAACTTCAATCTAAATACTTAGTATGCCATTTATAGACACAATAAACCTTTTTAGGAGCATTGAATTCTGATTTTTTGTTGAATTCTGTCTCCACTATCAATATAACTTAGTCAGAATGTGCTATGTTGTTGCTAGTTTCCATCCATTGGGGAAAATATTTTGAAACCTTCATTTTAAATTCTGTAATTCACTGATCTAACAAAACAATCTGCTGACATTAATAAAAGTGTAGGCTACATATGTACCTCACTTACTGGTGTATCAAAATTGTGCTGAACTATAACTTCATAAGTTCTATTTCCATATGATTGTTTCAAAGACATACAGGTAAGTTGTACATGTGAAATCTACAAAACTATTTTGATTACTATTTTAATAATCATTATTTTTTGAACAACTTATGTGACATTGCTGTTCTTACTTGTACTTGTTGACTGGGGGGAATTTTTTCTGCACCAAGTCCTTGACCCCTTCACACTGAGTAAACAACAACCTTGTGACTTGAGGCTAAAATTGATTAAAATTGATAAATCTTAATTACGAAGAAAAATGCACAATCAGATTTGATCTAATTAATGTTGACTTAATGAACAAGGAAATATGTCACAGGTTAAATATTTCTGCCATAGATTTATTGAATGTATGACCTTAATCACTACGTCAATGTCTAGAGCAATAAGTGATTTAATCAATAATGACAAAATGGCTGTCTACTAAAAATCACTGTATATACAAAGATAACAAATAGACAACAAATGATATTATTTTCATACATTGTAACAAGATTTGTCATTGGTTCATATGGCATCACATGTCAAAGTATATAAATGTGAATAGACCTGGACTTTCTAATTATAAACTTGAAAAACTCAGATAGACCCGAGCTTTCTTAAAACAGATACAGCAACTCCTCTTTGTAATTATGACGTCATAGTGGATAAGACGTAACAATGCCCTGAGTGTGGATCTACGGCACATTGATAATAGATGTTTAAATGCAAAAAAAATCATAAGCAAATTTAGTATTTCAATTTTTCACATTCCCTAAATTATTAATTACATATTAAAAAAAATACACAATGCCATTAACACAGCAAATTTTGTTTCAAAATTTAGTGTCCATTTGTTAAGAGAGAAGAAAACTTTATTCTTTTTAAAAATCAAATTTGTTTTGCTTATTTAAAAAAAAAATAACATAACAAATGTAGCCCTTTCATTCGGTCAATCCATAGATATATCGACTTGACAGATAAGCTTTTCTGTGAAGTGGATATATCTATGGATCAAACGAATGAAAGGGCTATATTTGAATAGAATATTGACCATCATAAATTCTGTGATAGGGTCACAATATATAACTGATTTCTAACCATTCTCTTGTCATAGTATTCCTCTGCTTCCTGATGGTTAACTTCCTGTTTGGTAATTTCCTGTTCTGTGACATTGGGGGACTGACTACAGTTGATAAACAGCTCTTCCAAGTTGGTCAACATCTGAAAATAACATGATGATAGACAATGACAGTAATTTTGCTTTACACATCTTAGATACAAAGTTTGTTTAAAATGAAAAGCATTACAATTTATGACAGCTGTACTAACCCTAGCCTGATGTGAAGCATATCAGTACTTTGATTATTTTTAGCTATTTTACCTTGAGTTCTAGAGGTAGTTCATTTACTCTGGCAGCCAAGGTTCTGATCTCTCTATCAGACAGTATCCTGGAAATGATTGAAAGAATTATAAAGTATTTATTCAATATCAATAAATTCAAAACAGAAATTGCACAGAAGCAATATTTTGACGTTTCACAATGCCACTGATACCCCAAAGCAACAAGAGGTGAGCTCTTCATAGAGCAACTTATATAGTAGCTATATTAAAAAATAACCACTCTGACCTTACACTGCACATTTCAAAGCTGGGAGCAAACATTTACCAGGGGTATATAATTTATCATGACAAAAATATGAAAATGTGTGAACAACAAACCCTGCTAGCCCAAATTTATTTATGTTTATGTAACAACAAAGCCATCTTACCCTGATTTGTCTGTGTCTAATTCTTCAAATATCTCCTCAGCAGTTCTATTTCTTGTGACCCCCATCAGATAATAGAAGTAAGAAAATGCAAACTGCATGTCATTTCTGCTGCGGATCTTATTGGAGGAGGTGACCTCAAACTCAGCTGGAAACCTGGTGAAAAATAAAGGATGAAATTAAAACAGCATCTAGTACATGTACTTAAAAGACAAAGTAGTATTTTTGAGAGGAATATAACAAACTTGCATAACTTCATCCAATTTTTACATCTGATACAAAATTTTCTCTCATAATACAAAATGACTGTCTATAATAATTAGGGATGTCAACGAATATTCGAATATTCATTCGATGAGTTGATATTCGAATATAAATTCATGATTCGAATATTCGTTTTTAAGTATACAAGCATTAAAAAGAGAGAAAAACCTGGCAAGTTTTATTAGAAATTGAATCAAGTTTGTACAAAATTTAAAAAAAAAACCACTGCTCTAGAATTACCTTAAAGGTGTGAAAAGCCTCTCAATTGGAGTAATTTATTTATTTGTTCACCTAATTAGTGGTATAATAGTGTCCAGTACTTACAATCAGCTTGTATTGTTGTAAAGACACAGTTTTACAGTAAACACATGGATCCCTTGTTTATATAAATATCCTTAAAAATCATTTTCAGGAAATTAATTAGCAAAAAGTAATTGTATTAATATTTCACCGTTAGATAATTGTTCTGCTTGGTATAAATTTGTAGGAGCTATCAGTGTAGACTTTAGTAAGAAGATCAATTAATCTGGAACACACTAAAGAACCTTATGAATTAAAAAAAAAAACAATCATTACATTTTGGATGCATACAATTCATATTTTCAATAATTAAAAAATATATATAAAATAGCAGTGCATTTACCGAACTCTACATGAGTTTTTATTCCAAAATAATGGCATAAAATCTACACAGCTTGACAGGAGAATGAAGATATGTATTTAATAATGCAAGATGTATTTATTTTATCGAATATTCGAATATATTCGAATACTTCTATCGAATATTCGAATATCAATTATTGACAATTTTGACATCCCTAATAATAATAATAATAATAATAATAATAATAATAATAATAATATCCTTTATTTATACAGGATGGCACAATTAGTTAACAACTAGTTCACATTGTGGTCCTGAAAACATTTGTACAGACAGAAGATTATGTACAGAAATCTTGTGCCTTGATTTATTGTGTCTAACATCAACCAATAGTAATTAAGGAGCACCATTTGACATGTAGGAATTATTAACCTTTCATGGAGTTCATTCATGATGTCTTTATCCACCATGTGTGGCATGTGACCTGGGACCTTCCTAGCCGTGTAACCGAAGGCTTTGTTATACAGACGATTGACATGTCTCAGGGAATCCCCAAACGTATCCAGAAGTTGACGACCTCGGAACACTGGCACCGTGTAGGCATCCATTGCGTTTTGGTTTTCTTTCTCCTAAAAGAGCACAGAAATTGAAACAAATATGAATATGCAACCGTGCATGTACAAAAATTGCCCTTCAATTAGAACAAATTTTTAGTTTATGTACCAACAGTCTGTGCGGCAGCTAGTCTGTTTGTCTGAGCAATCTATACACAAGCTAGGCTTGGACTGTTCATTTTGAAAACTCAAGGACTAAAAAGATCAACTTTTTAATACACTTACACCATTACATGCGAACTTACCTGTATCAGTTTTCTGAATACACCAAGTCTTTCCCAGGGGAGGTTACTCTCTGGTTCACTCCCCATTCTGATTACATCATCAAGGTCACCCTCTGTCTGAACGACGTCTCTGATTGGCTGCCTCATTCTGATCACTGACAGGAGACTCCGCCTCTGGATGCTTCCTTGCTTTGATTCCTCCAAATATCTCTGGTATTTTTTCCACAATAGACTTTGCTTGAGTTGAAATCCCTTCTCAGTAATCTCCCCTTAAGAAAAAGAGACAAGTTCATGTAAATTACTCTTTTTGTTGTTGCTGTTTTGTAAATGTTATATTATTGAGGTGTATGTGCTGCCATAAACCAACTTATTTTCCTAGCCCTATCAATATTCTTACAAATTTATGTTCATCAAAAAAATATACAACTATATATATGTACTTCAGTTAGTGAGTCATGAATCTTTGGTATACTCTTCACCATGCACCTACCATTTTCCAGTTCCTGGTTAATGGATTTCCATTCCTCTAGCAGTTCCTCTGGCATTGGTTCAGCACTGAGGTTAACCAACTGAGGCACCATGGGAATCTTTTCTACATCTACTGGCTTTTTGGGGCCTCTAAATATTGACATATTTGGTAAGACAAAGCAAACATTCTTCATTTTACCAAGCTTGTCTTTGACAAGTGATCAACTCTAAAATAAAATTCTAACTTTTCTAGTAAAGTAAAAATGAAATTATACACACATTCCAAACAGAATGCAGAGGCAAGTCAAAGAATTCTATTACATTTTTTTTCTTTTGTTTCCTTGTTTAACTGTGAAAAGATTTAAATAAATGTAACAAAGGAATAAAAAATGACTACCTTTTGTGTTTAGGTATATCATAGATATAAGGTTTTTCTGTGGTTGTAATGTTGGTTTGAGTATTATTAGCGATTTTCTGTAAAATCTCTGCTGACTTTCTCTGCTTTGTGTCTGTCATCAGGGTGAAGGTTAACTGTTAAGAACAATGTACAGCTCTAGTTTTCGAACATGTTAACATATTTTTGGTATTTTCTAATCAGTTGAAATCTTAATTTTTTTTAGCATGTTTGGCCTTCTAGATCTATGGATATGGGAATATCTTTCGATGTAGACTTGCAAAAAAGGGCTATTACTCCTGATATTAATTTGAAGCCACAACAAATATAAAACATTTTCAATATCTTACATTAAATGTATTGGTGTCATTTCCTGTGTGACCTTTCAGGTTGAAATGAACAACTGTCCTGTTGTGGTCACTGTACAGCAGAATAGTAATGACCTTGAACTTGTTGGCTACCGAGGCTGATTTTTATACATGCACACACTGTATATATTTGAAAGAAACAAAATATTATTATCCTGTAACTAGGGTATAAACAGAAATTTTAACGATAACCCCATTTAGCATTTTATACCACATATTTATGTAAAGAACTTCTCTGTGACCAACAAGAGGCCATAACAAATATAAACTTGTAATACATTTTCAGATAATAATCTTACATTAAATGATTTTTCCTATATATTGCTATCATTTCCCGTGTGACCTTTCAGGATTTTTAAAGATTTTTCCTATATATTTCTATGTAAAACTTTGACAGCTGTCCTGTTGTGTTCACTGTTTACAGCAGGATAGAAGATTTTCAAAGATTTTTCCTATATATTTCTATGTAAAAAATTCCCCTTGTGGCTACTGATGCTACCCAAGAATGCTTTTATAAGTTTCAACTTTTCTGACAGTATTGTGAGAAGAAGATTTTTAAAGATTTTTGCTATATACAATATAAAGTATGTGGAGCCCTCAGTCATGATTTCCAACCAGGCTTTCTGTAAGGTTATTAAGAAGAAGAAAGCTATATATTTCTATGGATTCTCCCGGGGGTCATGATTTTAACTAGAATCTACACTAAAGAAACAAAGTATTTTTATATATACTGTAAAAAACTACCATATAAGCAGATACTGTATATTGAGAAGAAGATTTTTTGATAACTATTTTTTAATCTCCCCTTGTGAAGGGATTTGGCCATTTTAACTGTAAATTTATGTCAAAATTGGTCCAGTGGTTCTTGAGAAGAAGTCTTCTGTGACCCAAAACCTACATTTTGGTGTCATACTTCACACATAAATGTACTTTATACTCAAATGATGCAGTATATACTACATACCTGGCGGGACAGCATACTTTGTTGTATTTCTGTACAGTTTAATCTCATATAAATCTTTATAGTTAAGCACACCACAATCTCCAACATCATAACCACAATTGTGTACATTACATGACTGGAAAAAAATAAAGATTATGATTATAAGTACATGTATAATTATTACAGGAATAGAAAAATATAGAATATGATTATAGTATAGACTTTCAAAGTTTAGCTCTCTGACACTACTGTTATATAATAGAAACTTTATTAATGCACATTTTTTTAAAGTATTGGGATGTAAATATTATATAAATGTACTGTAATTTGTTGGTTCACACAATTAATGATAAAATGCACTCAATGCAGTAATAATTTCAGAGATGGCACTTTAAACTTGTTACACTATTGTTACATAATAGAAAAAGCACATTTTTTTAAAAAATAACACTCACTGTATGTCATTAAATTGCAACCAGGAGGTGGCACAACCCTTGTTACAGTACTCTGTCAGAGAAAAATATTACAAAATCTTACCACTGAAGGTCATCAAATTGCATTCCTATACTTTTTATTGAAAAAAATAACACAATTCTTATATTTTCAGCAAATAAGCTGCTTTCTGTATCTACTCGTAGACTAAGTAGAGAATGATGAAATTATATTGTTTAATCCTAATCTTAAAATTAATCAATCTCATATTCAAAACTTTTAAAAATCTCTTAGAATTACTGAAATTCAGAACTTACTGTTTTCACTCTCAGCACTGTATCCATACCCCGGCCACTGTACCCCTCCCCCTCCCTGATGAGCTTTCTCTCCTGGTCAAAATAAACAAAGAATTATTAAACACAGCATCAATATGTGTCTAAACCATAAAAATGAATGAACACTGAAAATCCACTCTAAATGAGCAAATTTGAAATTGAATAACCCATTACAGACAATTCTTCAAAAGATCATTAAATTCTTCATTTCTTCCCTTTAATAAAACTTTTAAAATTAAAAATCTGGAAGTTATTTTCTATATGATAAACCTTCACAATCTCCTCCGTCGAAGTCACACTCTGAATTATTACAGGCTTTGTCACAGTAGCCATCATTGATCCACGTGGAGGGGCAGCCCTCCTGACAGCTGGGAATGGGCCAGGTCAGGTACACCCGCTGTCCTGTGGCCTGGGTGAAGAAATCCTCTGGCCACACCTCCTTACCAAACATTACGTCGTCATTCATGTAGATAAACTTCTTAGACAGGCCAGGAATCCTGTGAATGTTAGCCTCAATAGCTGGGGAACTGAAGGTGGGAAGGTGGCTCTTATTGGGAAATATATCCTGTGTAACAGAAAAATTGGGTGCAAGTGGCAATTCAACAAATGCTTTAAATCGTTTAATCTCCTTTCCTTATATAGTGTATTTATTTTTATATGTCCTTTCCACTTAGTCTTCTAAGCTTCTAAAAGCATAAACAGAAGAATCATGTTCCAACAATCACTGTAACACGTAGCACTTTATATATATAATGGAGCTCATCATAAAATCTTGTAGATACCTCGTGTGTTACTACGGTAACCCTGGGATTTTCCAGATCCAGCCAATGGGGAATCTGTCCGTTAGTGACGATGAAGACATGTCTGATCCAGGGAGCAAACTTCTCCACCGATCTCAGGGAGTATCTCAACTCGTCATTGTCCTCAAATCTACTGCTCGAGATATCCTCATCTCGACTGAACTGAAATAGCAACAGTCTTATTGTATGATGTGTTGTATACATGGGGCTACTTGTTAAACACTTTACATTAGAATAAAACTGAATCTACATCTATCTTGTGTCTTTTTCACCTGTTTATGACTCTTTGTTTAAAAAAAATTATATTAAGAATATTTTGAATATCAATTTGGAAAAAAACTTAATTTGATGTAATTGCTGACTATAACAAGTACACATTTACATATGGCATATGATCTCTTATGACAAAACTATGCTCAAATGATAGATGTATTTTGTCACCAGGTACTAAAATTACTGAATCACGAACTAAACTAAATGAATTCTAGAACTAACAAGGAAGCCTAGCTCAGTATACCGTAAACCAACTTTTTTTCGTGTGTGAGAAATTTTGCAAAGTTTGCATAGGCCTCGTAATCACGAATATTTCTCGTCGCAAACCGGTCCTTAAAGTCTTTGTGTCTATTCACTACAGATAAAAAAACTTAATCGTGAAAATTAATCAAGTAGAATCTTAAGTCATCAGTAAAAGTTGGTTTACAGTAACTGTAATTAACTGTAATAACTTACATCTCTGAGGTCCCAAACAAGGTTTGCTGCATTGAGGGTGGGCTTTTTACCGTCAATAGAAATGTTCTGTGCCTGTAACAAAAAAAAATCATAAACAAGTCATAGGCTTAAACCATTTTTTTTATGTCATTCCAATCAAATCTTTATGTAAAACAACTTACTGTAACTAGGATATCGAATGACTTTTTGTCTGGAACGTACAAGACAGCCAGGCCTGAGTCTGTATCAATGGTGATCTACAAGGAAAGCAATAATTCAAACAATGGTAGGAAATATAAAAGATGAGTTTACCAATGAAAGTGGCTTAGTATCAACAATATCTACCTTATATACTCGCCTATAAGTCGGATTTTTGGGAGTTAATCTCTGGTCCAAAACTCCATGTCCGACTTATAGGCGAGCTATAAAATGAATGGTATTATATGAGGTCAGTCCCTCTAATATATAAGCTTATTAAATACAACCGACTTATAGGCGAACCGACTTATAGGCGAATATATACGGTATTAACAAAGCTAAAATCTTTGACTTCAAATTCAAATAAATAAAATCTTGAGTCTCATATAGTCATCTCAATATCTTGAACCCCTGACTTTGTTGATTTCTGATAGTCCTACTGCGATTTGATTGTATATATTCATTATATGTATACCTTGTCTATCCCCTCTCTGGCTTTTTCCGGCAGTTTCTCCTTGAGTTCATCAGCTGAGTATTTGGAAGGGAACCCTGCCATAATGACAGTGTCAGACATAAGGATACTGTTGTGGACTGTCCAGTCACTGGTCTGTGAAATACACACCATTAAAGTCTTAAAACACATCTGGCACTATACATGTACTGCCTAGAATTACATGCACAAGTACTTACATAGTATCCCCTGGTCATTGTGAAGTTCTGTTTTCCAATAATTAAAGTATGGTTCATCAATGAAAGCACTGAAAGAAGGAAAAAACAAAAGAATAAAGCTAACAATTACACTGAAGGTCCTTATTCAAAGTCATAGTAATTAATTAATTAAGACACACTGAAAAATAAAGACAGACATACAGATAGAGAGCTGTGAGCATTACTCATTTAAACTGATTTGATGAAGACATAAAGGAATGTTTCTTTTATAGCATACACCTGACTGCTATCTCACAGTACAGACTCACCGGGTTCTTTCTGAGTGAACTCAACCACTGTAAAGTTGAGGTTTGAGATGGAAGGGGAGGTCACTGTGAAGGTCTTTGAAGCCAGAGAGAATTCCGATTTGATGCTGGCGAGATCCTCCAGGGTGGTTCCTTGTGGAAGGATAGGGTCCAGTACCAACATATTTGTGGCCAAGCAGTTAGCAAACACACACTTCTCCTCCCTAAACAAAAGAGTGGAGTAAACCAATTATATTTCAAACAGTCAAGTTTATAAATTTTTTGTTTGCCTTGAGGATAAACCTCATAAATATAAGACCTTATATTACAGAAAACCCATACACAGGGGAAGTAATTGCGACATTTATAAAATGCATTCTGACCCTTAGGAAAAGAGCAAATATGTGCACTATAGCAACAGAATTACACTGTTAAAGTGCTGCTTGTCTCCCTTCCTTATCTTAGCATTGCCTTCCTTCTCCACTTGTTCACTTCTATGATCACTCTTGTACCCATAATTGTTCATGCTCCTTACATACAGTAAACGTATTACATTTGGCAGTGTATTCTTTTTAGCGATTTTGGCGGAGAGCAGAGTCCGCTAATTCAAGTACATTGCTAAATGTCTTGTACATTAACTTTTATAACTAGTAGCTTCTGACAGCGCTAATTCAAATCTACGCTAACTTGTTGAAAATTGAATTTCCGCCAAATATCGTACACGCCAAATGTAATACATTTACAGTAATTATTCATGCTCCTTACATAATTGTTCACACTCTTTACATTATTGTTCATACTCCTTACATAATTGTTCATGCTCCTTACATAATTGTTCACACTCTTTACGTTATTGTTCATGCCCCTTACATTATTGTTCATGCTCCTTACATAATTGTTCATGCTCCTTAGATAATTATTCATGCTCCTTACATTATTGTTCTTGCTCTTTACATTATTGTTCATTCCCCTTACATTATCAGCATTTTCCCTTTATAATATGCCCTTGTTCCCTTGCAGATAAATTCTTTCTCTTTCTCCCTTTTATGTCCCTCTTGCTCTCTGACATTAATTCTCTCCCTTCCTTAGATACTCTTGCTGTTTAGCAATGTTGCTCTCAAGTCACCCACCCTCCCACTACTAAGTTCTTGTTTTATTGAGTTAAATTCAAGTTCTTTCAATGCCTTATTGTTGCTTACTGCAGCATCATCTGTTCTGACAGCTTAAGAGAAATCATAAATAGAAACCAAAAGGTACAATTTTACAGATATATTGTACTGTACCATCACCAAGTTACTGCATATTTTTGCAATTAGCATGACAAGCTTATAATAAATTTTTATTCTCCTAGCATTTAAAAAGCACTTGTTTAGCAAAATCAAATATTTTTATTACAATAGAACTTACTCATTTGTAATTGTAGACCTAAAAAAAATATATTCACAATAAAATTTGTGATACAAAACTGCAAAAAAGTTTATCACATTGTAAGTTTGATAATCAAACAACACAAATTCTAAAAAAAAGTCTTACTTTGTAATGTTGTGTTCTTTTTCCAGACCCATTTTGAAGGCCCGTAGCTTATTTAGAAGTCGGGGATCAGTCCCATTTACCCAGGTGTAGACAATATCAATGGGTAAAGGTGTGCACAGTCTGTAATATAAGCATATTTTATTAGTAGATAGCTAAGTTGTTTCATTCTGCACAAGAAATTAACACAGAAAGAATGATTTTGTTCTAAGGAGTAATTTGTAAACTTGTTGACCTGGTGCGGAATGATCTGCCAGCAATGTTGTCACTGTAGGAATTAAACACAGCAGCATATTTCTCATGACTCCACTCTAACACTGTCTGTAAAAGAGATAATGGACTGAATCAAAGTGAAATGAGTCCCTAACACACTATGCTATACATATACAAAAGAGTCAAATACCCATTAAATAAACCATATATACTTATATACTATATACTTTGTACCTTATTTATTAAGCTTTTTCTGGTGGGGGGGGGGGCAAAACTTGTAAGAGAAACCCAAGTAGAGGTAATTATAATTTATTCACTTATATGTTCAACAGGACATAAAACATGCCCTCTTACTGAAAATATTATACAACTTATAGTATGTTTGTTGACATAGTTAAAAATACTTTCTTTAACATTAAGAACCCCCTAGTGTTAGTATTGATTGTACTGTTTAGGCACTGAGGCTGCACAGATGTTGAAAATTTCAAGCTAAATTTATCAAAGCTACTGGACTTAATCAGCAGTGAACATGTCAGTGTGGTAGTCTTATGTATAAAACAGATGTTACAGCATCAATATTTTATGAGTCTTTATGCTCTTTACCTTTTCAGCATTGCATTGGCATACTTGGCAACAGCCTGGCATACATTTAAAGTTACCCACTAGAAAAATTTGTTTGAAATGTAAATACATGTAAATAAAAACTTGACAAAGAAGCTGGTTCATCCTAAGGCATTGGGGGGGGGGATGCTTTGACCTGTTCTTACCTAATTTTTCAAAATTTTTAAACATACCTTTTTTTTCTTTAATAACATCCATACTGAATATATTAAAAGCAACTTCACTTTAATGAATGCTTACTCAGTTTTCTTAACTTATTTAAATTGTAATTTGAAAGCTAAAATAAGCAGTCAGTGACAGAGTATATATATGCTTCTAACTGAAAGCAGATTGAAGCTCCACCCACTTAGTAGTTGTACAAAAACAGGCTGACATAATAAAAAACATAAAAATTGTACATGTACAGTTTAAAAATTTGCGGTGGAGAGTAGAGATTTTAGACATGCATATATGCATTTCTTGTCTTCAATGTTTTGATATTTGTAAGATATTGAAAGTTTGGAAAGATTCATTTTTTTTAAATAATTAAACAACATGAACAAAGGGGATAGTGGTGCTTTTAAAGCCTACCAATTAGAAATATTTGTCACTCTTTGTGTCATTATTAAATGATCAATATACTGTAGGGCAAAGTCCAAGTTTTCAGTAAAAATCCAACCTACATTGTCAATTACATCATCACAGATTGTAATCCAAGCATCAATATCCCTACAGTAATTGTAATAATAAACTGAATAGGTTGGACATAAGATATCTACTTAATATCACCATGGCTTCAGCAAACAATGGAATTCAAAATGCACAAAAACAAGAATTAATGCATCTACAGAAAAATGGAGCTTTAAAGTAAAAAAAAATCATATTTCCTCAACCCAATGAAAGCTTCCATTAAACTCCATGCTGCCCCTGATCCTGTCTGCCTCTCCATTCGAATTTCGAAATGAAGTAAAAAGGAAAATTAAGTTACAACTTGCACACCATTTTTATTCATTTTAATATATGATTTGAGAAATGTGCAAGTGACAGTTATATCATATGCCCCCGCCCATCAAACACCGGTGGATGGAAACAGATTAACCTTACCTCTCCGAAGTGTAATGTCGCCACTATCAGGATGACAGCTGCTGCAATAACCATAAAAATCCCATATTTGTGTGACAAAATATCATAAACTTGTTTTTGTATTACTTTCTTCAAGTTTTTTAGCATAATAAAAACTCGTGATCAAGCCAGTTACTTTTCCATGGGAGCTGCCATCTTTGTTTGCAATGCATTGTGGGTATGCCACGCGAGTTTGTTTACCTACTCGAGACGAATAGGGAAAGTTTGTGTAGCAGGGTAATGTTAGAAAATTGGTAGCAAGGGACCTTAAAATTACATAAACGTGTCGTATTTCTTTCTCCTTTTCCATATAATAGTCATAAGATATATAATATCTATTCGGAACATACCGTGAAATATATCGGAGTATCCTCGGGATTTATATGGCAAACAGGAAAGCATGTCAATGAATCTGAGAGAGGAGATAGCAAAATTAACAACCCCAGCTCCTGTTTTCTGTGATCCAGAAAACGATTTAGAGGATGGTATGTATGACTGGTGTTTTTTTATCTTACGAATTTTAAAACGATTGAGTTGCTCATGATAGACAAAGCAACTGGACATGCAGCCACTATTTTCTTATTTTGTCAGGTCCAGCACAATCTCTTGGTTAAGCTATATAGCTTTAAAAAGCTATATAGCTTTATTAAGCTATTCAAAATAGCTTGATAAAGCTATTTATATGCAGTTTTTCACAAAAACGTTTTTCGCAAGATTGAAGAAATAAACAAAAAGTCGCAAGTATATGATTATAATCATATATGTATTATGGACTATCAAAAATATTTAAAATATCTGATTAGTTTTGAGAGTATGCCATTTCAACAATAGTGGGAAACATGGGATAATTTGCATAACAGGCGAAGCCCGTTATGCTAAAATTATACCATGTTTCCCACTATTGTTGATGTCCCTGGCATACTCTCAAAACTAGACAGTGATTCCTTATATTTCCATTTCATTGTGAAATAAAATGGTAGACTTAGACATTAAGAATGTATACTAATCGATTTAAATTACACGAGGACTTCCATGCCAATTTCAACAGTGTGTGTGACGTCAAACACAAAGGCAACCGCACGAGATTTTCATGCATATTTGGCCTCCTTAGCATCAGACACAGAGACAGATGCGCATGAAATTTGCATGCGTATTAGGCCTCCTTAGCTTCTGACCTATCAACCTGCCTAATTTACATTCCGGCAGAATTATCAAGAAATCAACTCAGCTTACTTTCAAAGGGTTATTATAAGAAAAAATTTAGAAATGGAAATATATCGGTATATACCCATCGAACTATAGAGGATTAAGTGTTACAAGCTGTATGGGAAAACTCTTTAATGGACTTTTACAATGCCGCCTAAATTCATACTTGGAAACAAATGGCCTACTGAGTGATTATCAATTTGGATTCAGAAGAAACCACTGTACCACAGATAATATCTTTATTTTAAAAGCCCTTATAACTAAATATTTAAACTGGCAGAAACAAAACATTTATGCCTGTTTTGTGGATTTTACTAAAGCCTTTGATACAGTTGATTACTTTAATGTTACACAAATATACCAAAAGGGCATAGGTGGGAAATTTTACAATATTATAAATATGTGACAGAATTTGGTTTTACCCTCAAACCAAGGTACCACTCACGGCACCAATAATCCAGCTGGCGCTACATGGTATCAATGCAATTTAGGAAATTCCATGATACCAGTGTAGCGAAAATGACCGTATGAAAATACCTCTTTAATATCACACACTTTCTTTATTAATAATAGTACTTCGCGTTTTATTCCAATTTCTTACTAACCAATAAGACTCTTGATTTCAATATAGTCACGAAAGTGACTTACTAACCCAGAATTTTAATAACAAGAGTTTGCAAATTAACAAATATTTATTATAGTCACAGATATATTTTATTAACAGTACAAGAATATTTACAACAAAAACTGATGTACTAACGACCTTGTACTTATAAGCCTCAATAAAAATAAGTGCCTACCTAACAAATGTACAATGTTGCCGTCCTACCCAACGCTAAGTTTGAATGAAAAGTGACCCACCCTAAAATAATCTACATATGCCTAACCTAACCGGTTTACCAAAAATAGAAATAAGGAACTGGAAAATGGACGTAAAAATAAGGAAAACAAAAAGGATAATGGTGAACGAATGAACGATTTGAACGAGACAGAGACAGGGACCGGGATCCACCCCTCTAATCAAAAAAGTGAGCTGGTACGAACCTTTGAGAAGGTTCCAGACCAACTGACTAATCGTGAAATGCTGGACTTTAAATACACCGCGGTCTAAAGGTGTGTCTCTACGGTTATCCAAAAAAATCTACATTCTATGTATAACCCATACAAGGACGTTTCCCAAATAACTGTATAAAGCTAGAAAGTTTCCGAATGTAAAACAAACGATAACCAATAAGAATCATCGTTATTTACTAACTATGTAAAATCCAATCCTACCACAAATAATATGTTCTCAAATACTAAATATTGTTGTAAAGATGAATCTTACTATAGTGAACATTTTATAGCTACACGCGGGGTTAAACAAGGATAAAATCTTTCCCCTATTCTTTTTAATATATTTATTGATGACTTCTACTCACACTTAATTGATTATAACACAAGTCCTCCTGAATTACAAAATATTGAAGTTGGACATTTATTCTTTGCAGATGACCTAATTCTCCTCTCTACTACAATATAAGGTCTCCAAAACTCATTAGACTGTCTCTCAGAATATTGCATAAAATCAAAGAGACTGTTAACTCTGATAAAACTAAAGCAATGATTTTCTCAAATAAGAAAATTGACACAACTCAATATTGTTTTTATTATAATCATTTAATAGTTCATCTTGAACATGAATATAAATATCTAGGAATTATTTTTACTTATAATTAAGCAAGTATGCCGCTGAACAACTAGGTGACCGTGCAAGAAAAGCTTTTTATGCAATGAAACGCTCATTACATTTTAATAATAAATTATATTTAAAAACTCTTTTAAAATTATATAATTATTGAACCTATCAAAGTTCTGAAACATGGATTTCAGACTTTAATATTAATATAAACAATTGTGATCAACTACCTTTTGAAAAGATACAGCATTTGATATTTAAAGATATTTTGGGTGTACAGAGAAAAGCTTCAAATTTAGCCATTAAATATGAGCTAGGAACAGTCCCTATTTGTTGCAAAGCTATCATCTCAATGTTTAAATACTATAAGAGACTAAAAAATGTTAAGAATAAAAATAGCACTAGAAATCAAATTCTTATTGCTGCTTCCTTAGAAGATGACAACTTATATAGTAATGGTGTAAAGGATAATTGGCAAAGTCAGATTGATAAATTAAAAAAGAAACTTAACCTTCCATCATTAGTCTTTGAAATTATATCACATTCAGCAGCTGCTTGAAGAATTTTTACATAAAAATGTTAATTTGCAACTCCAGAACATTGAATTCTCCAAATGTGGTAAATTATTATTTTTCAGTCAAATTAGAAAGAATTATGAATTACAAGACTACTTAAAATATCCAATAAATAAAGCTAGAGTTCTAAATTAACAAAACTGAGAATTTCTGCACATCCTTTGGAAATTGAAGTAGGCAGATATTCAAAGCCTTGTATCCCAAAAGAATTGCGTTTTTTAGCTCACCTGAGCCGAAGGCTTAAGTGAGCTTTTCTGATCACATTTTGTTCGTCCGTCAAATTGTCCGTCCGTCTGTCTTCTGTCTTCCGTCCGTCTGTAAACTTTTCACATTTTCAACTTCTTCTCAAGAATCACTGGGCCAATTTTAAACTTGGTACAAAGCATCTTGGGTAAAGGGGAATTTAAATTGTCAAAATGAAGGGACATATCCCCTCGAAGGGGAGATAATCGAGAAAAGACAAAAATTTGGGTCATTAAAAAATCTTCTTCTTAAGAACCACTGGGCCAGAAAAGCTGAAACTTATGTGGAAGCATTGTGGGGAGTGTAGATTCATAAATTGTTAAAATGGCCCCCATTGAAGGGCGGGGCCACAATGGGGAATCAAAGTTTTATATAGAAATATATAGGAAAAATCTTTGAAAATCTTCTTCTCAAGAACAACTGGGCCAGAAAAGTGAAACTTATGTGAAAGCATCCTGAAGTATAGTGTAGATTCTAAATTGTTCAAATCATGACCCCCGACAGAGAGCGGGGCCACAATGGGGTATCAAAGTTTTACATAGAAATATATAGGAAAAATCTTTGAAAATCTTCTTCTCAAGAACCACTGGGCCAGAAAAGCTGAAACTTATGTGGAAGCATCCTGGTATAATGTAGATTCTAAATTGTTCAAATAATGACCCCGGGGGGAAGGGCGGGGCCACAATGGGGAATCAAATTTTTATATAGAAATATATAGGAAAAATCTTTGAAAATCTTCTTCTCAAGAACCACTGGGCCAGAAAAAGTGAAGCTTATGTGGAAGCATTCTGGGGTAGTGTAAATTCTAAATAAAAATCCCCCCTGGGGAAGGGCGGGGCCATTATAGGAATCAAAGTTTTAGATAGAAATATATAGGAAAAATCTTATCAAAATCTTCTTCTCAGGAATATCGAACCACTGGGCCAAAAAATCTGAAACATATGTGCCCATGGAAGGATCATGGGGTAGTGTAGATTTCAAAATGTCTAAATTATGATCAGTGGGGTAGGGTGGGAATGCATTATGTATAACAAAGGGGAAATCTGGTAAAGAAGAGAATGGTCAGCTTCTCAGGTGAGCGATGTGGCCCATGGGCCTCTTGTGTCACTATTGTAAAACTGTTGTAGAAAGTGAAATACATTTCATATATGACTGTCCCTTATATATAGATTTGCGAAAAAAGTACTGTTCTTTGAACATCTGTAATTCAAACGATAACATATTGAAAGAAAATCATTGTAAAGTATTATGTAATCCTGATAATGCAGTTCATTCTAGAAGGCTGTGTGAATTTTTATATGAATGTTTTGAATTGCGTTCCAAAAATAAAGCACAATTATAATATATTTATTTAATGCATTCAGTAGCTCATCACTGTTCATACTATATTGCTTGCATAATGATTATGTTTAATCTTCAAGTTGTTATACTCTGCATTGTTGACTTCACTGATCCATACACTTGCATGTATGTATTTTATTACTTGTCTTTTATATGTAACATGGTTGTATGCCAACATGTTTGGTGAATCAATAAAGAAATTGAAATTGAAAAATACAACCTAAATCATAGAAAGTTCTAACATTGCTGCTGTTGAGACAAAACATGAATTTCCATTGTTTGATTAACTGTGTGTGCGATTAAGCGTGGGTAAGTATGATTGCTTCTCATTGTGCTGAGCTCTTACCAATCAATTATCCTGTTGGCCATCAATGACCTCTTTTATAATTTCATTCAAGAAATAACTGTGTGGTCACTCATCAATAGCTCCAAAACTTTTAAAACTTTGAGTACAAAGTCTCTCAAGGAGACACAATTTGGTGAGTGATTTTCACATGCATTGTATTCAGAAGAGTTCCAAGTTTAATATTTCCACTGCACCAAGGTGCGAGTTTTTGCACTTGTTGAAAAAATAACACTAGTGAGAAAAAAGTCTAATAAAATAGCTTAATCAAGCTATTCTGAATAGCTTAATAAAGCTATTTAGCTAAATCAAGCTATATAGCTTAATCAAGAGATTGTGCCGGACCTGTTTGTTGTAGGCCCATTGTATCTCTGATTATTTTAACAGCAGCTATCTTGAGCAATAATAAATCTTATTTGATTTAGACATTAACCAGAAATTTTTCCTTTATATTTGTTTTATCTGTAACTTTCACAGTAGAATTACAGACGAGGATTTTGATACACATGTGGGTCATCAATTAAAAGCAGCATTGAATCCTATGCTCTCACCCCTTTTATAAAGTAAATCGATCATTGTTTTCCTTCAGTTACAGCAGCAAAGTTAACAGAGAAGACTGAAGAGAAGGATGAGTTCGCTCCCTTGCCAGCTACTAAACTCCGACAGAGAGCAGCTGCAGAGTCTGTAAACAATGAGAAAAAGTACGCGGGACGAAAAATATCACGGCAGAAGCTCTTAGACCTTGACTCAGGTACGGTTTGATAATAGAAAAAAAATTATCACTTCTTTATGTATTAAAAATAAAATCAAATTCAGAGATTGTAAATATTGAGTATAAAAGCTTGGAAAGATGATTAAATATCTTGAATATTGAAATGTTATTCAACACCTTTTAAGAATAATCAATTAATCCAATTGTTCTTCAATAACTGATAGATATACATTTTAATAAAGAATCTGAAACAAACCAAATGTTAAGATTTTGTTGTATGACAGATGTCAGTGGATCTGAGGAGCAAAGTGAGAGTGAATCAGAACAAGAAGATGACAGCTCTCTTGGTGAAGAGGATGTAATGAATGATAAAGAAAATGAGGAGAAAGATGAAGACTCAGAGGAGTCAGATGATGAATCTGAGTCTATGGGAAGTGAGGAGCCCAGGACAGCAGAAGAAGCAGAGGAGGAGTTGTCTGCCCTTGGTTCATTTAAAGCCAAGATGGCATCAAGCTCAGATCCCCAGGGTGCTGGTCAAAAGTTTAGGTCTGTAGAATTTCAGCAATTTTTATTGCTATATATACACTGAAGGAAGGTTTGTGTATTTTAAATAAGATATGAGGGACTTTCTTAATTAGAGTATGCATGTGTTTCAAAGTTTTGTAGATGACGGGGATTACAGTAAGTATTATGATTCTGAAGATGAGGCTGAGGATCAGAGTGACGAGGATGATGATGAAGACACTGATGATAATGAAGAAGAAGGAGATGATGATGAAGAATCAATGGAGGAAGACAGAAAAAGTAGAAGAAGGTAATGGTGATATCAAACCTTAATACATGTATACTGTGTAGCTTCAGCTATCTAAAGTATATTTTTTATTTTAAACCAAGAATATGTCAACTTCAGGTAGCAGTTTTGACCTTATCATGCTGATATCTTGAAGAAAGATTTCAGTGAATAGCTGTTTTAAGAAAATAATTTCTAAAGAACATTTTTAACATAGTTTTTAAACTGTATGATGTAGTAAAATAATGAATGTTTCATTTTCAAGGTGAGGAGGGGTTAGCAGTTTCTCCAAGTCAAGACTGAACGAGGAGATCCAGAAAGGAGAAGCAGCCAGGCAGCAGTTAGGTGAGTACAAGTTAGGGACAATTTATAGTCAGACAGCAATTAGGTCTGTACACGTAAGGGGCAACACAAAGAAGGCAATAATTAAATCTGTACAACAACTAGGTTATTACAAGTAGGGGACAACACAAACAAGCAATGGAGTTTGTACAAGTAGAGCAACAATATACAAGGAAATAGTGAAGAAAGGGTATGTCTTTGTAACCACAAGGAATCACAATGAACCATAAGGAACTTCCCTTTGACCTATAGATGCTTTGTGCCAAAATAAGTTGAAATTGGATAAGCTGTTCAAGAAAATTAAGATGAAATGGTTCAAAACATTAGGATTCATTTGGACAAAAAACATGGACAATAACATATTGCAATAGGTCACCTGTGTGACTCAGATGACTAAAAATTGAACATATAAACCATAATTAGACTCATTAAAGTTAAATAAGATGTCATTGGTGTGTCCTTGTGGTTCCTTGTGGTTAAAAGACATACCTGTGAAGAAATAAATATGACTTGTAGGAGCTCCATGTAGGTCGTCAAACAAATAATTGATAAAAAGTTACCTCTTCATTCATTTCGTACTTCTTGATGTATCCTAGTTTATTCCCCATAAAATATGTATATCAATACACAAGTTAGACATAAAAAAATTTTTTTCCTAATGTGTTTATATTTGAAGTTTTTAACTTTAGGTCTTTGGGACAGTTTACTAGAGGGAAGAATCAAGTTTCAAAAAATACTGACAGCTGTTAATCAACTTCCACAACCTGACACCTGGAGGGATTTTGAGAAATTAGGGGAAGATAACTTCAAGGAAAAGTCTATAACAGGTACACCACAGCATAAAGTATGCTAAAGAATATTCTGTAAAAGTGTATATTTTAAAATTATTTAAGTATTTTCACATGTTTTCAGGAACATACAAGTTCTATTTATAAGTCTGCTTATAGTTTTGTTCTTGTGGTATGTACATTTACAATCTGCTAAATTTGTTTAATTACAGTGCAGACAGCTTTGGAGAATCTTCTTCAGAAACTGATCCAGCTACAGTCAGTCCTTCTTCTACAGAACTCAGAGACTCAACACATTGAGTCAGGACAGCAGAAGTAGGTGTACAGAGCTTAAGCAAAATAGCGAAAAGCAAGAAGAGATATACTAATTGATATCAAACAATAAACATTGTCTTACTTTGTGTACCTATTGATTTCAGTGTGAGAAGAAAAATCATGAAAACTGTTCATATAGTAAAATTTAGGCACTTACTTTTTAAATAAAACTGCAAAATAAAGAATAAGTTGCTGAGATATACATATTTGTGCTCAATAGACCAGTGAAGAAGACAGACGACCCGGATGATGAGGAGATAACGAGTGAGTCAGACTCGGAGGAGACAAAACAGACAGTGGAGAAATCAAAGGGGCAGAATAAAGCAAGGAAACGGAAACTAGCAATGGAGGAAATACCTGACTTCCTGGCCAAGAGACATAAAGACTTCCAGAATTACAGGTTAATTAACATGAAGAATTAATTTTTATTTTTTATACAGCTAGTATTGTTTAACTTTCCTAAAAGATAAATTGGCAATTTAGAGGAGGTTTATTTCATCTAGCAATATACATTCAGTACACTTTAATACAGAATTCTTTTAAATTAAACTTTCTTTGGAGCAATAGTGTTTTGATGTTAAATTTTATAGGCTATGGTCCCTGAAGTGTAGTGTATAGACTCAGATAATCTTAAAATCATTGTCCTTTTGTAGAAATGATACTCTCCAGAAATGGTTTGACAAGACTCGGTTACTTGGTGGTAAAATTTCCAGTAAATCCTTCAATGCTTTTGAACAGTCAGCCCTGAAACAAATAGAACAGGTAATATTATTTAAAAAGACAATCTGAAGAAAGTTAAAGAAATATTTTATATTTGATAGACATTTTAGCAAATAAGGGAACGGCAATGGTTAAGTCTAGTGAAATTACAATTTTTATCTTACCTGAACCAAAAGTTGAAGTGAGATTTGTAGAGGCATTTTTCTAGTCTCTTTGAAATTCAGTTGAATAATTGCTTCCAAAATATTGTGGGGTCAGCCAGTCTTCTTTGTAATTATACTGCTACTTTTATTTTTAGGTGTTGAGTGATAGAGACAGACTGATTAAGAGGACACAGATGAAGCGGGCCAGTTATAAGGTTCTGGGGAAACCTGAGGAACCAGAGACAGCTGTCAATCAAGATCAAGAACCATCGGTAACCTCCCCCTTCTAAACACCTTAACCACCCTTTTCTTAGGGACAAAAAACTGAAATAAAACAAAATATCTGTAGGAATGAAAGGCAGAAATTTTTTTATTTGGAAAATTTGTTGAACCTGTATATAGTGACTTTCTATTATATAAAACCTTTAAATTTTCTCCCAATAATGTTACCAGTATTAAGCAGATATAGCAAAGTTATACATGATATCAATATATTGTGTTAACAAATATATGGATATAATGCAACTCCATGATATAGCAAAGTAATTACATAGGTCCCAGTGACTTTGCTATAACACAAGTTTTATCTGTATATAAAACCTTTAAATTGTGTGAACTTATATGTTACTTCTTTATTAAGCAAATCTAAAAATGTCAACCATTACATGAGATCATCATTATATATGTTAACAAACGGGGATGAAGACATCAGAACAAACATATGATACAGAGATTTTTGATGACAGTGATCACTTAACACAAGTTTATCTAGAGAGTATACATATCAATGATCCCATAGCCCTCAGCAGGTCAGGAAGACTTTTCGCTTTTTTATAAATTTTTGAAATAAATTATTCAAATCTTTTGGGATCAGCAATGTTGAATGCAAAATAATTTACAGCTGGAAACACACAATAAAGACATGAGTAAACTCAGGTGACCTATGATGCTGATTTTTGATGACAGTGCATTGTGCACCAACAGCTGAGAGACATTAGAGAGAAAGCTTCTTCTCTGCAGATATAACCAATTTCAACCAAATTTGGTACAGCAGGTCAGGAAGGCATTTTTTTGTGATTTATAAAACAATTTACCGGTATTGAGGGGTGGGGCCAAAACCACTAAAATTAATGCAATCTTTAAAAATCTTCTTTTTTACTCCTGGACATCAAGCAGTCAAACTGTTTGCATGATTGTAATCAGCATTGAGTCCATACCAAAATTTGAAATTTTTGGCCCTGTAGGGGCTATATATAGCGGGGCTAAATACGTATATAGTGAAAATGCATTATTTCTTTGAAAATCTTCTTCTCTGCTCCTGGTTATTAAATTAAATAACTATGTGCATATTTATTATGAGAAAGAGTGCCTCTACAAAAATTGTGAATTTTATGGCCCCAGAATTAAATTATTTTTGAATGCATTTGGTGGGGCAATATTGAAAATTATATAGGGAAAATACATGAATTCTTTCAAAATCCTTCATCAGATCCTGGATATTAAATTGATTAACTAAGTGCATAGTTATGATGAAAAACATTCTACCAAAATTGTGAATTTACTGCTAGGGTCAGAGGTTCATGGTGTTGGGGGGGCACATGTCTATTGATTATATAGTGAAAATACATGAATTCTTTGAAAAATGCTTCTCTGAAGTCATGTATTAAATAAACTAACTCAAAGTAAAAGATGATGAGCAAGAGTGCCTCTACCACGATTGTGAATTTAGGGCCCCAGGGTCAGGGGTTCTGGTATTAGGCAGTGATTGGGATAAGCTCAGTGGGGCTAAATGTGAAAAAAAAGTCAGTGTCAATTGACATTTCAAAAAATGCGCCAAACAGACTTTTTAATGGGACATTTCCTAGTTATAAACTTGCAATTGATTATTTGCTGTTAAATTTCTTCAACTTAATTGAAATTGTCAAATTATTGAATGACAACATTAAAAGATACAAAATTAGTATATATTTAAATTCACAAGTGTCAGAAAATAAACACTGCAAATTAATTTCAATTCTTTATTTTTTGTCTCCGAAAAATGTTTGAAACATCTTTAAAATGATTTAAAGCCTGGTTATAGATCATATGCTTTATCATGTTAAATTTTGTTTTGGTTTTTTATTAGACCTAATCATCACTGCCAGATTAAAGTCCCCATTTTAATTTTATGCCAATCGGAAAGAAAAACTCGTACCTCGCACATAACCTCGGACGTCAAAGGTGATCTTCCATCTTGCTGATTCAGTCATGTGATCTTATTTGAATTTCATTTAAATATTATACTTTTGAAATCTGAGTTACTTTGATGCACGCCCAACACTGTGTTCTTTCTATCACAGTTTACTAACATTTGGTGTAATTAACACGAGGAATTACACTAATAAAGAAACTTTTTCTAAGAACTTTAGGCAGAGCGAACTATGAAATGAGTGACAAGGCAGTTTCCGGCAAAGAAATGTAGCGATCTATTGCGTGATGTGCTCCACCTATCACACACAGGTTTGAATAGCGTGCAAAGTTCAGCCGAGGATTGCCGAACTCTGTACAGCATGTTATACTTCTTGGGAATTTTCTACCGATTTACTTGAATTCTGTTTGTTAGGATTGTTGAAATTAAGAAAAGTCTGCCCTTTATCGGTACGAGGTATTTTCTTAGGCAGCATGCTGCACTCCTGACACCAGTTTATTTCGTGCGCATTAAATCAGAAAACATGTAACTGTTTGATTAGAAACTGGAGAAAGAGAGAGTCATAAGAACGCTTTAATTGAACGACATTAAATACTATTTTATCAAGCGTAATTGACAGCGATTGTTTTGGGAAATACTACAAGCGCTTGGGGGAAAGCTCGAAGTTTAGAAGTATGTAGTGCATGATTATATATGCGCCACGATGGCGCAGTGATTTTAATTTAATGTGACATTTTGAAATTTAATGCGAAAATGGGCAGGTAATCGTTATCCCAATCACTGATTGGGGGGGGGGGGGGGGCTCTATTGATTATTAAGTGAAAATACATGAATTCTTTGAAAATCTTCTTCTCTGCTCCTAGGTATCAAATAGATTAAATAAGTGCATAATTTTGATGAGCATGAGTACTTCTACCAAAATTATGAAATTCATGGCCCTCCTACTTTACTTGTTTGGGGGGGGGGGGGCTCTATTGATTATATAGTGAAAATACATGAGTTCATTAAAGTCTTCTTCTCTGCTCCTAGGTATTAAATAAACTAACTAAGTGCATAGTTATAATAATGAGCAAGAGTTTCTACTTAAATTGTGAATTTTGGGGTTTGGGTTAATTGTGTTGGGGGGGGTAAAATTAATTGATTATATAGTGAAAATACATGAATTCTTTTAAAGTCTTCTTCTCTGCTCCTAGGTATTAAATAAACTAACTAATTGCATAGTTATAATGAGCAAGAGTGCCTCTGCCAAAATTGTGAATTTTAGAGAGAGAGAGAGAGAGAGAGAGAGAGAGAGAGAGAGAGAGAGAGAGAGAGAGAGAATTCTTTGAAAATCTTCTTCTCTGCTCCTGGGTGTTAAGCAGTTGAACTACCTATATAGTTATAAAATCAAGACCCATTCTTACAGAATTGTGAATTTTATATATATAAAAAGGGGGCTGTACTTATAGACTAAAAATGAATGAATTGTTTGAAATCTGCTCCTTGGTATTAATCAAATATTTTTGAAAAGCAGGATGCCTTTTCAAAAATTGTGCAATGTGTGGATCTAGGGCTAAGGGTAAAGGGGTTCATGTGTGGTAGGGGCACTAATGTTTATTGCTGAATATTAATGATTAGTTGAAATGCATTTTTTGTTCCTCTGCCTTTCCTATGGGTAAAATAACCAAACTAAAGCAACTGCTAAGTGTATAGTTATGAAGATCAATGTGTGTGTAAAATGTGTTGAATCATGTCATAGCATCTGGCTTAAAACATGAATCAAATTCAATCACTGGAAAGTTGTTGCATAATGCTCAGGTGACCTATAAGGCCCATGGGCCTCTTGTTTTAATTAATTTTGCGTCAAATTTAAAATGATTATATATGCAGGCAATGGCTAGAAATACAGAGGTTAAGAAATAAAGTGAAGAGAAAAGTAGAAACTAGAGCTTCTAAAGGAAGAAAAATCAGGTAAGCAAAAAAAAAATAGAAACAAACATTACAGGGAAGAAACTTATAATTAGTAAATAGATAGAAAATTGAACTTCAAAGAAAGAAGAATAAGGTAAAGGAAAAGTACAAGTTGAAAATAGATCGAAGGGAAGAAAATAAAGTAAGAAGGGGCTATTAAAAACAAAGAAAATTCAATTTAATGATAGAACTGTGAACCGTGTAAAGAGCAATAACTCAAGTCAAAATCCATAACATTTTTAAAACTGCTGAATTTTATGGGAGTTATTTCCCTTTATATTCATACTTATTTGTTAATATTCATAAATTGTGTTTTAGATATCATGTACATCCTAAACTGGTCAACTTTATGGCTCCTAAAGAGATATGTACCTGGACAGATGAAGCAAGGTATATTAGTTTATTATCTGGCAACTTTTGTAAACCAACTTTTTAGCTCACCTTAGCCGAAGGCTCAAGTGAGCTTTTCTGATCAAAATTTGTCCGTCATCATCAGCGTAAACTTTTCACATTTTCATCTTCTTCTCAAGAACCACTGGGCCAATTTCAACCAAACTTGCCACAAAGTATCCCTAGGTGAAGGGGAATCAAGTTTGTTCAAATGAGGGGCCACGTCCTCTTCCAAGGGGAGATAATTAGGAAATAGTGAAAAATTAATGACATTTTTAAAAAATCTTGTTTATTTTGTTTTTGAAATGTGAAACTCATGTAGAGCATCCGCAGGTGTGTTTCAATTTTGTTCAAATCATACATCCAGAGGCTAGGGTGGGGCCACAAGATCAAAGTATTACCCAATATATAGGAAAAATCTTTAAAAAGTGTAAGAACCACTGGGCCAGGAAAAGATGAAACTCATGTGGAAGCATCCTCAGATAGTGTAGCTTAGTTTGTTCAAACATGAGTCGGGGATAGATGGGGCCACAATGGCCGATCAAAGTTTTACATAGGAATATATAGGAAACATTTTTTAAAATCTTCTTCTCAAGTACTTCAAAGCCATGATTAGTGATATTTATATGGAATCATCCTCAGGTAGTATAGATTCTAGTTTGTTCAAATCATAATTATAGGGTGGGGCCATAATGGATGATTCAAGTTTAACATTAAAATATATTTAAAAAATCTTCTTCTCAAGAATAGCAAAGCCATGAGTAGTGATACTAGTATTTAAATGGAAGCATTTTCAGGTAGTGTAGATTCATGTTTGTTCAAATCGTTATATAACCACTAAGGGTAGGGTGGGCCCACAATGGTGGATCAAAGATTTACATAGAAAAATATAGGGAAAAATCCCAAGAACAGAAAAGCTATGTTTAGTCATATTGACGTGTAAGCATCGTCATGTATTGAAGATTTAAATTTGTTCCAAATCATGACCCACTGGGGTAGGGAGGAAAACAATGGGGAAACAAATTTAAATTATTACGAAGTTATATATATAGGAAAAAAATGTTTTAAAAAAATCTTTTTATCAAGAACAGCAAAGTCATATGCTGTATTAATATAAAGGCATTCTCAAGCAGTATTAAAATTCAAGCCCCCCCCCCCTTTAGTAAACTTATCAGTTCTGATCCGATTCCAGTTTGCTCAGGTGAGCGATGTGGCCCCTGGGCCTCTTGTATTTGTATGCGATAAATACCCATGAGATTCATGACAATCTTTAACTCACAAAAAGTTATCACAGCCAACAATGTTTTTTGCTGTGTATTTAACATAGAGAATGTTTCCTAGCTCACAAAAATTGATCTTCAAGGACTCAAACAACCAAATTGCGAATAATTACTGTAATTTTCTAGTAGTTTTAATCTGTGTACAGTGTTGTTTCCTATATAATGATAAAAAAAAATAAATTCAATACAGTGGAGCCTCATTTATCTGGACACTTTGGTTCCCAGTCAATTTGTACGGATAGGTGAAGCGTCTGGATATCTGAATTACCAGTTAAACAAGACAAAATAACATTAAAAAAATTCTGTTCCGATGAAAAATCGTCCGGATACTGAAGCGTCCGGATATCTGGCGTCCTGATATCTGAAGGTCGATCCACTGTATTTTTAAAAAATTTGTGACCATCCTTTTGGAGTGAGTGGGCATTTTTTGAAGCTTTTTATATCATCTGTATATTTATTTCTTTATGGAAAAAATAAATCAAAATGACCTGAAAATACATGTATGTATATTCTGTATATTCAAATAGAGATGACCTGTTCAAGTCTTTATTTGGACAAAGAGGGACAACGACAACATCCTCAGACGAGAGTGCAGTAGGCAGGTGATGTCACGACTCCCTACAAAATCAGCTACAACAGTGATGAAAAATGTCAATCTAGAAAACCAAGGGACAGTGATAAATTCTTGGGGAAGCTTTTTAAAGACACTTTATGAAGATTATCCCATTTATTATGAAATATTCTGTTTATTATGCCAACTTTCATTGATGAATATTTGAGAAAACTTTAGATATTGAAATCTCTACTGAAAGGTATTGTGAAGAAACAATCTAATACTGCCTATTTTTACATAAAAATTTTGCCCTCAAACAAGGCAAATTCATGAAAAAGAGCAGTAATGCTGTAACAGAACTGTCATCTGTGTCACAGAAAATTTAAAAGGAGGTAGAATGTAATGTAACTGTTAAAGGATGGAAATAACTTGAGATGAATATAATGTATTTTGATTAGAAAAAAAAAATAAAACTTATCTGTTAATATTCACTTCTTCATTATACAACTTGCATATGGTCAGGAAATATTTTTCTGACACCTGCAGATATCTTACATAAAATTGCCACTTTAATTAATTTGACAACTTTTGTTTTATCTGCTTTTCAACGTATAAAACAGAGATGGTAGTAATTTGGTAAATGTTCAGATTTGATTTGGCAGTGGAATGGAGACTACCTATAAAATTGTATAATGAAAATAGACACAACTTCTGCAAAAAAAATTATATGAATTTGTCCTTCACACATTTATACATGTATAAGCATGTCGGTTGACACAGGGCTCTTCATTTGTCTCGGTAAACAGGAATCATCTTGCCCATCTATTTATGCAATCATCTTGCCCATCTATTTATGCAATCTTGTCTAGGCTAAAACTTTGTAGCAGATAAAATTGGAAGCTCATGCTTGGTACAAAAAATGTTTATGATTTGACTTTACCCAAGGTTATTCTGGCTAAATGTATTAATAAATTCTTGTACAGGATATCTCTGAAATGGAGAATCATTAGATTCTGGTACTTGGTATAAAGACTTTTATGACCAGAGGGTATGACAAAACCTTGACTGAAGGTCATTTTGATAAGGTTAAGAAAGGTCATAATGGCAAGTTCAAGGTCACATTTACATTTCCAAATAGTAGAGTACCTTTAGTTTACATGAAAAATTCATGTTTCTTTTTTCCTCCATCAAGGGTGCAAATTTTCACTTTTTCCGCTTCCCACAAATCAATATATCATCAGGAAGCTCAAGTATATACCTAGACGCAACATGAACACAAGTTTGCATGGCCTGAGTTAGATTTTTAGTTACTTGGGAATTTGTTTTACAAACTTTGTTATGTTCAATCATCTGGGAATAGGTCTGTTTCAAAAACTTAATCCAGTTTACTCATCTAAAAAATTGTAAATCAAATACAACAGCCCAAATAGACTGGTAGAATGAACCCCTCGATGCAGCATGTTTGGTCATCATAGGGATTTAATTGAAGTTTCTTTAAAATAAACCTGTTAAATATTGAGAAAATGTAGATCAGATCCAGCATCTGAAGCAATATTCAGGTAGTGTGCATCCCTAGATGCAATACAACATGTATAATTGCAAGGTTTGGTCACCCCAGGACTAACTGTTCCTTGAATGAACCTGCTCCAGAAACTTGAATCAGCACATTTAACCTGGGATGCTGAAGGGGTATTACTTAAGCTCCCACCACTTCTTTTTGTGAGCTAAAACAATAGAATTTCAGTTTTACGATTTAATATGTAGGGAATCTTTAACAATTACAATGAAATGATTTGTGAAAATAGTTCTATAAACAAAATATTTACAAAGTATGAACACAGTATTTACAACAACCAGTTATTAAAATGAAGTGCAGATAGCCTACCAATGATGACATAGCATCAAATTTAGTTAGGTTTTCTCTTTCAAAAATCCATTATTATTTCATTAACAATTTTATATATTTAATTTGAACATTTCTTGGATTCACACACAAAAGAAAATTGCCATTTATAAGCATCACAGAAAGACTTGTCTGCATTTCCTAACCTCATTAAAATATTAAAATTATTTTCAACACTGGTCACTATGTACAAATTTATACTCCTTTAAAATTTGATACAGCACTGTACAATGGATTTACTAATTAAGAGTTGTACTCCCAAGACATAAACTCACCTGAAAAATAAAGGTAAGGTCACACAATATTATCAGGTATTCCCTACCAAATCTTATTGACAATTAAAAGGTACATTCTAACTGGAGTACCTTGTGCAATGATTTTCAGAATTTTGGCCTCAACAAAGCACTGCTTGTAAAAATTGACTTGCAGTACATTGATAAGAAACTAATTCAATATAGTGTAATACAAAATCATAATTCTGAAGAGATTTCCATTTTTTCACATGCTAATAAAAGATGGTTTAAAATACCTTGTTATATAATTTACTCCTTATACAAACAAAGAAATGATGAACTATAATAAAGAAAATTAGTGATGCATCAAGGCAGAAAATTTACATTGCATATTGAAAGCATATGATGAGGTGATCTGAGATCGTTGGGACAAACAATATACATGTACATGAGACTATTAAATCAATACCCTCTAGACAAAAAGTGCAAATCCCTAATTTAATTTTCAAATGACATTTCAAGGATATGTCTGTGTAATTATTATTTCTTTCTTTAAGAGCTGCCACAAACTGATGTTTGTTCTGTATAATGACCTTATTGGTATCAAAACTGATTTCTTTAACAAGGACATTGGCTACCGTTATCAACAAAAAAATTGTAAAAGGAATCTTCTGACATAAATACTGCAGATAACAAATGCAAGAACTAAAATGGTTTTGAATAATGCCATTTAGAATACCATATAAACCTCACAGTATTCATATGAAGGGCAGTCGTTAGTGTAAGATTATGGTTTACTTTTCCAGTATATGGAAATGTGAAAATTTTCTACCAGTGGTGAAAAATAGAAAGCATCTTCATAGAAAATGAATGTTCATTTAGGTACTCCAATACAAACTAAACATATTTTTGTAAGGGACTGAAAACTTTTGGAAAAAGGAATATAAAATGCCACAGCATTTTTTTTTTTTTATGTTTTTCACAGCTTCTTTTTTCAAAATACTAAGGCAAATTTAATTTGGAAAACATATAAAATATTTTCTTTGGTCCCTACTTTTTACTTTTTACTTTTAACGAGATTCAACAAAATATTTGGGGGAGGGGAATTTTTTCCCCTTCTATAGGATATGGACCCCACAAAAATTAGATGACAAGCGTAAATTGACTTTTAGAAATAAATAGCATCTTTCCATTGAATTTGCACACTTTGAATTTAATATCATGAATGCAATGAAGAGGACGAATAGAAATGAATCTTTGTACACAAAAAAAAAATGTCATAAAAATAGCATTGTCAACAGAACATTCACTCACTCTTTCTTACACTCACACAGCCCAATCACAAAGCTCTGAGCTGTAGTAGCACTAGTTACGTTGTAAATTTGTTGTTCTCAGTTCTGACACGATTTGATTTGCGGGCAGTGAATTTGGAGTCTCTACACAGCTGGCACGTGTAAATTTCAGGGACATTGTTTTTGCGGATTTTAGCACAGGAGAAGTGGATCCAGGTTTCACACTCGGAGCACTCAATCATGGGTCGCCCTGCGTACGGCTTCATACAAAAACAGGTGATCAACTCTGACTCCTCCTCTGTAAAACAAAAACAAATAAATAAACAAATGCTCGAATTTTTGCCCCCTGCTCACAAAATTTACAATTTTATAAACCAAGATTTTCCTCTTGTCTGCTCTATATATACCTGAGTCATTGAGTTCCTGAGAGCTGGAGAACTGATGTGTAGGACTGCCAGCAGACAGTGTTGTGTCTGACGTGTAACTCTCGGCCGTACTCCCGCTACTGTCCAGAGGACTCATGTTGTGATTCACACGCAGGTCCTATAAATACAACACATATACGTACAGATGTGCATAACAGAATCTATAAATAACTACTCTCATTAAATGCCATTGTTCATGTTGGTAGAGCCTAATTTTACACTATCTGATCATCAGTAATTTGATCAAATTTAGCAGGTGTATTTAAGTGCTCTTCAGAATTTAAAATGATTGTACCTAAATCATATTCAAGTCTAAACCTCTAGGATGTTTAGGTATATGCATCTCCTTTTGTCAGTTTTGTGTTTCATATGTGATTTGAACAAAGTTCTTACTGCAGCAACAAAATATATGATATATTCATTCAAATCATCATTCCAATATAGATGGTCTGCCATACATAATGAAGTTTTGTACAGTTTTTAAATTTCAACAAATAAATCTAAAATTTCAATTAATCTAAATATTTCTATTTACCATGTTTACAGGTTTGAATAAAACTCAAGCATGTGAAAAAAAAAATGATTTAAATCCTAAATAGTCATTAGTCATGTTAGTCATGTTTATTTGCCAGAAAGAGACAACTTTATATAAACATGTATATCTACTTTTGAGACCACTGTCTAATTAGCCTTGAAGGTGTGTGTATAACCCTCAAATAACTACTACGTAACTACTACGCAATAGGCCAACTACAGGTGCTCCAAAACACTTGGCAAAACTTCAACATCCGGCCTACGTTTAATCAAGTCAATACTGAGATGACAACTAGGTCACATGGTGGGGACAACGTAGTACAACTTGTCAGACAGGTTATATACTCTCTTGTCTATTTCTGCATGGATCGAAAGTCAATCCCAGCCGTCCACAGAAAAAAATCTATATCTCTGTAAACCATTGATTTCCAATAGTTCAAGATGGTTGCTCCTGATCTACGGGTAATTTACTCTCTTTAGTGGTGATATTTTTTCGGTAAGTTAAAGACACAGGATTGATTTTCAGTTTATCTACATAAACAGGATCTAGATGTTGATTTTTCCGAGGATTTAAGCCCTCTCTAAATGAATACTGTTATTTAAATGCATCCGGTCGACTTCACTGTTTGCACAAGTTAAACGACAAAATAATCAATGGTAGGTGAGAAAAATTCAATGTACAGCTACCTTGCTTCAATGCTTTGGCATTATGTTAATGATATTGTACCCATCAGTGCGTATCATATTGATGTTAACATTAAATACACATTGTAAGCCTTGAAATTGAATCCCCTGTCCTCAATACTTGCCTACAGAAATCACACCATGTCTACCTTCCTAATCTTTTTCCTCGTTATTTATGAACTACTCGTTCAAGATAACGCATGATGTGACCTAGAAACTGTCAAATACATCCTGGTCGTTTATTCATTGCCCCCTTGTTTTCGCTATAGCCATTTTGTTTAGTTAGAGTACTTAGACTGATGTTATAACATGTGACTAGGGTGGTCTGATACAAGGAACTAATCCTCACCTCACTTCGCTGGGTCTCGTACTGTGTGTACTCCATGATCATCGTACAAAACATGTAAAAATCCTCCTTAGTCTTCTTACGCCTTGGAGGTAGACTTCCTGAATGCTGAAATAACAAACAAAAGATTCCATAACATTCCACAATATAAGATTTTACTGATTGTGCATCACCTATTCAGTGTTTGACTACTGTGGTACATAAAAATTAAAATTTATACAGTGAGATTTCATGTTTTTCGATATCCTAAGGGTAAATTTGCATGTGTACAACAAAACAAGTAGACACCAATTACTAAAAATAATTTGACACGATACTCGGAGAGATTATAGGGGTAGAAAGCCGTTCTGGTTGAGGGGTCGGGTGTTAGAAGGGCACCAGTATCGTTCACAGTTTGTCACATGTTTCGACAGGCTCTCTAGAAGACTGATACTATAGAATGACCCTGAACGACTATTGTGTATTAATAACGACAATAAAATTACTGTAGATATGATAAAATGGCTACTGACTACATATATAGGAGATGAAATTATATCCTAATCATACATGACTCATGAACATGACATACAGAATAACATCAAGAAAAATCAATATAACAAGGCGAAAAAATTACAGACTCATTTTCTTAACAAGTTCTGATAATCCTACCTTTAAGGAAACTACTCGCATGTTTTCTGAAACATTTTAGTCCGAAGGTGAAACAAACAATGTTATTGCTCTCCCAGTCTTAAACTTACTGATCTGTACACAAGCCTTTTAAATGAACTCAATGCCATTCATAGTATCATAGGTCAAAGTTCTACCACACATTTCTCATGAATATTCATGAGGCTTGTCAATTTTTCTCTGCCGCCATTCCAGGGAAAAAGAAGATGGCTGAATATTTTCTTTGCAAATTTCTGCAATAGATTTTGAGTTTTGGAGAATATCAAGGACAGATAATGGAACCCTAAGCACACTGGTCTGAGGGACACTGGAATTATTAGTTGTTACCAATTATTATCCCAGAAAACATGAAGTGATTAACGAGCCTTTGTCAAAGTGTGGGATATACGTGAAATAACAAGGGGTCATCTCAAAATAGATTTTTGTTCCTCAACTTATTTTACAGTTAAAGCATACTTCACTTTAGAATCCTTCTATATTTATTGATAAATAAATAAATTTAATGCCTATAAATACCTTCTAAAGTTACAAAAAGATTATGTACACTGAAAAAATCTGTAAATCTATTTCCATACTTTCCTACTTTTGACACTCAAATAAACTGTTTAACTAATAAATGAACTTTCTTAAGTTTTCTCACTATTTTCTGATAATTAATGGAAAAACATAGTTACATACATACTTGTGCATGCATTATAATATTGACTATTAAATATTAATAACTTAATATGTGTATGAATGTGTAGTTCTCAGTATTCATGCATTTCAAATAGCTGCTACTTATAAATGCACAGATAGATCATGTACATAAATACTTACATCTTTCCATTTTCTATTCCATTCCTATGAATTGTCCATAGTATGCATTTTTGAGGATGTCCATAATCATGATAATCAAGATTTACGAGTGCATTCAGCAAGTAAATTTGTGTGCACTGAATTCAATTGCTCCCAAAAAAAAACACTTGCCTATAACCCTAGATGCACGGACTAGCATACTGCTAATATATGCAAAATATTTATCTGCATTAAACCAAAATGACATTAAAACTGCATGAACATTGCATGTTCTTTGACACCCATCAAAGAAAATTTCCAGCAATTTTTTGAACTGCATTTTTGCTCTTTCTTTCTAATTGTTTACTCCGTTATTTTACTAACTTCTACATAAAATGGTTTAGATGTTTTTACCTCTTTATTAATTTTTTCAAACTGTTGTGGCAAGTTACATGGTACATAAAACATGAGTGGTCCAAACATGAACTATGCTTTGCATATCATTTTGCTACGTATGCACCATAACATGTGATTTATGCAATTACATACTTCAGAATGTCTAGTAAATATTGGACTCAATCATTTTATGCTATGAAACTATTTTAGTAATTGATGGGCAAACTTCCTTTAATTACACTGAGCAATATCAGTTATAACATGATTATGTTTCCACACATTAACCATGTTAACCAAGAAACTGAAAACTGGTTGAATGTTTGAATTAGCAAAATCCAAACAAGCTAAATCATATTAGAATGGCAACTATGCATGTGCATGAAGAATAGCAAGGAAAATGTATGAAATTATCCCAAAAAAAAATGCCCCCCCCCTAATTTAAACTTTAACAGTGTTTAAACATTTTCAGATTTACAGATTTAGTGAACATAATAAGTACAATTAAACGTTTCTGTAAATGATGACATCAAAACAAATGGGACATCAGTCTCTGCTAAAGACAACTGACCACTGGACCCCACCAATATGCCATGATATACGGACCCTCAGGTTCGATACATCATTTTTTATACCGAACTGGAGTGTCCAATCCTAGTGTTTGGCTTTGATCATTACTATTTTGACATTACGAATTTACTGAAAACGATATCGATTTGATTCATAAAAAAATGTCTGTTTCCAAAAAATGGCATAAATCCGAGAACACAACAGATTGTAATTATAACTGCATAGACCCAAAGATTTTTTTTGGTTTCTACATTTTCACGTGTTGCGATTTCGTACATTTTGTGTTCCATTCTAACAAAATTTGTTTCGAACCGGTGTTTTCCTCCAGTACACAGTCCTGACTGAAAGTCCTGTACAACCCAAATAACTTTCACATAGACACGATCGAAGCCATGAAATTCTATTTATCTATTCAATTTCGTGTTTCAAGGTAAATTTACTAACACGTAGCATTTTTTTTTTGGAAGCATTTACTGAATTCATACTTGATAATATTTCTTGTTAAATTTAATCTTTTCTTTAGTTTGTCAGAGGAAATGGTGGCCTTTTTAAAATTTCGTGAATGGTGTGTTTACCTACTGTGTTTTTGTACATTTTTAATATTAAGTGTACTGCATTTTTTTATCATATTAAAGCAGTTTTTTAACTAAATAAACTAAAAGGTTGTTTTACTGTTTCTGAAAACTCAGTGTTATTCTCTGATTGCTCAACTTCATAAAAATGGCTGACCAAATGGCCGCCATCTTTGAACGAGCGTCAAAAATTTTTTTTAATCATCATAGAAAAGCTTGTGTTCTTACCTCATAATCAACTTTCCCAACGATTTTCCTCTTCTTGGGTGCTGAAATGACAAAATATAATCAACTTGAAGAAATTCATGAGGAAATATTCGAACAATACTTAACAAAACAACAACCACCAAGTTGACAGAAACCTTGGGTTTTTTTCACCTGTCTTGAGCAAACTGACAGAAAAGTTTAAATTGATCGATATTTTATAAGAATAAACATTGTTCGTAACCAAACTTCAACAAATTTGATGCATAATCTCGCTCAAAATTTAATAGAAAACACCAATTTTCTAAACCAAATCGTAATGGCGGTCTATTGTGTCAGTGAAGACACAAACCCCACTTCAAAATATTTGCTGCACACGCTTCGATACGTAAATATAACGATTAAAACAATCGAAAATATTGTAAAAATACCTTTGAAGACTTCTTCTGTCATGTTAATTCCAGTTTTGATGGTATCGAATTCTTGTAATCCACTGTGAAGTAAAAATCTCTGCTGTTCGCCGACATTAAACGGAACAACTTCGTTAGAAATGTGATCCAACGCTTCGTCCCACTTGCCCCGGCTTGCAGGTCATGAACTCAAAATTTGCATATTCGTGACGTTAATGTACCGTTATTGAGATCTAAAGGCGCGGATCTACTTAGGTATTGCTGTATACAGAAACTAGAGTAATTTTGCTGGTAATTTTGATTTTGTTGAATAATTTGTATTAGACCTTACCCATTTTGTCAAAATTATTATTATTATTTTTTTTACAAAATTGAGAAAAATTATCTTTAGATGATGACTCCAACTGAAATATTTGTGGGCGGGGGGGGGGGGGAGCTTCATGTTCAAAATCTGCATCTCACACAAAGATCTATATGGTAAGAAATTAGTTTCAAGTTAGATCTACTTTTATTTATAACATTGTTATAAAACTGTCACTAATTTTTCAGTTTAAGATGCATTTCTTTTTTTATTTATTCAATTTTTTTTTTAAAAGAATTTTTATTTAACTAATTTTAACTCAGTGCAATGAATTTATTCATGCATTGTTGTTTATACATGAAAATCTACTAGGACACAGTGTTTGTGAAACACTGATGTCCCGTTTGGCAGCTTATGGTAAGGATTAGCTGCAGATCTGTAGCGTTATGGCTTTATTTATTTGTCTTTGACCGTGTTATGGTCAATAACAAATATATAAAGATCTGCAGCTAGGTGAGGGTTAAAGTTTTTCAAATGGTCAAACTCCATGGTCATGGTCAAAAGGTAAAAATTATTGATATCAAAATGAAGGTCCTTACACAAGAAATATACTTGTGAAATATGAAAGGCCTACTTCTAACTTTTCAAAAGTTATTGTCAAGGTTTATGTTCCTTAGAAGTTCTAGGAACTCTTAAGGTCAAGGTCTAAAGGTCAGAAATATTTATACCAATTGAAAGGTCTTGTCACAATAAATACATGTGTGAAGTGTCGAAGCTCTAGTTCTAACTGTTCAAAAGTTATGGCTAAGGTTAACGTTTAATTTGTTTTTGTTTATTTTGTAAAAGTGGGTCAAACTCCTAGGTCAATAGATCAAATTTGGTGATACCCAAAGAAAGGTCTTGTCACAAGGAATACACCTGTGAAATATGAAATCCATATAGACCCACCTTGTCAAAAAGTTATGGGCAAGGTTATAAAACCTTTTTGAGGATGAACAGACAGCTAGACAGACAGACAGGGCAAAAATTATATACCCCCTAATCTTCGATTACAGAGACATAAAATGAATTATTAAAATATCACTTTGTTTCCTCTTTAAACTCTGTAACATTGTATCCAGCCTATACTATTAGTTATCCAGGTTCAATCAAGGGTGTACGGGGATTTACCCCGGGTTTTATTCTATACACCCTGAGGCCGAAGGGAATACAACCCGGGGTAAAATGAACCTGGATCACGAATTTATTTCCTCTGTATCCGTAAATATTCTTTGTAAAACATAAATCCAATCTTCTGTGTCTCAATCTATCCATAAGATTTACTACGTACTACAGTGTATTGTGACGTCATGTCATTTGCTTTGTATTATAGAAAAACTATGCATTGTGACGTCACGTTTTATTTACCCCGGCTGAAGTCGGGTGTACGGAAATTTACAACCGACTTTGTAACCAATGAAAGCTCGTGTTACAAGCTAGATAGGAAATAAAGGAGGAAATACTAGTCAGGTACAGACTTATATTCAATGTCACCTTTATTCCTGGTTATACAAATGATACTGAGGAAATTTAAGTCATGATGATTTTCTTGCCATTCTCATCAAAGATTCCTTTTAGTTTTTGGAGGAGTATAGGTCTTTGTTAACGATTCTCCAGTACACTCTGTTTTGGGTGACCTAAATTTTCCTGTTGTTGTCATTTGTTTTAATCTATACACCTGTCTTTGCTGCCAGCTTTCCTTGGCCAGACTGTCTGTCTTTAGCTACTTTACATTAATATTTCTGGGAAATAAAACATAGGATTGTCAGCAAAGGCAAGGTCTTCCAGACACTGGGTTAAGATCAACTGGACTGTTTTGCCACCTCTTATCACAGTGGTTTTCTGCATGATCCAGTCCACAATGCACGAAAAAGATCATTGGTTTCAGGGAATAGCCTTGTCTAACCCCTGTCTGCATTTGTAAGCTTATCCTTGTGCAGTTGTGAATGACTTGGTATATACATGTATACCCTGTATACCCCAGTGCTACAGTAGATTCCAGATGAGTCATCTGTCAACAATATCAAACATCTTCTTAGAGTTGAAGTTGAGACAGTGTTGGCTGTTGCTCTTAACAACTGTTCCACTAGTATGCAGAGATTAGTGATTTAGTCTGTAAAGAGTTCATCATTTTCTTTTTTAACGCCATTGTGTTCAAGACAGAGTCATAAAATTTTATTTTAGTCTTTTCAGGATTATTCTTATCAGAATCTTTCTTGGACAGAGAGTCCAAGCATGATGCAGCACTAGTTCTTGCATTTTCCCAGGTTTTCTCCCTTGGGAAGTTTTACTTGCTCCTTTCTTCTGGTTGGCTGGTATCATCTACTCTGACCAGATCTTATGTATTGCATCTGCTGAAGTTTTCTTGAGGGATTCCATCAAGCCCAGCTGCCTTTCCACTTTTCAGTTCCTCCAGAGCCTTGATGGTCTAATCCCTTGTGGAGAGGCAGTGCTCACTGCTATTTCAGAGTCTGCTGGTGGTATGTTGATGTTGCTGGTGGTGGTTCATTTTGGAGTTCTCTGATTAATGATCCTCCCAATGCTTTTCCTGGTCATCTACCTTTGTGATGGGGTTTGCTGCTTTTTTCTTTCACTGGCTTTATATGTTGTGCAAGGTCTCTTTCCAACCAGATTTCTTTGACAAGTGAATCTGTAAAGGGTGCTAAGGATATTAATAAATATAATGTTAATATACAAAGACTTTACTTCTACCACTGTCATTCACCTACCAAAGAATTTCCAGGGTCACCAATTTGGAAGTGTTTATGTGTTAAATATATAATCTCAAAACATGGTAGTTTCCAAACAAGAAAATAACAGAAATTGCCAGGACCATAGACTTTTTTTTGGGTAGATATAGAGAAGGCTAGCTATTAAAGTGAAACATGCCAGATAAAATTCTATTTCATGACATTGTTCAAACTCTTCTTTTCTTTTTTTAAATTGGAGATGGTAATGGAAATCTATTCCCTATATCTATTTGTTTTTCAGAAGCATTAGGGGAAGGAGATTTAAAAAATATTAATATTCTTGATTTAAAGCTGAAAATGAAATATGGATTGAAAAGCTCAATTCATTTGGTAGCTAGGATATTCAACACTAATTCTTCTTGAATGTATAATTTAACTTAGCAAAATTTTTATTTTGCAGTAGAAGTCCTTCATTCAAAGATGATTACCTCAGATAATTATAAAGAGTATCTTTGTCTTCTTTTGCTTTGCTTTTCACTTTCATGTTCCCTAATCAATGTCATATTTTAAATGTCAAAGTCATTTCATCTAGACTATTTGATGTTGGCTAATAAAACTACAGAAGGCTGAGGTGCATTTTTTAAAGCCAACTCTAGAATTGATCAGGATTTTATCTATTTGTCTTTCCTTAATACCCAATGGCTGCTGAAAGATTTTGTAACAGTACATTTATATATATATATTGTAATTATAATAATTAGGTAAATGAACGACTTGCCCTAACTAAAATAGTAAGAACTTAATCATGTTTCTAATCAATATTGGTAAGACGAAATATCCAAATTTGTTGTATATCCTCACACAGATAGGTGTCCCATGTCCACTCCTGGGACCCCTTACAAATTTCATTCATTTTTGGGGTCCAGCTTCTCTCATTGTGGAGCACCAATCAAAATGGAGCTTTCACATTATAATTAGTAAATGGAAATTTAACTGTTCATACCTCAATGCAAATGTTACACAATATTTTTTCACCAAAAGGCTTTAAGAGATTTGTTTCGAGATAAGAAAAACAATCAGCGTTAGCGTTTTTCTGATGTGACATTGCTGCAGTTAATCCACAAATGATTTTATTTGGGGTTCCATGGCCATGAGGGGACCACTGGTGTTGTGAGGTTGGTTCCTTCTAGAACTGTAAAAGAAGAGATGATAAGAGAAATGGACAGGTAAAACAATGTCACAGATCTTTCTTTTGAAAATACAGGTATGAAAAACAATCTAATATAAAGAGCTCTGATTTTACCCATTCAAAGGTACAGATGCTAGTATTTGACCGTTTGTGTAAAGCACACACGTATATAAATTGCCACCTACATCTGATTAACAAAAATTCTCATATACATGTAGAACCCTGGCTCAGAAAGAGAATCAATTATTGCTTCTCAGTTTTCATTCATTCATCAGAATCCATTGCCTTAATTGCAATGTTACCAGTACATGTATATATTTTTCTTTGTAGCTGTCAGCGATAATTTAGTGAATGTGTGAAAGATTGTACATCACTATATTGTTGACATAATAATAGTACTGAGTAGTGGAATGGTACAAGTTATTAAGGAAGCTCTTAACACTGCATACTAAAGAGATCTACTTCTAAGGTAGTTTTTTGCAGTTAGAGTGATCTGCCCTTAGAAGTAAGATTAAGTAAAATGTTGTTTACAGTTAATTACATGATTTGTAATCAATTAAAATTTTTAGCATTATATACATGTAAGACCAAGTAATTGAATTCATTATTTTCATTTATTTTTTCCCAATGTAAGATAAACAGCAGTGATTTCTGCTCACTTACAGTCAACTGTGTTTGAACATTTTTCCTGCGGAAGGAAGGCAGGTTCTATACTTTATTTATGAATGAAAAAGTCTCAATATGCACACCTTTATATGATATATTTTTATTAAGTCCAACTTTTATAAGTCCAAAAAGCAGTTTCTGTTAGTGTTTATAGCTTCTTTAAGATAAACAAAATGCAAGTTCTGTATCAAGATTTAAACTAGGGTGAGCACATTTCCTTTCTTTGAAATAATTTTTTTATTGAACATCATTTGTATAGTAATGGGAGTTTTAAACATCAGTGATGAACATCACAAAGCAAGTATGTGGTCCATATTCCTTTGATGCAGATACTTTAAGTTAAAGGAAATATGTATGCTTTACAACATGCCTTGATCTGGACATTAGAATAAAAACACATCCATCTCATAGTTTTTAAAATTTATTTTGTATGCTTAATTTGAATACTTGATAAATTTATAAATAAAGCTTCCAATTCAAGATTAACAATTTGGACACATATACACACACTAAATGACACTCAATGATTAGAGGAGATAGGCCATGTTTACATTAACTCTCATTCCTCTACACATATAAAACATGTCACAGTAGTTTGTTCATGATTAGCACTTGTTAAATCACCTCACATCACTGAATGATTGGAAAATAAATTACATTTTACAAAAATACCAATACAGATGCAAGGGAAACTGAAGAAAATAAAATGTAAGTAGTGCATCTAAAATAGTTCCTTGTTCAAGTTGTTGATGAAAGTGATGCATAAATAAATTACACTGTATCCGATATCACACAAACACTTTGTTATAAATCCTCACTTCAGTTTACTTACTAGATAAATCTAATTATTAATAAGTGTTGTTCCTCTTGAGGCTTTTTTTTTTAAGAAAAGAAAAATATTTACTAAAAATTTTTCTATTCAATTTTCAAAAGATATCTGATTTAGGTTCATTTGAAAATCTTTAAGGGTTAATTTGAAAATGTTTAATACAAGTACAAAACTTCTTAAGAATTTTGTAAAAGACATCCAAGGAACACCTTATCTTCATGACCCGTAGAAGTATTTAAAAGCACCTAAACCTCTTCAGTATTCAGTTCTATGAAAAAATATCAGACTTTTTTTTCTCTCACGTTGGCAGTCTTCAAAATAAACAAAAAATTCAAGGGTTATCTCCCTTAGAACATACGTTCCTAATTTTGAGCACCATTAAATATTTTGATCAGTGTTGCAGAAAAAGTAATAATAAACAGCAATGCTCGGTAAATTGAAATTAGAAACATCCATAGCATTAATATCCCTGCAGTAAATAAATCAAAGAAATGATTTGGTAGATTTTTTGTATTGCACATAAGAAAAGAGGCCATTTCACTCAGAGCTTCACTAAAAACAAAGCACAGCTTCCAGTTATTAAAATCACCCACACAAACATAATGTGAATTTTTAAAAATCCTATATGAGCTCAGTTACTATAAATTGGTTTTGAAATTAGCTCTTGAATTGTTTTTCCTTTATACCATCAATGTCCAGGTGTGCTATTGGTCAAAGTCAAATTTGTACAATAATTTGTCAGGTGTTCAAAATATGCAACACTGCGATTACTTAGAGATCAAAAACCAAGATTTTCATAGGACATTAATAAAATTGATGATAAAACACTAACAGTTGTTTTTTGTACAATTTCTTGAATTATGATGTCTTGAAAGATGTATAGATACAAAACAGACTTTCATGAAAAGTTCTGACCAAAATAGTTCACATTTTCTCAATTAAAAATATCAATAACAGTCAGTGACGTCATATCCTGATGAATTAAAATGATTATAGCTAATGACATACCTTGTTGGAATGCAATATTTAAACATAATGTATCCAACATGACTAACAAACATGGGCCATACAGAAAACAAACACAACAAATACAGGTCAGTCTGGGCAGATAATATTATCATAACATTTCATTCAAGCCTTAATTTACAGCTTCTGATATTTACAGCATTTACAGGTGCTCCTACACAGGTAAGACTTGATGAGCTATTGACAGACAACACCACTTACAACCAAATGTACAAAATTTAAAAAAAACTATTGCACTTATCACAAATTATCATTATTGTGGGTGAAATATTTTAGTTCAATAATAGGCTCTGGTTATCAATTATAATACAATGGTCCACATAAGTAAAACACCATTTAGGTCTGTAGAAACAAGAGATTCACTAAATGCTGGAGCTGTCGGAAATTGAGCAGGAACTACACAAAAGTATCCATACGATTCTCAGTTAAAGTACACTTCCGAAACATAATGAAGTTAAGAAAAGGAATTTTATGGTGTAGTGAAACATCATTAGTGTTCACAAATCAATCCAAACAATAAGGATCAATTTCAAGATGTTCATTTAGGAGTGGCCAATGAATAGGCACCAAAATATCAGTACAGATTTAACGGGATACACATACATACCTTTATCCATAAAATAATTGATTTGCATCAGTCTATCTAAATGCCAGAAACATAATAATGAATATAACAGATCTAATTCTTAATTAAAAAGCCCAGTCTTTACAAAGTCTTATCCAAGTGCATGAACAATAGTACACAAGAAAACTGTGTAGTTATATCTTTACAATATACATATGTACAATTTGATATATTAAATAATTACAAAATAATTAAGTAGTTCTATGATTTGGCTTTGCATCATACGATCCCTTCCATGAAACTTGTGTCCAAATTCTGAATCAGTGTCCTAATAAATCCCATTTCTTTACGTGTATTTTCAAATATTGTATGAGGGTCTATGCATTCACAGCGTAAACAGTTTGGTGCCATCACCATAGCTAAGTTATTCACATCCATTTTGGTCGTTTTGGAATTTTCCTCAGCTGCAAACACCTATTAAGAATATATACTTGTATTTATAATTGTGATTGAATAAAGATGCTAAAGAAATATCATAATTAACTTACAGTGAACAAGATAAATCTTTGTATGTACAGTATATAGCATATTACATTACAGAATCAATTTCAAGAATAAATGAAAGTTGACCGAGATCTAAACACAAACACTCTGTAAAAAGGTTAATTTATCAAAATAAAATAGTTTCAACGTTTAGAAGAATATTTTATCATCATCCTTTTTCAGTATTACCTGGTATAAGTCACTGTATTACATACCTGCAGAAATCGTATGAGATAAGCTAGAACTAGTCGGTTGATATCGGGGAGTTTACTGACAACATCAATGGCAGCCTCGGGGTTCTGGTAATTCAGTATACACTGTTCATAGAACTCAGCAGGAATGAGGGGTTCATACAGTTCTCTGTACCAGAGCTTGAGGAGGGAGGCGGGGATGTGGGGGTCCACACAGTCAGGGGGGAGGGACCACTGGTCACACTTCAACTTCAGGGCGTTCACTTCGTCTATATCACCGGGAACTCTGTAATCAAAGGCACAACAATGACCTACTTGTAAAAATTGAACTTTGACGGAAGCAATTAACAGGGAAAAATGTTAGGTTTGGTTTGAATCATACAAGTTTAAATGTAAAAATTATTTTCTTTATTGTTAATGTAGATTTTTCATAAAAACAACTCCCTCATTATTTCTAAATGATAACCTACTTTACTATATTAATTTAAAAGATTCACAGTCAAACTAGCAATGATCAATACATTAATACGAATAGTTCCTGTTACCTAAATATCCCTTCAGTCTGTGCTCCGTTATATCTCAGTACTTCCTCCGACAGAGCTGTCTGTATCCATGGTAACTTTCGATCAGGAAATCTCTCCTTCTGTAGAAGCATGATGTCATCAAGGGAACTCCCAAACATGGAAGGAGAGAAGACGGATTTCTAAAAATAAAAACAAAACATATAAAATATCTCTGTGATGGAAAATAATATTGATCTCCACAAACAACAAAACACCCAAAGAAAATGCCCTTTCTTACTGCAAAAAAGGGATGAAGCACAAGTTGTTATTAAAATAGCAACCAAATTTTCTAGCATATCACTAGCATGTTTTATATGGGTGTATATAGAAAATTGGTATAAATCAAGTACACATTACTTATCAAAACAATTTTAAAGCATTGTCGTACATATTTACTCAGCTATACTTTCAGTATAGTGACTTTTTGACATAGAAACGGCTAAGTATTCAAATTTTTTTTTTGAACAACACCGTATCCTATTATTCACATTGATAAATGTTTAAAGTCAAAATACGGAAAGTAAACAACAATTTCTAGCACATATAGGAGATAAAAGGAGGAGATACACTATTTTAAATACAAACAAGGAAACTTTTCGTAAGTACAGCTGTACTCACTTTAGCCTGTTCGATTTCATCCACGTTAGGTTTCCGTTGGCCTTTCTTTGGACCGCTGGCCATGATTTTCTCCAACCTCCTCTGACACTGCAGGGCAAAGTGACTCAATGGTGTCTGTACAAAAGTTCAAATCAGTTTGATGTCAAAGAATCAGATAAAAAATTGTCTTCGAAAAATAAATTGAACAGTTACATATTTAAATCTAGGCTAAATATTTTAAGAGGAATATGAGCTATACATGTATTAAACACCTTTTAAAGCCGTAAAAGTCTACAAATTTAAAAACAAATCTATATATTTTTCATTCTCCCTCAGAAATGTTTATCAATATCATATTTATACACAAATTAAAAATTACCCATTAAACATTTATATGGTACAAAAGTTCAAAGATATGCATCAGCAAAGCTCGCAAAACAGGAATTTTTAGCCAATGATTATTGCTTACCTCTGTTGTTATGATGTTATTGGACTCATCAAGGTGTTTGGCAATAATTCCCTCCAAGTAACCACTGAACTTGGTGGAAGGAGGGAAAAAGTAGAGACAGATTGCGATCATTTCCCAACCTTTCTGTAGACTGTCACTGCAAGCAAGAGAAAGACATGCTTATAATTGCCAATAGACAGAGATACATGAATTAATCTTACTGTATTCAACACTTTGGTAGATGTATAAGATAAAGTCAGTATCTGTACAAATTCTGGTTTCAGCTTTCTACTTTAATTCATGAATGAGATGATTAATGTCTGATCTTTAATAAAAGAAAGCTTTGCTTTTGCTGTACCAACAATTCAAAATTTCAAAAATGGTGCATTGTACTTAGCTGATGTAACAAGCCAAGTTGCACTCTGTAGATAAAAGAATTGATAAAAGAAATTCCAGCACCAACTATTACTCATTGTTGGTCGAGACAGACATATTGATCTTGAAATTATCGGACTCAACAGCAGTACTATTTCCCATTTCTTTAAATGGAAAAAAGCAAACTTTATTGATTTCCCTTCATGCAAATCTTTCCTTAAAAAAATGGCCAGGTGTTAAAATATAGGATACCTGTTAATGCATTTAAGACCTTCCACCTCTAAACTTGTTATCCCCTTACAATATCCTTTCACAAGTTTGAGGGGATGTACACTATAGTTAACATGCTATTTCGTGTGTGGGTAAGTGAGTGCAAAATTGAAGTTAGGTGTACTAACTTATCTTGGATTGGTCATCTTTTGTAAGGGGGTGCTCCACTTTTCACTTGTTATTTTAGTGTTAACTAAAGTTTTTTACCTTAATTTAGTCTTCAAAGATGGCACAAAATGTTTATATGATGAGTAATATTTAAGTCTGATGTGTGTAGGTGATCTGACCATTAGGATGTCTGGGTTCTGGGCAGTACCTACCCCTTTCTGTTCTCTGTGGTCTGTTTACACTGGGCAGTACCTACCCTTTTCTGTTCTCCGTGGTCTGTTTACACAGTTGCATGTATATTTCGTCCCTGAGATTGACGATGCTCCAGCCCTTACTGATGATTTCCTGGGCGGCCTGCATCTGAGTCAGTCGAGCCTTCCTGTCTCCCATGTAGATCTGGATCAGTGAACCAGTTAAGGAAAGCTAGCTCTAGCTGTGTTTTAGTACACAGTCTACAATAACTGTTTTATTCATACAACTTTGACGAGAAAGAAAAGAAAACCTTATCTGTTTTAGCAATGGATAAATCACAATACTTGTACTTTGTACAGTCACAGGAGGTAAATTTATCATTTGATTTTATAAAATCTGATGGAAATGTTTAATTTAGTATTTCTCAAGGAAGTTCAAATACATATATCCATTTACATTTAATCAGGCCCTCGTTTGTTGAGCATGTTGAGAACATGTACTAGTTTTATAAAATAAAAATTTAGAACCTGTACTTCATATATACTGTGCCATCTATACAACCAGAATAAACTGACCTACCAGTGTACATTTGACCAGTAGCTTGCACTGAAGTAGATTATGAGAAATTATAGCAAAATAATTACTTGACATTGTACTGACATATTACTAGTTATTACAATTACATGTACAGTGTATTTGAGTTGTAAGGTGCAACATTACTGATCAGGATGATAATATTCTCTCAGAACTTTAGCTTTAATCATAATAACCTTGGCTTAAGTCCAGTATTTAAGGCTTTCATTAACAGTGCAAGATTTAATATTAAAATTTCTTCAGGAGAATTAATTTCATTTTCATCTAATATATCATTTACTTTAAAAAAAATTCCTTTTTAGCATGTTTATAGTACTCTTGAGCATTGGTATCTTAATACTGATCATGATATCTTGAATACCATAGATATATTAAAAAATTGAAGTTTTAAATACTAATTAAAATTTAAAAAGTATTTTATTCTCAGCATCTCAAATCCTTAAATATACCTGTCTTCTGTCTTTCCCCAGTCCCATCGAGTTTGAGATAAACAAAGAACAAATTTCCAGCAAAAAGATACTAAGACTGATTATCTAATATTTCTGTTATAATTTGGAATGTTATGAATGATGCCCACAAAACACATGCTCTGTTTACAATAAGAAGGATATGTTTGAAGACTTCACATGCTTCTTTCTTCACTGCTTTGTCATCTGTTCTCAAGATGGGCTTCTGTATGGGGTCCTACAAAACATAGAGAAATGATCCAGATCAGAGGCAGGTTATACAGAGAATCCTAGACAGTGTACAGTCAGGAATGACATCAATTAGAGAAGATTACTGTAAATCTGTACAGGGATACCCTGGGAAACAGAATAAAGCACATACAGCTCAGGGGACAGGAGGAGAACCTGCAGAATACCTTATAACTTGACAGTTTTTTTGAGAAAGTGAATTTGAAATATGATATGGAATCCCATTAAGGGACAGTATAATTGTTTGTGGTTCTTATGTTCACACATAAATGTTCCTTTGTTAACAGGAATAGCTATTTAGGACTGAGGACTGCAGGATATCTGGTTCTCCATAGTTTACAGTTGGTACCAGGAAACTCATACCGGACACATGTACATGTATTTAAATAGGCTAAAATACTACAAATGGAGTTCTTGGAAAAATTGTCAAAACAACAGAAACCAAAAGTTAGCATGTTTTTCAATATGTGTACTTATAAATATTATAGATTAGATACCGTTAATATTAATTCTTTAATTATTACCTACCAAAAACTTGTCAAGACACAATCCCATTATCATCAAAATTAACATATGAATGCATATAACAAAGTAATTATATTATATACCACAGTAGCTAAAAATATAACCTAATTTTTTCACACAGGTATTCCCTGGCCCTTAAAAATAAAAATAGCCTATGACAAGGTATGTTATGAACATGATGAATCCCTCTTGTTTCTAAGTGCACTTGTTTGAAAGGCGTTTTCACCTTGTTAACTGATAAGTCTAATCCACAGTCATTTTTCCTTCATATTATGTAAATCTTATCAAGATAAATTGCTTTAAGAACTTGAATATACTTAAAACATGCATAAATTACTTAAAATATATTGCATATCTTGAAATATACTGCATATTTTTTTGAGTGGTGTTAGTGATTGTTTGAGCTGAACGGAAAATGACTAAGAACAACGTATAAAAATTAATCAAGAGGTACTTGAAAAACAGAGAAAAATTTTTAAAAGTCCAATGTTATAATCACCCCCTGACTGAAACTATGATGTAATTAAGGAATTCCTTTATGTTTTGTAAATAGCAATACCTAGGACAGAAATAAATCTGTAGGCTGAAAAACTGTGGAATGTGCAAAATTTGTGACCTTACATATATGCATTTAATTACCAAGTTTAACATAGGAACAAATATATAATTTATCTTGAATATCAAAAGCACTTTGAAAACCATGCATAAGAAACAAAATGCAAAAATTGCAGAAATTGCTATGATCAAACATGAATAGTTTCCAGCCCTAAAGAATACTGTTGGACCTTTACTAAAACTTACACTGATGAACGATTCTTCCTTCGTAGGTTCGAATTCTAACAACTCAATGTAATCCTCCTCTGTCTCAAAATTAAAACAGATACAAAGCGAGCTCAGAAAGTTACTCATGATCTGCCCCTGGCATCGTCTGAATCTCCAGCCCCAAGGAGGAAGGTGAGATATGAGTTGAAGTTTTACACACACACACACAAATCATAAAGTATTTCCTCTGAATCAGGAAGGAATTGACAGTGTCATCCCCAGCATGATACAATCAGCACACATATTTATACTTCCAGTTAATATATTTTAAAGGGTCAGAATGCTCATATATATCCTAAGTATATTTATCACTAACATAAAATCCATATTGCTCTAATAGCAATAGCTAATAGCTAATCACTTCATAGTCTCATTATTTTATTAAAATATCACATCACTGCTATAATAAAATCACTTAGAATTTGCTGGCTTGACACTGCTAGTAACTCAGGTTTGACTCAGGAGTTTCCCATGCTAGCCCAGCAATCATTGATCCTTTGATTATTAATACATGTAACTCTCTAGGTGAGATCTCAGCAACATCTGTCCCACTCAGGGAGCTATAGCCTACACTGACTCCCGACTCATTAGTGTGTAACTATGTGTCATCACTTTAATAAACAATGGATGATAACTACACAGAACAGGTAATGTGTCTCCACCATTACCAGATTGCTGGTATTCAGCAATCGATAGGGCACCAGATTAATTACTCACAGAAACAAGACACAGCTTCCAGTTTCTAATTATGTCACAATAATTCACCCATTCAACAATGTTATTGATTTCTCAACTACTCAAAAATCCTGACATAGGCCTTCCATTCCACTTGAATGGGTTCATCCTTGACCCTTAACCTTTTGAAACTACCCACACAAGTGATGCTAAAAGATGCCAGTTTTCTATTCTTAAAAGTAAGCTACGGAGTTTCCTGATGAGATGACTCCCAAAAATATTTCAAAATAATTGATGCAGATAACACAACTGATTCAGTACTTATCTAAATAAATGCAATACTCAACCTCTCTAGACTAATTAAGCTTCAAATAAGAGGTGATTCATACCAAAGTGTTGTGTGGATTTATTTATGCTGATGAATTTCATTATATAGTGATATTTTACCTTGGACCAGATCAGCATGTGCTCAAATGAAATCTTTTTTCCAAACAGTCCCTTCTTGTGGCGGTTCATGTAGTTCTCAATATCCGAGTCCGATGGCAGCTTCTGTTTCTGTGAAAGTGGGCTCGCGGACCGTATAGGGGGCGCTGTACCGGCTCGATTCTACAAGACAAGCAGTAAGATACTAATCCTTATGCATATACCAAAATGTTAATGTTTTTACTTCATGCAGTTTACCTTTCCATTAAATCCCTGTCAGACAGGTTTGTAAAACCCTGTTGTTTTTGATGCATCATAATGAATAATACAGGTGTTTGACATATTGCTTTCAGTTTTCTGTGTGTGGGAGGTTTATAGATTTCATGGGTGGAGAAGACATGAATAACATGAACAAAGTTCCTATCACTTGTCATTCAAAAGGAATAATTTTAAAATATAATGATTTTTTATACACTTGGAGAGGAAAGCTTTACTGGTATATCAATAGATTGTCCTTTGAAAAAAAATCTTTGAAAATTGCAGATAATAAAAAAGCAGATATATTTTTTTCATTTTGAACACTTCAAAATCTATTAAACAGATGTTGGGATCAAAGTCTCGTCTTTATCTCTCAATTCAGTTTATAAATTCTATGTTAAAGTTTCCTCATGCAGGGCTAAATGAGACATCCATATGTCAGTTAATCATCTAACATTTGTCTATTTTTAAATGTTTCAATATATGTGACATGGTGATATATTACTGGTCTTTTTTTACAGCCCAGTGTTCACTATTCTTGTGTTGGGATTTTGTACCTGAATTGACTAATGTAATTGACACCATGACCAATCAAATTAAGTGATCTATTAGTCAAAATGAGAAACTGTCTGTCTGGCTGTTTGTCTGTCAATAAGTTAACCTTTATCAATATTTACCTGTCTATAAAATAATCTTATATTGAGAAATATCTGTCTGTAAAAAAAAATACATTTACATCCTATGACTTGATTGAAAGATTGTCCATGTGTATTCTCTAAGAAGTCTAATATAATTCATGTCTATGAGTGATCCTGTAGTGGGATTGCCTGTGTGTCTGTCTATAGAATGTCTGACATTTTCCTGTCTATTGAGTGATCCTACACTGGGACTGAGTGAGATATTGTCTGTGTGTCTGTCTATAGAATGTCTGACATTTACCTGTCTATTGAGTGATCCTATACTAGGCCTGAGTGAGACATTGTCTGTGTGTCTGTCTATAGAATGTCTGACATTTACCTGTTTATTGAGTCATCCTATACTGGGACTGAGTGAGATATTGTCTGTGTGTCTGTCTATAGAATGTCTGACATTTACCTGTCTATTGAGTGATCCTATACTGGGACTGAGTGAGACATTGTCTGTGTGTCTGTCTATAGAATGTCTGACATTTACCTGTCTATTGAGTCATCCTATACTGGGACTGAGTGAGACATTGTCTGTGTGTCTGTCTATAGAATGTCTGACATTTACCTGTCTATTGAGTGATCCTATACTGGGATTAAGTGAGTCATTGTCTGTGTGTCTGTCTGTAGAATGTCTGACATTTACCTGTCTACTGAGTGATCCTATACTGGGACTGAGTGAGACATTGTCTGTGTGTCTGTCTGTAGAACGTCTGACATTTACCTGTCTACTGTGTCATCCTATACTAGGCCTGAGTGAGACATTGTCTGTGTGTCAGTCTGCAGAATGTCTGATATTTACCTGTCTACTGAGTGATCCTACACTGGGACTGAGTGAGATATTGTCTGTGTGTCTGTCTATAGAATGTCTGACATTTACCTGTCTATTGAGTGACATCCTATACTAGGACTGAGTGAGACATTGTCTGTGTGTCTGTCTATAGAATGTCTGACATTTAATTGTCTACTAGGCCTGAGTGAGACATTGTCTGTGTGTCTGGTCTGAGTGAGACATTGTCTGTGTGTCTGTCCACACTGGGACTGAGTGAGACATTGTCTGTGTGTCTGTCTATACAATGTCTGACATTTACCTGTCTATTGAGTGATCCTACACTGGGACTGAGTGAGATATTGTCTGTGTGTCTGTCTATAGAATGTCTGACATTTACCTGTCTATTGAGTGATCCTATACTGGGATTAAGTGAGTCATTGTCTGTGTGTCTGTCTATAGAATGTCTGACATTTACCTGTCTATTGAGTCATCCTATACTGGGACTAAGTGAGACATTGTCTGTGTGTCTGTCTGTAATGTCTGACATTTACCTGTTTATTGAGTCATCCTACTATACTGGGACTGAGTGAGACATTGTCTGTGTGTCTGTCTATAGAATGTCTGACATTTACCTGTTTATTAAGTGATCCTATACTAGGCCTGAGTGAGACATTGTCTGTGTGTCTGTCTGTAGAATGTCTGACATTTACCTGTCTACTGAGTGATCCTACAATGGGACTGAGTGAGACATTGTCTGTGTGTCTGTCTGTAGAATGTCTGACATTTACCTGTCTACTGAGTCATCCTACACTGGGACTGAGTGAGACATTGTCTGTGTGTCTGTCTATAGAATGTCTGATATTTACCTGTCTATTGAGTGATCCTATACTGGGACTAAGTGAGACATTAGCCTCTGATTGGGTAGGGACCACCATAGATGCGGGCCGCTGTTGTATTATGTCTGCAGTCATGGAGTGGCTCTTCTCTATCACCGGACTTCCAATACCCGTTTCATTCTTTTCCGGCTTCTTCCTCTTGAGTGAGGCATGATGGGATTCATACGACTCATGAAGGATTCGTTCATGTATTGGAGAGTTGAAAAAATTACTGTTGATCTCATCCTCATCAAAACTCTGGTTGAGTTCAACTGAAGAAAATAAAAATATTACAGTATCTAAAAACAAAATATTGAATTTATTATCATTATTATGGAATCCCGTCGAAACCTGTATCCTTTTTTCTGATATGTCATATGACTTTACATCAACAAGCATACAATGAAATATGATCAAAAGAAAATCTTAGAAATATTGAGAATTGATCATTTTAAGTATGTACACAGAATGAAAATGATTCTCTTTCCATCAAAAATATTGAATTCTTTTATACACTTCAAGGATGAAACTAATAAGTGATCAAACAAGCCTCCAAATAGACTAGAACTAATGTCTATGTAGGAGACTAGTAAACAGACACAGCTAACTGCTCTCTTCCTACAACACTTCTACATGAAGTTTTTAACTTTAATAAACATTATTGATCTACTTCAAACTTTCAGACATCAAAATAATGAATCTATTGCTTTAATAAACATTCATTCTTTTACTTAACGACTAGCCATATTACTGAGCTACATACATAGAAGAGCACTATCCCATAGGAGATTGAAATCATTAAACAATGGTGTCATCGTCTCACTGTTCTAGATCCGATCATATGTACATATCGCACAATAATCCACATGATAAACCGCATATCACAGCCTCTCTGAATTTTTTTATAAAATCTCAAACCCTGCACCTCGGTCCAACAGGAAGCTAGCTTGTCATTCAGTTCCTTTCCGACATCAAATTATTGCGTAAAAGTGTGACGCCAAAAACAAATTTTTCTGAACAAGGAAAATTTTCCTCGTAAAGAAACAATTGCCTATAGTTTGAAAGTCACTAAGTAAATAGACATACAGGCTATTACAACATTATGTTTTGACTGTGCATTATATCCTGTATGTTCTTTACTACCAGCCACTTGATCATGGAATAGCTTCTGGGAAATAACTACTTGTTTCCTTGAGGAGATCTTACTAACAGCTTTATTTTCCATTAATCTTTCACCTGTTTGTTTCTCTCTTTTCCTTGATTTGACTGCGGAGCTTATGCATATGTTTTTCTCCATATTCACAAATACAGGTGGTTGTGTATGAAAAATCATTTTATAACTTGATGTTTATTTTTTTAAATTTTAATAAGAGTGGTATTTCACCGTATTTGCATTATTTTATCAGATGAATCTCCACAAATCTCTGTGGTATTTTTCTGTGAGGGGAATAAATACAGTAAATGGAACGAGAAACAAGAGGCCCCTAGGCCACAATGCTCACCTAACCATATGCCAATATGATTTGACACCCTAATGTGACCCAGTCTTTGCCCAAGTCCATGATTACAATGCAAGAAGCTGCTTTGCTATTCATTTGACTTATTATGATTCTGCTTATATTAACAGATTTTTAGTTTTTCCTATAAATTCTACATAGATCTGCCCCTAAAGCTTCAAAGTGAGACACCAACAACAGAAGTAAAGCATTAGCTCAACTGGACTTTATGAGGTGAGCTTAAAATTTAATGTTATTTTTTTATTAATGAAAACACTTTCAATGCAAGTATATAGATATAAAGATGCCTTACCATCAGGTGGGAAGTGGGAGTTCTCTATAACAGGTAGTGATCTATATCCTCTGTTGACATGGTCCAAGTGCTGCCTCATCACAGCTGGGGGTTCTCCGTTCTTTATCTCCGGAAAATCGGGGATATTCTGTCGGTCCTTCAGCACCTCGCGATAAATATGAGTGTCTGAATGACAAGGGGAGTAATTCTTAGAGGGAGGCACATTTGCATAATCAGGTTCCGAGTCGTCAGACACCGGTTCCTGGAACTGACTATTTGTTAACTGTTGAGATATCTGACTACTTGGTCTTTCTTGCACATTTTCTCTCATGTCTGTCAAACTTCGCTCAGATCCTCTTGACGACACACTCTCATGATATGATGTTGATGGGTCAACCTTCATGGGTTGCATGCGTAATGAACTGTTGGAGGTATGGAAATCAGCAGAGGGCTGTTTAAAGGAACCCTGGGAAGAATGAGAGTCCGATTCACGATTTCTGGATGAGTGCGATGCCTGGCTGTCTGTTCGTTCATGACGCACAGCACGTATAGATGAATGTGAAGTATCACTATCAGATCGTTCATGTGGATAATAATAATTTTCCGTATAGTCCTTTGGTGCTACTTGCATACCTGCAGCAGCATAAGATTTAGGTTCAGAATAGGTGGGGTCATAGTTCACAGCCTGCTGTTCAACATTAATTCTCTTATAAGCAGTACTTCCATTTCGCTTTGGCACACCAACATAGGCCGGATTAGTACGGGGAAAAGATCTAAGTTTTTGTGACATCATTGAGGGACTAACACTCCCTTGCTGATGGGCAATGTCTTGACTAAATGGTATACACTCATGGTCTGGTCCAGAGGACAAACTTGGACTATAAATTCTCTCATTGATATCAGAACTATACATATCCTGACTTCCACTACTATACACGAGTGGAGGTGGTGTAAACATGTCCTGACGACTCGATGTGGACCCATACGAGTCTGAACGACTTGCATACTCCCTGTCAGATGAGAAACTAGCTTGTCGCCTTGCAGGGTGGTATGGAGATAAGTCATGTGACACAAATGTATCGTCTCTGGCCCTATAGTCTGTAAAGCGGTAACTGTTGGATCGACTAGACTGCCCACTCATGCTCTCTGTGTGTGCCCTCTGCATAGAATGGGTCCTCTGAAGTCGAGGTGAATCCGTTACCCGTGGCGTCATTTCTAGTGACGAGTCGCGGCGAATCACCGCTTGTACAGGTGGACTGGAGGAGGAATAGCCCGCCTGTGTGGACTGTGACGACTGACTACCACGGCGGCGGACCCGGTCTCCGTTACGCTCGCGGAAACTCTCATGATGACTAGAACTACTCTGGGAGGAGGCAGAGTCCTGTCTGTTAAACCGGTGCTGTAACACAAAATCAGATACATTACTTATGGGGTATACAGATTGTCATTCAAAGGAGTAAGATTAAATTTAAAATTTTAAGATTGTATTTGCACATTTGTTTAATATATAAGTGTAGATTGTCTATAATGCTCATATGCCTTGATCAAACCATGAGAATATACTTGAACTCTCTTAATTACAGTTACACATGATAATCCATAAACTTGAACACATAAAAAAATCATTATTTTTTTTAATTATATATAAGGTTGCCATGGATACAATATATATTTGTACACTTAAGATTTTAAGCAATATATAGTGAACTACTAAAACTTTATACCAAAAGAGATTCCTATGCTTTTCAAATATTCACATGATAGTCTACAGTCTTTATAGGAAAAAGGTCAAAATTTTATACAACATTGAAAACAAAGGCTTTAAATTATTTGTTTTTTCACTATTAATCAATTCTACTAGAAATTTTATCAATTCCAAAGGCATGAGAATGCTTCAAATTCATCCTCCACTTTCTTTGTAAAAGAGTATTAAATTACTTTTCACAATCTTTTGGATAATCAATTACAGTTCATCACTTCAAAACACACACTTCAGGCAATGACCTATCGAACAGGAAGAAAAACAAATAAGATCCCAAAATACCATTGAACTTCAAGCCTTGATCCCTCACGACTGAAGCCTGCTCCACTTACAATACCCAGGCAGGAGATTTCCTGATTCCTGTGAGTGATAGAGAATCAGAAACAATCTGGAATGTCTTTGACACAATGGAACCAAAACCATGTCCAACAGACATAAAAATTATCAAAAATTCTGCCAACACACTAAATGCTTGAGAAGCTTGATTGCCATGGTTACAGATTTCGGAATGTGAGTAGTAGATGTGTCTTTCTTGTTTTTTCTTTCTTAACTCAAATGCAGAAAGGATGTTATATGAAAGTACTTCTAAAATTAACTCTTGATTTGATTCCTCCCTAACACCAGTTAGCAAGCCACCTAATGAAATCCAAGCGTTTCCAGCAGTTTAATAGATGTAAAATCACTCGTAGAGCCTCTAAGCAAAGCATACAGCATAAAAACAGAAATCATTGAAAACTGACTCAACATGTCTTACCCTACTAAAGATTTTGGAGATCTGAAACAACATGTTAACTGAAATAAAACACTGGATCCTTCACTTTTGATCTAGATAATCTCCATGTACAAAATGGCAGTCTATGTGCACTCCATGCACAATAAATCAACATGCCCTGTCCTATCAGAATGTGGACAGAAATCCATTCTAGTGGAGAGTAATTTCGATTCTTAGCAGTAGTCCGCAGGAATGTGCTTCGATTTCAAATTTCTTGAGGATGTTGAAACTCAGTATCACAATCAGAAATCAATATGCTAATGCTTTGTAATCCTGGTTTTTAGCATCGTAAAGTGAAGACAGATGGGTAGACTGTGACAGGCATGAGCATTCTGCCGAGGCAATAAAACACAGGAGTAGAGGGAGATCAAGATCAAGTCGTGAGTGATTACTATCACACAAGTAAAGGGGAATTACTCTCCATCTACCCTCAGTCATTTGGTGACAGATTGTCTCCTTGTCACTGTAAATGGATGGACATGATGGAAATCAGTACAGTCAATTCTCGAATTATCGCCATTCGATTCATCGCCATTTTCGCAATACCGCCATGATTTCCCAAGAACGTTTTTCCTGCTATATAAAATTCTCTTTATAACGCCAAATTCGCATACCGCCATCCGCCACCCTGTTTTCACAACAAACGTCCATTTTTAAGTGTCAATTATCTCAATAATACCGCCACAGGTGCGTGTGGTCAGTGAAGCGCGGCTAATTGGTTGACGCTATCCCTGTTGTAAAACATGCAAAGCCAGTCAAGGTACAAGCAATTAAGTAAACAATGATTTTAACATGAACTGTTAGAATAATTTTGTTTTCTGTTTAATAAAATCATTTAGTCAAGGCTTCGCCAGGAAAGCGGTCGTTGTAAAGTACGCCGATAACGATATTATTTTGATGATCTCTGCTTTCAAAAACAATGCAAAGTTTGCTTAAAAATAATTATAAGTCAGAAATTGTGAACGGTTCATTAACAATGATTTCATAAATAATGAATTTATTCAAGAACTTAATTTAAATACAGTTCTATAGGCAATATATCACGACAATCGACCTAGCATTTTTTTTTCAATATCAGACGTGCAGATTTAAATGCATACACATATGCATGTACTTGTCTTAATTTCATATCTGAATATTTTGTTTTAGTGAAATTGTACATAAAAAAATTACTTGAAGTATTTTCAAATTCAGAAATATATTTATATATACATGTACATCTAATAATAAAAATAGAAACGCTAAATGGCACTTCTAAGAACGATAACTCTACGTCTTATTTCCTAAAAGATGGAAAATTCAATTCATCGCCAAATTCGTTATACCGCCATGATTTCTAAATTACAAAAGGTGGCGGTTTATCGAGAATTAACTGTATATATTGAGATCAGTGAACCTCCAAAAACCTCCACTTACAAATCCAAAATAAGGTCTTTTCAATCATCAGTTTCTACAAAATGTACATCTAGGCCTACAGGACATCAATAAGCTATTTCTAAATATAAATGCCTCTCAGTAAAATTTATTTTCTGTGTAAATTCTAAATAAATATATTGCTTACATGTAAAGCTGGCTATTTAACTTATATCAAAGATGCTACACTTATAGACACAGATAACAGAGTACAGAGATAACGAATGATTGAAAAGGGGAACCCCACTCCTCCGCATCGTCTCCCCTCTTGACCTTTGATTGACCCCTGAGAAATCTACATCTCTGATTATCACCCTGTCAGAAAGACAACACCCCCTGGGATTTCTATCACCTACTTCTGTGTGGAAAGTGTGCAGTATGGGGAACTCCTTGTACATTACTTATGTAACTGTTGCTTTGATATCCCCAAAGGCATAATGCACAAGTTGTTATATAATAGTGTAAGATGATTCTGATAAAGACATACAAAACACCACTGCACCAAACAGCATCTTCATTACAATATAAAAATGTAAATTCTAACTAAAATAGAGTGATATTCTGGTCGATTTTATTTGTTCATGTACTTCAGCATAAGAGGTTGGCAAATCATCAAAGTGAATACCAGCAAGGTTAACAAACTTCTTACCAACAAATAGGTGGCACTTATACTTCTGTTTCTACGCAATGTTTTGCATTCACTGTTTCAAGCTGCTTTTTGTATTGTATATTGTTTATGACACTCTTGATAAGTACTTATTAATTGTTTAAATTATGGGATAACAAGAAAAATATGTGACAAAAAATGCTGAATATTTTGATGTTTTGATTGTAATAAATCCTCTTGGGGGGGGGTGTTAAAGTTCATAAGAAATAAATCTCAACATATTTATCACTTGTTTATATGCAATACTTAACACACCAAAGAAAACCAACACTTACTTTTCTGGAGACATTTGGACTGGTCTGGGTGGTGTGAGTAGATTTCAGTGACCCGGTTCTCACATGTTTGGTGTGGTCCCTCCTCTTTTTAAAAAAGACAAAGAAAAAGTAAATTAATGGCAGGAAAGTGATGAGCAGAAAGATGGACACTTCTATAGTGGCAGAGGAAGAGTAGTAGAATGTTCCATAGCCTCCCATTCCACACGAAATCAAGTCACTGCCATCGAAAATTTACATGTCACAATAACAGGTATTTCAGTCTATAAAAGTCTTGCGAGCTGATTATCAATATTTGAGAACTTTCTTTTCTGTCAATTTACACTGCAACATATAAGTTATTTATGCAAATGAATCCTTGTTAATACTAATGTCTGAAGTCCATTTCAGACATAATTGGTGTTTTCGAAAAAAGAAAGAGTAAATTAAATTCCAGCATGTATTTATAGAGAAGAGGTCCTCTGAATCTGTGCTCTATCACATTCCAGCTGGAGTATTACACAGAGGTTGTGATCCTTTCTATAGAAGTCTTGGCATCACTCACACAAATGTTTCGGAAGAAGACATTGTTTTGTGTGCACAGTAATTGTCAATCCCACTTCCTTTAGTCAATCCGCTATTTAAGGGGGGGGGTTTGACCTCAGATTTTTTTTTGTCAACTGAGAGCCTTAAAGAACAGCTGATTGCTGAGGGAGAGAAAATCACATGGCAGTGAGTACACAAGTTCTTCCTACATTCACTAACTCCGGTCACAACAACTAAGAGCTGAATTACTAATTCACTACTTAGAGGTAAGGATGGGTACTCCTTAGTAAGGTCCTACAGAGACATCAGTTTGTTACAATGGTACGAAAATCCTGACAGTTACTAACTAAATCACTTAAACAAGTACCAAACTGGTACTTAATCAGGAAATCAATCAAACATCCTTTGAAAAAATGCTAAAAATTCCTGTTGGGTTTCTACACGTTTTATATTTCCTTTTATTCCTAAAATGCATTAGATACACATCGATCACAAATATTTCAGTTCACTGGAACAAGCGTACATGCTTCTATGAATAAATAACAACTTTCTTAATCATGAAATATCTCTTTGTACACAACTCAATGAACGAGGAATGTTGAAGAGGGGCAAGAAAACAACACATTAAAAACCCATAGAGGATGATCTATGCAAGATTTCTACATTGCATAATCCCAACAGGTGAACCTGAGCTAAACATACACTGAATATTGTAAACTTTTTACGTTAACTTGAGACGCATCTTCCTGTTAATCTGAGATGACAGAAGCCACCAGTTTACTGAAATCCAAGAGTCCACCAGTTTATCCTGCATTAGCTAAGCAACATTTATATTAATTCTTTGAAATACGACATCAACACACAAATCCGTAATAAATATAAAATCACACTAATAATCCACTGTCTGATTAGTGAAAGTAAAACATCAATTACACTCCACTAATGAATGAGCTTTCTACAATCTCTGATGATTCTCAATTGAACACAGGAATTCCTCTCATTGTTTTTTCAAAAAACTCAAAGTGCACACTAAGTGCAAGTTCTGCTGTATCTCAATGCCAGGGTATCCAACTATAAGCGCTATGGAAACAGACCTATCAATCACATGGAGAGGGATTCATAACAGAACATTCCTCTCACTATCTGACACCATTCAGTCTCCTAGGAATAAGGTCTGTGCTACAGTCGCCCTCTAACGAGACACACTGAGACACTCCGCCCAACACTGCACGACTAGCTCACCAATTGCATAATCAGCCTACACAACGACTACCAATACATCAATTTGAGTACCCTTTGTACAAGCTGCAGAATCAATGAAATTCATAACTATGGCAGGGTATATTTTACAATTAGACGGTTATATGAGGAGCTATAATGGGCCAGGAACAATATGTTACCAGTCATGACAAACAATGTTATTTAAAACCACTAGAAATAATAGCATGCTGACTTCATTTGAGGATGTGTCCATTTAGAAAAGCAAACATTGTTTTTTTTCCCATGCACAAGTACACTTTGTCAATTGTCTATAATTGATCTTGCCATCTACATCACAATCAAGGAAAAAGCTTCGTAGTCTATATCCGGGATAATACAGAATTAACACACATTATTCTCCCCAACACAATACACCTCCAAAGTCCATAAAAGCTCTACATCCTTTTTTCTCAATCAATTCTACAAAAACTGCATAGGTTTCATGCCAGACTGCCCTCCAAGCTCAGAAAGGAAATTTTGTCAATTCATCCAGCACACGCTACAGTAGTATCGCCATTATTTATATATATATATTACAATCACTGCTCCTATGTTTATGCATACCAATAATTTAGTCATCACATGCCATATGCCATCCATCTATCTATTATCTACACATAATCAGCGACCATGGATTGTGTGCATGCATGTGTATCAATACAAAGCACCTTTTTATGCAGGGTTTTTTTTTTAAGTTCAAACCTCAGGCTTCATATTGCATCTTGACAAAGAGTGTCAAGTTTGACTTCTAAATTCGTTCTTTTTAATTTGTATAAAAAGAATACTAAAGCACTTTTAAACATGGGCTTAATACTTTATCACAATGTACTGCACAAACCTAAATATGAGATCTAATCTATCCACAAAAAAAAAAGAAACTGTGAGAATCCATATAGGTAAAAAGACATAACACTAATATGTTGCCATAGCAAAGAAAATCAATAAAAGCCTTCAGTAAGGTTTCCACTGGCAGTAGACATAATAAAAACTTCAAGATTTATATCCCCATCTAGTACAAATTAACTCGTACATCTTATGTAGCTGTTGACCTAATACCCATAATGCAAAAAATTAATAAAGGACATATCAAATCCCTCTGCCTTCAAATGCATAATATCACCTTAATGCCATGCAATTTCCTCTCCCCTCAAGGATATCCAAGCTCATTTACTTAAGAAATGAGAAAATCTGATTCTTCCTATTTCTGTGTAGAATACAAATTTTATATTCCACATTTTGCTGCACCACAGAGAGGATTAAAGTGAGCTATATCCATGGGTTCTAGGTATGACCCATCAAGGTTCTACACAAAGTCACCAGTATAATGAAAACAAGTATAAACCTAGACGTACAAAAAAAAAAACAATAGAGCGACAGTGGCCACTTGAGGAGGGAAGTCTGGTTTCCTGAAGATACCAGTCATCTCCTGTTTACTGCAGACTGAGATCAGCCAAGAAAACGTCTCTTACTAACACATCCTTTATGTAACAAACAGTAGTGTTATTGACACGGATTCTATCAGTACATTGCAAAAAGCATTTACTAGGATACAGATTTGTCTGAAAAATTTCTTTAAAGAGACTGAATGTTCTAGAGAAGATATAAATAAATAGCAATGTCTGACTTCAAGTGATTTATGTTTGGCTAAAATTGTGATATGCTAATATGCTAAAAAGTATAATAGATGCAAAGTTAACCTTCTTAGGAAGAGGAATAAATTGCTATGTAAAATTTTGCATTGTCAAACTTGCGATATTGTCATAAATTTAATCCATATGTAATTGCATGGGCTAAAAATATTTAAGTTAAAACGTTTAAACTTTGTTTTTGTCGAAATTCAATGAACTATACCATCAAACTCCACAAGAAAGTCAGCAGAATTATAACTCCTTTTCAAGTTCTTAAATATATATAAACATGTTTTCATATTTCTCATGTTAATGTTATCAAATTTTAATAAAAATCTTAGGAAAAAAATAAGATTTATACAAAGACTTAAAATATTTTTATGCTTTAATATTTGAATTTCTGATGAAGTGGTGTATTACAATGTCTTACCGTTTGGGGTAGGGGTGTCTGTGTGGAGATTTCTCGCTTAACAGAACCTTCAATGCCATCTCTAACCTCTGTGTTTTGTTTCAGGGTCTGAAAAAAAGATGGATCAAGAGAGGTAACTCTAGCACTATTAAAAAATTACAAAAAATATGCTACATCTGTAAATCACAGCACAAGAAAGGTAACTCTGTCAAATAATTCACAGCAACAAAACATGCACACATCTTGGGAATTTTTTTCTATCAAAGCTGCTTGAAAAATTGCTGGAATGTTAAGTATAATGAAAAGCAAGAATTTTGTTTCTGATTACAAAAGCATATATTGGATGTACAGTCTGATAGGGGTAGGTAATCTGAATATCTACAGCTTTACGCCCTTATTCCCACAGTACACAATACAATAATACTGTTAGTATCAGAGATACACTATTACCTGCTCCAACAATTCCTTATATATCCTTTCCTGTAAGGGATATGAATTTGTCATAAAAACATCTTAATTCTATAAACTTCTAATATTTTTTTTTAATTAAAAAATAATTAAAAACTGATGATAATTGTGCTGAGAAATTTAAAAAAAATGTTTCAGGACAAAATTGCTTTCTCTTGATGATTTACTTACAGATGAACTTTCTGATTTTAGGCATTTTAATCCAGAAAATAGAGTAACGTTTCTCCTCCAAAATGAGTATCTATGTCTTTTAGTCATTTCTGATTCAAAGAGAAATAACCAGTAATAGCAATGTTCACATTCATGAACAAAATGCACCCAAAAATTTTGACTTCCTTTTCACACAATGCAAAGAATGTCACTGAACATGTTGAATGGGGTACATTTCTCAAAATTTTCAAGGTCACCTCAGAATGTCTTTACTCAATGAATCACGAACATTATGGCTCCTGTTCCATTTTTATTCTACATTCTTTAAATGTCACTCAAATTGGCAGTGGTACAAACATCTCTCCAATTCACAAATCTTAGTTGCTGTTCTTCACACATTCAGAAATTCAGAAATGTTCCACCTTGTGTCAAAAGTTAAAACAACCCAATTCTAACCACACTTCTGATTTCTGAACCAAGAAATATCTTAGTGTGGGAAAATAGGTCCCCCATTCAGTTTTAGTAAAAAGAACAGGAAGTGTAGGAATGTATGGTCCAAAGACGGCTATTGTCCACTGAACAAGGTAGCTTAAGATAGGAATGGTGTGAGTCAGATAAAAACCTCAGTACATGCTGTATGTGATAATGTTAGTGATAATGTGTCATGAACTGGGGCCTGTTTTGGTGCTGACATTGTTCTAAAGTGGGACATTGATGGAAAGCATGACTACTGAAATCAGAGATAATAGGAGGTAAATGATATGGCAATTTCACAACAAATTACAGGCTCAGTGACTTGATAACAAGCTCTATGACATTGCTTGGGACTTGTTATGGTTAACTTATATCACTATTATTGTACCGGTAGTTATCTCTGAAAACAAGAGGCCCAAGGTCTACATGGCTCACCTGAGCACTTTGGTGAATCAGTTCTCTGTTGAAAGTTTAAATGTAATGAGTGGTCCCACGGGGTGGAGGGATAATCTGAACTCATGGATATGACCCATCATTTGTGTCACTCTATTAATATATGAAACAAGGTGTTTCCGTCTTCCTGTAACTTTGCAAGGGGGTTAATAAGTCAGGGCCATGCAAGACAGTTTTCTGACTGGAAGCATTGTAAAAGTAGAAATGGTACATGTTAGGGTCAACCAGAGGGTTAGATATTAGACTTAACTGAAACTGTGGGGGGGGGGGGGCAGTTCAGAAAAAAACAGGGAGGAGGAGAAAATATAACAGTTTAGAGTGGTCCAAGAGGGTTTTCTGACTGGTGGCATTGTATAATATGGAAGCAGGATGTGTTTGGGTCAACAGAGTGTTTGGTTTGACTTACCTGTAACTTGGCAAGGGGGATAATATCACAGTTCTGGGGCCGGTGCCAGACGGTTTTCTGACTGGTGGCATTGTAGTAGTAGAAGCGGGAGGTGTTGGGGTCAAACAGCTCCCACCACTGGTTATTGTCGGTCTTCTTTCTGTAAATAAAAAAATACAAAGATGTCAGAAGTATGGATTAAAATTATAATAAGTTCCTTGCTCAAGAGTTTGTTTCCCTTACTGCAAGGGTTAGTCATTTTAGAAACCCTAAGTTATTTAAAGAATTGATGAAGTAACAGACCAGCTTCATAAATTGAGTAATCCTCAACACTAGCATTTTATTTTTTGAAAGATAATGTAAAAACATACAACTGGTCACTAAATTTGATCTCTAGAGTCTGACATCTGTATTTACATAAATTAAGAAAATTTTTAATCCTTCAATAAACAAAAAGCATCTGGAAACTCATTACATCTGGATCACAAAGTATTAAATTTGTACCTAAATATATATTTATATCATTAACCAATAAACTTATCCCTGGTGAAAACAAATTAATATAACACTGGGCACTTAGTTTGTAGACAGATTGACTAAGGATTGACTGTTTTAATGAGGCAATTTTGTTATCAGAAGCTTTTGAAGTATAAGGGTCTGCATCTGAAACAGATGTGTTGTTAGAGTTTTGATTTTTTATAACATTCACAATACCACAATTTATTCTGGTAGTGAAAGCCCCCCTGATATGAGTAATGCTCAATAATCCATCTTATTCTGGAATGATTCAAACCTACAACAAAGTCTCAGTTATATATCAAGTAAAACAAACCAAGGCAGTGTGTAAGGAGATGCTGAATGTAACAATAAGGGCTTGTGTTCTAATTTTAAAATGGCAAAAGTACTCCCTCTGGAAATTCTGACAATCTTTTCATTTTCCTTTTTAACATTTTTTATTGAATAATATCCCATTTCATAACACAATGCTATTTCAAACATAAAGTAACTCAGGTCCAAGTTAAGATTTTTTGCAGCGTGCACCTCTTGTTAATTTTCCTGCTACACCCCATCTAATCCTGAGATGGGAGTTTCTTCATATCTTGGCATTTCCTACTTATTCATGATCACCTAGAGATCCTTTATCATATTTCTTTAATAGCAGCATAAGCCCTCAAACAGCTTGGCAAATGTTGCAACTCCCCCGAGATTTTATACTTATATCACCCAGTCAGAAGACCTGGGGATACACCCTGGAATATGACAGTCTATTTTTATCACCGACTTGATGGTATATTATGGCATACACCCTCCAACCATAAGTCATATCAAATGCTACAAATCTAATTCTTAAAGGTCACAAGCCACCTAAAATTAATTCAAGCTGCAGAAAAAGAATTAATATTCAGTCTTAATTTTATGGCTGTTGCATATCAAATCTTAAATCTTTTGAATTTTAAGCACAATGCTACATCTAAATACCTTAATCATCAGACTTTGTATCAGACTTTGTGTATCAAATGAAATTTGACAGTCCAGTAGGACTCCCAGCCGAATCCTTCAACCTAGTCTTGCTTTTAATTCTCTACAGATATCTAGCTGTCCTTGGCAATTATCATTAAGAGATAATGAAGCTATGTTTTTCTTAATGCAGTGGTCTCTCAAAAGTTGAAAAAAGACAACCCCCCACAATTTGTAACTGTGTATGTTACTTAGAGAACCAGGATACCTCCCCAAAAATGCTTAATAGGTACCCCATCCCACTGTGAGGCTAATAGGGAAAAAAGCATATCTACCTGCAGTAAAAGATGTACATCTTGTGAAAACACGAGAATATACTTCATATTTTACAAGAAGAAAATAGTGTTGCAATAAGAAAAACATTAGTGAACAAATTGCAAAAATTAATTTTTCTGGCAACCCAGCAAGAATGCACCTTTACCAAAGTGCTGCAGTTTAACGCTCAATATGTCGTTTTTGTTGCATTTCATTAATGAATTCTGCATGCATCAGAGAAATACATTTTTTGCTTTACTTGAAAGCTTGGTACATTCATATGCAACTCATTTTGCAAATTTCATTTTTTCCCCCTTCTTTCATTAACTTTGCAGGAATAAGAAATATTCACTGCAAAAGAAAGGAAAATTGTTTACCAGAAAAAAAAAAATATAAAGGCACATTTCTTTTCATTTAAAACTATCATAATATTATTTAATCTGTATGTTTGCTTTTTGTTTTTTAATTATTATATATAAATTTTTTTACTTGAACTCTCTCTCTCTCTCTCTCTCTCTCTCTCTCTCTCTCTCTCTCTCAACTAATTCAATTTTTCCTGTAACCACCTTTAATTAATATTCTTACCTGTATACATAATCCACCTGGCAAGAATGAGAAGAATGAAATTCAAAAGTTTGAGAACTGTACGTATACATATACATCTGGTGATGAGCCATGGTGAACAATGACCAAAACACAGGTCTCTCAAAAGTCCAATACAGCAAATTATAAATTAATATGATCTCCTTATCTCAAATTGTTGAATTATTCCTCAAGACACAAAAAAAGAAGAAAATTCTATGCTGTTTGCTTCCTGAAAGAGTGAAGAAAACTCTAAAAACCACTTCTCACATCTCTAAAATCCAATTTGTTTGCAATCAGTTATCAATAATTCATGGAGGAACTCTCTAGGAAGTGGAGGAATTTCCTGTCTCCTGCAAGCCTGGTAACCCCTGAGAGCTTATTACCGTATCCCACTGTCAGTCTGGGGATCAGTATTGGCTGTGTATTGGCTGTGTATCGGTGAGTGTGTGTGTGATATCACATTATCACATACAGCCTACTGCAGCCCCCAGCCACACAACACCTAGGACATCCAATCAAACGAGATGCATACTAATTTATGCCATAACGATGACCAGATTAAAGATACATCATTTTACTTGTATTATTCTTTTTTAAAATTCAGGAGATTTTCCTGCGTTCACTCTATGATGCGTACTAATAAAACATAAAATTCATTTTTATCAAAAATTTAAGAACAAATGGTTCAAACAGGAAATGCTGCTGAACTTGCCAAATAGATTCTGGCAAAGGTTGAGGAGAAGAAAAATTATTTTATAATACAATGACATCTGTTTTGTTTTGTTTTTTTTCTTTTTGAAAAAAAAAGTTAATCTGTATTTCAATGGAGGCTTATAGAAGCATGCTCAAAAAGCATAAACAATTTTCTTTCCTGCACGTTATAACAGTATTATTTTTATGATATACTTGATTAGTCGGTGATGATACACACTTGTTTACATACTTAGTAATACCTTAACTCCACCAAACAGTAGGGAGTCTGTTTTAAACTCAGATAAATTTCACAAATTTTATCAGGATCCCATATAATTTGTTACTTATGCCTACAAGTTGCAAGTTTTTATTTAAAACCTTCAGCATGCACTATAATGAATGATGAACATGAAATCCAGGCAATAAATTTTAAAAGAATTCTTGGATTAAGAAATGATGGGCCTCAACTTGATAAAGAGACTCCATACTGTGATTTGGGGGATCTCTTTGGGGCCCTAAGGGGGAACTTTTTCCGAGATGGTACCAAATTTGACAGGTTATCAAGGAAGAAGATAGAAGACAGATTGATTTTTCATAGAGTGCTGCTGACAGTAACATTGGACAAAAAAAGTTAAAAATAACATGTCAGGGGAAATCAGTTCACCTAAGCCAGAAAGAGAAATGGGGGAAAAAAGGCAACTTTGATTACAGTGAGCACAAGAACGAAAAAATCAGTATTAAGCACAGCCAAATATGTTGCTGATTTGTCGATTTTTTATGGAAATATTTCTATCTACATGTAAATTATAAAGAATAATCTACAGCAAAATAAACTAGAAAGTTTATTGCTCTGACAGACTTCAACGCAAGCTGGATGCATTAACTTAATTATATATATTTGATCTTAATCAAAACTGCAATATTCATTGCTGAGAAAGTCAGTATTTAAATGCAAAAGCCTGTTGGCATGTCTGCCATGATGCACTAATGCTGAGGTTTTATTAAATAACAATTTACATACATATAAATGACTCACTCGAATCTTCATCAGTTTGGAACCTACATGTTGTGTCAGTTAACTATTCTCTGTAATTTTTATCAACACAAAATATTACAAATAGTTAAAGATTAACATCTTGTTTTTGATATGATTTTCTAATATGATTTAGTTGCAAGTAGTGTGATCAAAGTGTGCTCTACAAATTAAGGACACAAGCCAACTTTTCAAGCCAAAAATCAGTAAAACCCATCCTTTTCCATCATAATGTTACAAACATACATGTGATCTCCCTCAACTTCTGCACTCACATGAAGCAAAGGCTGATTTCGAGTGTGTACATGGGTAGTGAGACAAGAAGCCAAGAGCAGCCTATAATATAGGTAATCACTGCAACCCTCCCTCTCTCTGTGTGGCACACAATAAACAGACTCTACATACCAAGTTTTATGATTATCTGTTGATCATTGGAATGACTCCTCATTCCCCATCACCTTGTCATCACCTCACTAATGACCTGACCCACTAACCATCTACCTACTGTGATAAATACCCAATCCTCATCCAATCAGGCAATGCCAAACAAAATTAAAGATTATGTCAAGGGCAGATAACTCTTGTTTCATGCATAGAAATTCTAAGACCTTAATAATTTAAATTTTATTCGAAGCTCATTGCACCCTCCCACATAATAATTACTGTGAGGCGGCAAACTTTTCTTTCATCATAACAATCAGGTTATTAATAATGGGCCTTTGACCTGATTGTGAGATTTGAGGAAATAAGGCTCGATGCTGCCATATGCCCCTGGTATATTGTACCTGCTCAATATCAAACAGCTGGAATTTCAAAGGAAATAGGAACATAAACGAATTCATTCACAAAACACAGCTTGCAAGCTTTAAACAATATGACTTAATACTTTCCATGGAAATACTTTAAAACTTTGAGTGTACAGTGTAACTTTTATATCCAGATGTTGTGTATTCTGAAATCTTGCCTAATAAGTAATATGATGTTACCTTCAAGTTCCTTTCTATAAATCAAATTGAAATTTTGTTTAATCTGACCAATTTCCATGGAACCAGTGGTGTCCAGATTCTATAAGTTTT